CCGTCGCATTTGTCAACACCGTCGCAGAAGTTATTGTTCGATGTCCCCGAGCAAGTTGTGGTAGTTGGCTGGAATGCGTCGACGGGACAGATGCCACTCGTACCGGTACACGATTCTGCCACGTCACACTGGCCCTTGGACGCGCGGCACACGGACGTTGACGGCAAGAACTTGTCGACGCAGTTGCCAAAACCATCGCAGAGATCTTGTACGTCGCATGCGCCACCCGACTGAGTTCCGGTGCATGTCTTGGAGCTTGATTGAAAGGCATCGATTGGGCAGGAGCCACTCGTCCCGGTGCAGGACTCGGATACGTCGCACTGACCCTTGGAGGCGCGGCACACGGACGTTGATGGCAAGAACTTGTCGACGCAGTTGCCCTGACCGTCGCATTTGTCAACATCATCGCAGAGCCCATTGTTCGATGTCCCCGAGCATGTTGTGGTTGTTGGCTGGAATGCGTCGACTGGACAGATGCCACTCGTTCCGGTGCACGATTCTGCCACGTCACATTGGCCCTTGGAGGCGCGGCACACGGACGTTGACGGCAAGAACTTGTCGACACAGTTCCCAAGACCATCGCAGAAGTCGACGTCGTCGCATGGGTTGCCATTGCTTGCGCCAGTGCATGTTGTGGTCGATGGCGTGAACACATCATCGGGACACTCGCTGGACGTGCCAGAGCACATCTCGGCCTCATCACACTGGCCCTCGGACGCACGGCATACCGTCGTCGATGGCAAGTACTTGTCGACGCAGTTCCCGAAACCGTCGCACAAGTCTTGGTCATCACAGGCGCCGCCGTTGTTGGTGCCGGTGCACGTCGTGGACGAGGACTTGAATGCGTCGACGGGACACGCGCTGGCCGTGCCAGAGCACACCTCGGGCGCATCGCACTCGCCATCGGCTGGACGACACACCGTCTCGGAGCCTTTGAAGCCACTGATGCACGTGCCACGGAGGTCGCAGTAATCATTGGCGTCGTCGTCGCACGCACCGCCGTTCGAGCAGCTCTCGCCCGGGCACCTGGTGCCCAGTTCCAGTGGCGTGTACAGGCAGAACCCCGACGTAGTGCACGTGGTACTGTGGCACGTGAGTGCGGGGCATTCGCTGTCACTCTGGCACGGCAGGGCCGCGGCCTCCAAGAGATTCATGCTGACCGGAGCCGTCTCCGTCTCCAGAAGACCCATGGCAACCGAGAGCCCGATCGCATTGGCCACGGCGCAGACCCAGAGAAGCTTCATGGCAGATGGCAAATTGGAAAGTGCGAGACAGCTGAGCCGCCCACCGTCCAAATCCAGTCGACACCCAGCCCTACAACGGTTCGCAAGATACGCCCCTTAGTGAAAAGATCGTTTCGACTTTCTACGCGCGAAACACCCATTTCACACTGACGGGGAGGCGCGTGAATTAAAATTACCAGTCGCTGACCAATCAAAGGTATCGGTCGTACCACCTGCTCCGTTAAGGAGCACACCCAGGGGGTGGATGAAAAGCCTAGGGTGGTCCCGCAAAAATTCTGCGTTTTTCCAGCCGTTCCGCAAGCGAAACCAACCGACAAGTGGCCGCGTCCTCAGAGGCGCGGCCGTCGGTCATCCAGGCCGCGGCAGAAGGAGGCCTCGTCAGACGACGCCTTCGTGATGAGACCACTTGCTCTTGCTCCCGCTGACAAACATGGTCAAGCAGACGCAGTGGCCGGACGACATCATTAAAGAGCTATTTGAAATCTCTTCACATAATACGCATCCAATTTTTCATACGCTGCCGCAACCTCATAATTTCTCCAGTGGCGCCTGCCACCCTAGGGTACCAGGTAGAGCTGGCAGTTCCTCCGACCACGGGTGCCGTTTCTACCTAATAGGGTTGGCTGTTTTGCCCCGACCCCCTCCGAGTTTTGGCCTAAAGTTCAGTGGTACATTGCATGCGTGATCGGGGCCCTGTCACAGAGGTACTGGTCGTACGGTACTACCTCTGTGACCCGTACCACCCGTTCCGGGTTTGTTGAAGTGAGTCTATATAATTTACACTGAACTGGATATGGTGGTGGACTATCGATTCCAAGGTGCTACGACGAGCCGGCCGCCGAGAGGCTTAGCCGAGCGGAAGACGTGGCGTGTATACGGCACATGCCGGAACAAAGTTGTCGCGTAGCCATGCGTCGTGCCGCAGGGCTGTCATCATTTGGAAGAGGCACAATGCTTGAGTGTTCAGCAGCAGGTGTTGGAGGTGCAGCTTGGTCAAGAACGCGGCTCGTTGGGCGGCTGCCTCAGGCGTCACCAGGGGCGCCTCGGGGCGAAAGACTCGGTCGTTGCGGGCAAGCCAGACGGTGTGGAGCACGCACGCGCGGAGGATCGGCCACATCATGGCCACTGCACGCCGACGGTAGCGTTGGGCTGTCACCAGCGGTTCGAAGAGGAGCGCGGAAAGCGTCGTGGGAACCACCCGTTCCGGGTTAAAGTGTGGGTTCTGATTGGGCAACGATGATTGTACATATTGATATTGTACAGTACCGGTAACGCGCCTCCCCAACCCGGACAGGTGGTACGACTGCAAGGGCAACTGCGTCGACGTGTGTACTTGATGATCAAGTACACACAGGTAGATCAAGTCTTGATCTACCGTCGAATACGGTGTGCCGTCCGGCGGCGAGCGACCATGACGCTCCCGAGACGTGTACGTAGAAGCGATATCCTGTATGCGGGTTCACAAGGCCGATTTGCTTCAACAATCAATGGCAGGGAATAGGGTGCCACATGCGTGCTACAGTGTACTTGTGTGGTGGTACCAAAAGATTGCCTACACCTCAACACACTTGTTGTTCGTAGCTAGGACATCTCAACACACTTGTTCATAGCAATGTGTCGATTCGAGCAGCATTTCTTAACTGGTAGGAACGTAGTGGTAGACCAGGGGTGCTAGACCAGCCTTTAAAGGATAAATGGAGATATTTGCGAGGGGTCGCACAGAGCTGTTGACTGTGAATTGAAGTTTACAACTTGGTCGCGCCGTACACGGTCGCTTCGGGCTTGTTGAGCACGAGAACATTGAGCAAGTCGTTGAAAAACTTGGGAAAGTAGCGAGACGCGCGCGTGCAGTCGGGATGAAAGTTGCACTAAATATCCATCCAATCACAAGAGGAAGGGAAGGCGTAACACTAATACCTCGAGGACCACAGGGTGAATGACGTCGTCGCGCCACTCGAGCATCACGTCCACGCCGTACAGCGCACGCGACTTGTTGGAGTGGCCCAAACCTGCACACCGTGAGCGAGTGTCTTGGCGCATGCACGTACCCTGGGGCGCCGGGTGCGACGTGGCAGCCACGAAGAGCGCCTTGATGGCGTTGAAGATGTCGGCCTTGACGAGTGTCCAGTCCTGGCTCGGGTACTCGCGCGCAAACTGGTCTTCGAATTCTTGGTTGTGCATGATCTCGACGCCATAGTCGGTGTAGTTCATGACGGTAAAGTGCTTTTGGAAGTCGTCAAAGTTGTCCATCGTGAACGGTTTGTTGGCGATACGCAGCCAGTAGACACCGCTCACGTACAGCTCGAGCGGCTGCGTGTTGACGACCATGACTGTTTGAAGGATAAGACAATGTGTCCGTCAATGCGACGACGAGGTTACCGAGGAAGCGGAAGTCGAACTTGCGCTCCTTGATCAAAAGCGGCTGCGTAATGTACTTGCACGCGACCTTGGGGCCTGTTTGCGCGAGCTTGGCGAGGTTGGCCGACGACGTCGCAATCGTCGTATCTACGGCCAAATACGTCAAGATTGTGCAATGGCAAGCGACATACCGAGCGACCGCGCGAGGTTCCACGGCTTGCAGATCCAGACGTTGTCTTCACCGGCCGCATCACGCCGGACGTACTCTTGCATGAGCTCGGGGAGCTCCGACTCCATGTTGTACGTCAGCGCCATGAACGGCGGCTGCTGGTTGTTGCACGCGCTATAGCGCATGAGACACCAGCGTTTGAGACTGGCGCGTACCGCTTGCACGTCTCGTACAGGAGGTCCTTGCACGTGAGGACCTTCTCGTTCGGGAACTGGTTGAAGACCTTGACGTTTCCATTGGTCTCGAGTGAGACGTAGTCCTTGATGTGGCGCGTCGGCCACACGACGTTGGCGTCGTTCTCGTTGTCGACAAACACAAAGTTCGGGTCGTCCAGAAACTCCTTCATGAGCTTGAGATCCGTGCACACCTTGATTGGCAGCGCCCACGACGACGCCGGCGTCCGGACGCTCGCCGACGCACTCACAACCTCGTCGTCGCGCGTCGCCTGGGCGTCGTAGATGCTCGTCTGCCGAAGCCGGCGCGCTGCGCAGATGGCTGGGAGTTGCGCCACGTACTCTTCGCCGCTGGGAAAGAAAATGCCGGCGAGAAGCGCGATGCGGACGTCGTCGGTCGCCGCCGTCGCGTACGCGAGGGACGCAAAGTCCCCGGCCTCGACATCTTGGATCGGCCACAGGATCGAGAACGCGCACTGCGCCGGCGCGTAGTAGAAGGGCGCCATGCGAAAGGTGGGCGCGTCGGCGTGCTCGATCGCAGACCCAAACTCGTCCATGATGTACCAGATCGTCGCGGCCTCTTCGGGGCGGAGGTGCCCAAGGCGGTACGAGTTGGCGTAGCGCCACATGGCCCGGAGCACAGCCGTCGCGCGGTCGTGGGTCGTTGCTGACTCGTCGGCCGGCAACTGCATGAGCGCCTCCATGCGCGGCAAGAGCGACGGCGCCGTCATGAGCGCCACGCGCGCCTGGTCGTTGTCGGTCGTGTACGTCCACGCGTGGTCGATGAGGAAGACGGCATCCGCGTCCGCCGCGGCCATGTCCCGCAACGCGACTGCGTGCAAGTCACCGTCTTCGTCGGCCGCGAGCTGAAAGTAGCTGCCGGCGTCAAAGATTTCGTTGCTACAGCGCAGGTCAAGACTCGCGGATGTAGGAGAGATGCGTACCTGAGCTTCTCGAAGAGCGAGGGCCAGAGGTGTTCGGGGATCGCCGCACCGCGGAGCTGCGCCTCGTGGTGCGTCAAGAACATCGCAAACGCCTTCGCACTCATCGTGGCCTTTGTGGTTTCAATGTCGAGCAGCGGTATGCTGCGCGTCCGGATAACGTAATAAATGGCAGTCAACCCCTGATCGCCTTGTCCCCGGATTGGAGGAATCGCGATGCAAATCTTGAAGCTGACCAATCAAATCATCGCCGCGCCTGGCGAGCGATAAGCTGGAGTGTGATTGGCTGTATTTCCGGATCGCGCCCTGACCGTCTTGCTCACCACGCCATTCTCATGAGAAGACGCTGAACAGTCTTGTAACAAGAGGTCCAAACCAAACGCACGTCTCAAGCATGCACGATCTTCTTGACCCCTCGTGTACCCAAGCCGGAGTCCCGCCGGTCGACACCAGACCCATCGTCAGTAGTGGACGAAAACAACCCCAGCGACGTTGATCGCTTCCATTTCTTCTGTTGTAAGGTTGGTATCGCATTGATACTGCTCACACAAACTTTCACACCACCTCTCCTACGACGCATCATCGGGGTATTGCAACGAATCGCGCAGACTCCGTAGCCTTGGCTGTAAGCCTTGGAGGCAAACTGAGCTGCAAGTCTAGAGTTGAGTCGGAGCGACTGGCCGCGGCGGTGGCTGGGCCAGCAGCGCTAGTGCCACGAAGCGACGTCCGGTCAGAAAAGCCAATGGTAAACCCACGTTGACGTGGCACTCGGAGCTTTGTTGGCATGCGCAGAAGGCAGTAAAGACCGTCCGCGCCAGGTCCGCGGTGGTAACGCTGGTCCCTGCCACTCTTGGCGTCACCGAATCTCTCGTCGTCGGCTGCGTCCTAGCACGTACACTACGGGTGCCTGCGACCGCGGTGGTTGACAAAGAGGCTGCTAACGTCGTGGCAGCTTCAAGAAGGCAGGAGTCTGGTGGCGGTGCGGATTCCTTAAAACGACGCGCGTTGCATACAAACATCCAGTCATAAAAAGCGTTGCGCTCCGCGGATTCCACGTGGACCCAATGTCATTTGATTGATTTCGTCTCGCATAGCTTGGTCTTTGTATTGCGAATAAAACATGTTTATTCTACGATGCTCGTATCTCGCTGGGTTGTAACGATTTTTCATTTCCCGACAAGGTCCGAAGTAGCATGAGCACGTCGGCGGCGTCGTCGCGGCCGTCAAGCACCGCGACAAGCGCGGTCTCAAGCGCGCCAGTCCTCGGCCCGATCCCGCAGGGCGTCCTGCTCTACGGCCAGCAGCTGCGCCTCATGGCGGCGAGCTCGTACCACAGCGCGAGCGCGCCCACCGATGTCGGGCTCGGCGTCTACGAGAAGAAGGGAAAGCATGGCATCCTCAACTGCGTGCCACCGCTCGGGCCGTCGCAGGAGCACCTCTTCAAGGAGGATGAGTACACGGTGCTCGACCCGAGCAAGACGCACAAGCTTGGGTCGCCCGTCCAGTTTGGCCACACGCTCGTGCTCGTGAACCAGAACGACGAAGTCTGGAACAACAAGACGGGTGGCATCACGGGCTACATTGGCCCACGCCCGCGCCAGACGCCCGGGGAGATGTTTGTTAGCTTCCACCCGAACCCCAAGGGCCCGCAATCGACATCGCTCTTCGTGCACTTTGGGGACTCGATCGTCATTGACGTCGAGGACGCCAACCGCCACGTGCGCGCGTACAACAAGCGCCTCACCAACTTTAAGAAGCCGACGTCGTCGATCCTCGGCGGCTACATTTGCTGCGACGGCAAAGGTAATCTATAGCTGCCTCGAACGTGAACTTATGTGTTGCAGGCCACGACCTTCACTGCACGATCGCGCCGCCCAAGCTCCAAGTAAAGCAAGTGCGACTCAAGTCCAAGATTCTCTCGGGCTATCAGTTTGGGCAGCCAATCGACATTACGAACGAAGACAAGACGATCGAGGTGCGCTTCAGCCACGACAAGACGCTCCTCTTGACGCCCGAGCTTGTACAAGACTTGGTCCGCGACAGCCAGAACTCGTCGGGCCCTCTCTACGTCCCGCTGACCAATGGTCCGGGCGGGGTCCAGCTCAGCTTGCAGGTCGCTCCGGACCCGTCGTCACCCGCGTACCGCGCACCCGAACCGTCCGTGCCGATGACGCAGGCGCTGGCGCAAAAGCTCCAGGAAACGCCGGTGCACAAGGTCTCGATTCTCGTGGTCATTTCGTCCGTTGTACGTTGCTGCACAAGCCTGTCCTAGCCCAACACCTGCTGCTTGTGTAGATCCTCGCGCTGCTCAAGCGTTCCGGCCTCGTGCATCAGTGGATCGCTGTCGCGCTCGCGGCGTGTATTTGGACACCAGCGATGTTTCTTCTGCTCTCGGGCAACCAAGCGACGCCCAAGAAGCCATCGTCGACGACGTCGGCGCAGGAAATTGCCGCTCCTGGCACGAAGAAGCTCGTGCTGCTGCAATACGTCTTCCGACGTGACGCTGAGGGGCCGGTGGCGCCATTAGCTACCGTTGCCACCGTCGCCAAGGGCGAGTCGCCGCCCGTGCCGCAGCGGTACATGAACGCTGTCAAGGGCGACCCCGCCGCGGCCCTCGGTACAAACCCATGTTTTCATGAGAACGATCCTCAAGGCGGTTGCCACTAGTGCGCTGGGAGGACACGCTCGCGTGGCGCAAGGAGGAGGGCGTCGACGGCATTCTCGACGAGCCGATGCCGTTTTTCCGTCTCATCAAGCAAAACTACCCGCACTACTACCACAAGCGTGGCCTGCACAACGAACCCGTCTACTACGAGAAGCCGGGAAAAATCGATCTCAAGCTGCTTCGCACCGAAGGCGTCACGCTCGAGAACCTCATTCGCAACTACACGATGATCTCGGAGTTTCTCTGGCGCGTCGTCGAGAAGGACGACAACCAAAAGTGCATCACGGTCATCGACGTCGAAGGCATTGGCATGGCCGACTTTGGCGGCGAAGTCGTCGACTACATCCGGAAGGCGTCGTCGTTTACAGGTAGATGATGCATATTGTCGATGTCGACACGCGATACATTGATACTGCTGTTGTAGGCAAGCACTACCCGGAGCGCTGCGCGTACATCTTTGTTGTCAACGTGCCCATGTGGTTCAACATGATCTGGAAAGTCGTGCAGGGCATGATCGACGAGGTCACGCGCGAGAAGGTGACGATCGTCCGCGGCAAGAGCGCGATCTATGAGGCGCTCGTCAAGCGCATTCCGGTCGAGAACATTCCGGTCGAGTACGGCGGCCAGAGCGAGGGCAAGTCGCCCGAAGAGGAAGTGCTCTTCAAGCTCATGGACTTCAACAACCACGTCGACGGCGTCGAGAACCCGCTCGTTGGGGCGTACACGCGCAAGCCGTTCGTGGAGGCGTCGTAAGCAGACACCAATGGATCATCAGAGACAGGAACGATAGTATATAATGCATGACAACACATACGCGTTCTTATAGTCGTCCTACATGTAGCCGACCGAGTTTTTGCGCCCGCGGTCATCCGCCTCCTGTCGTTCCGGTTGTTTGAAAAGATATGGGCCCTCGGAACCTTGATAAATAGCGACTCGGGTAGCAACGTACACGTATTGCCACAGCTCCAATCTCTTCCTTGGATATGTCATCATGGTTGTACCAGTAGACCATACAACGATGTACAACTTGACCATTATTGTCGACGACCGCGACGACGGCTTGCGAACGACGTGCGATTTCCATATCTTTCTTCGGGCGCGATGCCATTGGTGGATATAAATTACATCTCGTTCATACAAATCGCATGATATTTCAAATCTATCCAAAGTTGCGTCAACAGCACCCGTGGCGCCAGTCGCTGATTTCCGAGGTCGTCGCCAAGAGGATGGTGGGTCGCTCGCTCTGGAACATTGCTTCGGGCCTTTTGACGCGTGCGCTGACGCGGGACAAGGCGGCGCTGGCCGACGTTGCCATCACGCGCCGCCACGTGTGGAAGGCGCGCAGCGGCTTCCTCGACATTGACCTCAATTTGCACCTCAACAACTCGTCGTATCTGTACAACATGGAGCTCGCGCGCTGGCACATGACAGGGTACTTTATCAGCGGATTTGTCGAAGCTCACGCGTCGAGTAGGCTCAGCGGGCTGCTTGGCCTCGCCTTTCAGCGCCGCTGGATGTTTATCGTTGCGTCGCAGTCGATCCGGTACCGCCGGTCCATCGCGCCCTTTGCGCCGTACGAGATTCACACGCAAATGATTCACTGGGACGAGAAGTGGAGCTACATCTCGCACCAATTCGTGTGCCCCAAGACTGGGGCTCTCTACGCCGAAGGTTCGACTTCAAGTACTTGGCATCGATGTCACGTCCAAGCGTAGGGCTCACGCGCGCGATCTTCAAGCGCGGCAAGAAGACGGTGAGCATGGCCGAGGCTGCCGAGGCACTCGGCGTGGCGTTGCCGGTCCTTGGTGACGAGCCCGCGATCGTCAAGGGTTTTGTGGCCTGGGAAGAAGCGACGAAAGAGAAGAACGGCGATTGGGACGCTGCCGCGCACGTGTCGCACGCGCCGTTCTGGCAAGAGTCGGTCAACTTGCCGTCCGTCAACCAGCCCAAGTAGAGGCGACCGTCAACACGACTGTTTAATAGATGCACACATTGCTGGTGCATTGGTGTGTTGACGTGTTGCATCCACGCTTTTTGAATCGACGATGCGGCGGCTAGGAGCTAAACCTGTCGCGTGCGAGCGTCTGATGTGCTGCAGTGGTTACCACCGGCCGGTCGTGCCCCATCCCCACAGCGCTACTTGGGCGAGATGACAGTCGATGACGAGACATCGGTGCAGTCAACGCTCGGGGCTCTGCCGTGTCCTTGACGCTACTCGGCCTGTGTTGTCGACGTCGCATGGGAAGGCGCCAGAAGATACCGCGTGCAAGATGCTGGCGATGATGCATTTGACATTCAATGATGTATCCGCAGCAATACATCGCATTGAGAATTTCTCTGGCTTTGCATATTCTTGCACGAGTACTCTAGTAAAACAACATGACGTTGAACATTTGACCTACATGTATGTGTGTGCGGAGCTGTCGAGGACGGCCGACGTAACCGGTTGGCGCCTCGTTTCGGCTGGGAAGAGCTGCAATTGGTCGAAAAGATGGGATTATGGCCAATAAAACGCGACGCGTTTGTATTTTCAAACACGATGGATCCGGACGGCGTGGTCACGACGACGTCGGGACGGGGGTACGTCATGGACTTTGGCGACGTCTTCCTGCAGACGCCCGCCGACGCGACGCCGACCGCCGGTGACAGAAGCAGCGCGCCAGTGATAGCTATGCCGGCCGCGCCAAGCGACGCGGTGCGATGGGGCGCGACCAAGCCCTGGCAGCTGCCTGCGTACAACTCACTCGACGACAACGCAGTGTACCTCAACCGGCAGATCGAGCTGCAGCACGTTGGCGTACGTGCGCTGCCGGTCCGCGCCCTGCGATTTGCGACGTCGTCGTCCGAGGACGAAGTCCGGCAGATCATGGACTGCATTCACTGGCTCCTGCACTCGCGCCGGGAAGAGGTCTTGCGCAACGACGAGCTCACCGAGCAGTTTGCCAGGCTCGAGAAGGACGTTGCGCGCAAGGCGAGCCAGCTGCAGATCGCCAACATCCACCTCGAGAGTGAGCGCAAGGTACACTATCCGTCCAGCGATGCATGGGATGTAGTATTGACGATGTATGGCTAGAGGAACGCAGATCTGGAGAACCTGCTTGCGGCGCGGGACGCAGCAATGGCCCGCGAGAAGCTGGCGCTTCAAGCCGACAAGCGCGCCCTCGAAAAAAGTGTATTCAGTAGGCCGGTTGAAGTGTCATTTTCTGAAGACCTCACGACGCCGTAGGCTGCAGCACGTCGACTCGAACTACAAGGCGCAACTCCGGAAGAGCGAAGTGCAGTACGAACGCCTTCAGAAACAGTACACGCAGCACCTTAATAAGGCGAGCTCCGAGAAGCGGGTACGAGGGCGGTGGACACCATTTTCCATGCTGAGAATTCGTTGTAGGGCATGGCACTCGGAAAGGAGCTCAACGGTCGCGCCGAGAGCTTGCGCATGCGCAAGGACATCCAAAAAAGAGCGCAGGGCGAGCACGCGATCGTCAACAAGGTTACAAACCGGACTTTGGATGCTAATGGATAAGACCGACGACACGGCGTCGTAGATGCTCAAGTCGTACGAGCAGCAGCACACGACACTCGTGACCGAGAACGACACGCTGCGCCGACAACTGGTCAAGTTCCACAGCGAGCTCAAGCAACTAACGACCGAGTTCAAGGCCACGACGCGCTGGCTCACCAACCAGTAGACTAGGTTGCGATGGCAACACGTCCTCAGATGTATGCGTACAGGCAAGGTATGCCTCAAGACGTCGAGACGCAGCTCCAGCTCGGCGACGAAAGCGTCGCGGCCAACCTCTTTACGATGCCGATCCTGGATGCGTCTGCGTCAGGCAACAATGTGCTCGCGATGATCGAGGACCGGCTCGAGTGTCTCCGGGCAAAGGTACGAGCCAAGAAAGGCGTATCTGAGCTCTTGGACGCGTAGATTGGGCGCCTCTTGGAGCTCAAGCACGAAAAGCACGTAGCGACGCTGGAAGCACAGCTGCGTGACGCGGTCCGAATCATTCAGGAGCAAGATCACTTGATTCACCTCGCGCTCGACGACGCCTCACCGAAGATGCCGAGTGGCGAGCCGCGACTTGAGCTCTCACAGCTCGAAGACATGATGGAGTCGCTCTCGCACGAAAAGCAGGCGCTGGCCATCACCGCCGAGCACATGGAGTCGGAGCGGCACCTCTTTACACAGCAAGCCGAAAAGCTCGACCACGACCGCTTAGCGTTCGAGGTACGAATCTCAATCGATGGATGGCGGAAGATCCTCTTGAGTAGATGTTTCGGCAAGAGATCTTCCTGGACGAGACGGACGACCGCGTACGGCCAGACTCGAAGAAGCGCCACCGCCCGTCGTCGACCAACGTGCCACCGTCGCCCGTGTCGTTGCTCGGCCTGCCACTACCTCGTACGTTGGCGTCGAGAGTTGCGTTCCTGACACGCATATAGCGACGCCCGAGACGACGCGTGTGCTACGCCAGATTGGCTTCGACAAGCACGGTCGGCCCATGAGGTTGGTCATGCATACGGAGCGCGAGTGGCGCTTATATCTCGACTAGTCCGATCGCGTCGCCAGTGGGAGCATCGACCAGTTTAATGATGGAAGACACGGACATGGGCCTGCTAGACGACCACAGCATGTGACCAACAACTCAAACCAACGAATAGGAATGTAGTCGTCCGTGTCTGACCAGCAACTAAGCCATGGCTTTACCGGGAGACATCTTGCCAGTCATTTAAACATTTTTAAACGTCTATCTCTCTCACAATCGATGCGCGGGTGGACTTGAGGTGTAAAAAAGCACTGGCTGCGACATGTGTAAAACACTGTTTTTCCTGATTGTGTGTCGTCGGTACCAATTCAAGTATCCCATTCCCAACGCCATCTAATAAAACGCAGCCAGAGTGGCAGTAGCACGGCAGAGATGGCCAAGGACACCAACATCTTCACCAAGGTGAGCGCCAAGATCATCAAGACCAAGGTGCCGCCGCTCTTCTCGACGGGCCTCTCGACGACGTACGTGCTGCAGGTGCACAACGCGGCGACGGACCACAGCTTCCGCATCGGAAAGACGTACACGGACTTTGTCGTGCTCCGCGACCAGCTCCTGCGCGCGCACGACTGCGACAACGGAGCGCTCTGCGCGGCCTTTTCCAGCGACATGCACGCGCACTTCCCGCCCAAGGTGCTCATGCACCGCCACGCCGACGTCGTGCATTTGCGCGAGTGGAAGTTCCAGGACCTCCTCGACCTCGTCGTCCGCTTCATCAACGCGTCGCGCAGCAGCACGTGTGCGTACGCGCGCGAGGCCGTGCCCAACAGCCTCATCGTCTTCCTCTTTGACGGCGCCAAGATGGACAAGCGCAAGTTCTGGATCCCGCTCCAGCGCACGCACCGCGGGCGGCGCATTCCTCGCGCCGTCATCGAGGAGGCCATTCGCATTGCCCGCGACAACCACGGCGTTGACGAGGACGACGAGGTCAACGAGCGTCACATGGGAAGCATCGACTCGATTCTCGAGAGCCACGGCAGCGTTGCGGTCGTCGAGTCGGTGCTCGACGCCGCTGGGTCCCCGGGATGCGCTCTCGATGTCGGGACACCTGAAGTCGCCAACCAGCATCGTGAGAACAACAACGCCAGCCTCGACGACGACGACGACGACGCCATTGCGACGCCAACCGCCGTCGCGGGTCTCCTTCACTCGCTGCGGAAGACGCTGGAGGCGATCGACGACGCGAAAAACTTGGCCGCCCTCGAAGACCAGGTCAAGAGCCTCTTCCGCGACCGCCACACGCAACTACATGTTTCAACACATTAAAGCGGATGCTTATATCATACGATCAGAAATGGCATTTGCACTAAGGCGCGCGTGGCCGGTCGCAGGCGCCACACGTTGGCGCGGTCGTCGCGTTAATGAGCGTGCACGTCGCGCAAAGCCACGGTACCCGGCGTTCAAACTCGAGCGTCACGGGTTCCGACGTCGTGATCAGCTCCTCCATGAGCTGGTACAAGGTTTTGGCGTGCACGTCCGAGTCGTTGAGCCGTACCAAGCGGTCGCCGAGAGCGATCGCGCCGCACGCCTCGGCGGGGAGTGCGTCGCCAGCGGCGTTCTTCTCGAGCGCTGAGACGTACACTTCCGAGTCTTTCTTCGCCAGGACAAGCCCGAGGCCGCCGTCCATGGCCGTGAGCTGCACACGAAGGCGCGTTCGCCCCGACTTGGCGCTGGCTTCGGCGCCTTGAAACACCACAAAGTGGCGCTGCTTCTTTGGTGACAAGGGCACGGACGCTGCGGGAACAGACGCAGCGACAGCAGGTGACGAAGCCTGTGGCATCGGACGTGTCGTGACGGTCGTTGATGGCGACGACGATGTTTGACTCGGCGACATCTACGTGTTTCGTTGGATTCGGGTCGATGGATGGTATGAATGACAGGCGCACCGGTGGTATCCGAAGGGACGTAGGGGACGACGGGCGAGAGATATCGAGCGCAATATCAAGGGTATCCAGCGCATCGATGGCCTCAAGCGTCGGCAGATGCGGCGCCAGGTCCACGAGGTCTTCGACACGTGTGGAAAAGGCAGTTGCCGGGAGCGTCGGTCGCGACCCTGGCGAGCTCACCGGCGACCGCACGTCGGCGTCGAGGCTGCTCTTGCGGTGGTGCACAACGTCTGCGAGCGACTCGAGCTCCTCGTATTTAAGCGTCTCCTTTTCCCAAAAGAGAATGGTCGGCTGGTAGCAGCCGCGCTCGATGCGCTGCCGCACGTCGTGCCACGTACCCACCTAGGATTCGGATAGATAAGATGCATGGCTGGTCGTTACGACCCACCGTGCGCACGGTCTTGTCGTCGAAGAGATACCACGCGCGGTCGCCCGACTGGGACCGAAAGAAGCTCACGTAGTGCTGGCCGTAGTAGCACACCATGCCGCGAAACACATACTGCGCATCCTCCTTTGGCGCTTCGGCTGCGTCGCCGCCGAGCTGAAACACATGGCTCAGGTCGAGCGCGTGCGGAATGACGTTGGCGAACGCCTTGAGCTCCCTCCCACCAACGCTGTTGGAGGGCCACACGATACTGATGGCGAAGACGATCGGGAGCTTGAGCAGCCACCTAAAAAGTCCTCGAATGTCTCATGGCTTGTGCACCGCACTCGATCGTACCGCTCGACGCGGCAATGGCCCTTGCAGCCCGTCGCGTCGGCGTCCGGACACGACTTGCCCGGGCCGTCGTTGAGCAGCGCTTTGAGGACGGACGCGAAGCTTGGCGCGTCGGCCTTCCTACTCGTAAAGTACGACGTTTCGTCGCCCACGTACTTGTAGAGCTCCGCAAAGTAGACGCGGTACAGCGTGTCCTTCCACATGTCGGGGTCCGACGTTGCGCCGCAGCTCGCGCAGTGATGCACGTCAAACATATCGGCCTCGAAGAGCGCGTGCGCGATGCAGCGCGGCTCGCATGTCGTGTCTTTGATCTGCATCGAGGTCGCGAGGTCGCCGCTGCGGCACTGGTCGGCGTGCATGAAGGCGAGGATCGTGTCCAGCGTCTCGGTCGCGTCCGCCATGCGCCCGACCTGGAAGCGCTCGCGGTACAGGATGTCGAGCGCGATGCGCACGTTGTCTGGCGCGAGCGCGTCCTCGTCGCTAAACTCGTAGAAGGCGAAGATTTCTTTGAGCTCGCAGAGGAGACAGGCCTCGCCGAGGCCGTGCACGTGGTCGCTCGTTGAGATGAGGACGCGGAAGCTGTCGAGGTGCCAGAGCGACTGGATGATGACGTTGAGGAAGCAGTTGTTCTGGCCCGCGTAGTTGGTTAGACCCTTGTGCAGCGACGCGTGCTTGAGCAGCGTGGCCCGGTCCATCGCTCCGACTCGCGGTAACTCCACGTTTCGAAGCTGTAACACCGTGTGTTCACGTTAAACAGTCATGTTCACGTTAAACAGACGTCTAACACATTTCGCCAAACGGAACTGGAAAACATCAACAACTTGTACTTACAGTGTTAAGATTGCTACAATACAAGGATTTGCCTGTCATGCAATGGGAGGTATCATTCTGGACAACGCGAGACCTTGCGTGCGTCGGTATCGCGCGCTCCCATAATGAGTCACCTAGTTCGAGCAGAGTTATCGATTTTACGGCCAAGCCGACGACGTCGATCTTGGGTGTTTCGCGACGCAAGGCGCCGAAACGATCTTTTCGAGAGCGAAGCTGCTCTTGTTAAGCAAGAGGCTCCATTGACGCCGTTCATGTCATGGCCAACTCGTACGGCTTCGTGTAGCCGAGTTAGTTCTACAAGGGCAGCGTTGTCGGTTGGTGTATGTGGTGATCACGTAGGCGAAGCACTCGCGCGCAGACGCCATACTACACTCGACTCGGCCACGGTGGCCACGGGGAATGCACTAGCGCAGATGCTGGAGCCTTCGGTGCGGGGCCGCATCCTTCCCACGGTATAGCACGAGGAAGCTGGACGGTGTGCACGCAATCCATCGTGTCGAGCTTTCGACGTACTGCAGCGGCAAGAGCGGGTGTTGCCCTGTTCTCACGTCGGTCACCCTAGGCTTTTGGTAGCTCTTTTGATCCACCCCCTGGGAGACCCGGGGTCCTTCTGTGACGCGACTGCTGAACCTGGAACAGGTGGTACGACGGATACCTTTGATTGGTCAGCGACTAGTAGTTTTAATTCGCGCGCCTCTTTGACCTGGAGCAGGTGGTACGACCGATACCTTTGATTGGTCAGCGACTGGTAGTTTTAATTCACGCCCCTCCCCAACCTGGAACAGGTGGTACCGTCGGACGGCCCGCCAGTGTGAAATGGGTGTTTCGCGCGTAGAAAGTCGAAACGATCTTTTCACGAAGGGGCGTATCTTGCGAACCGTTGTAGGGCTGGGTCTCGACCGGATTTGGACGGCGGGCGGCTCATCTGTCTCGCACTTTCCAATTTGCCATCTGCCATGAAGCTCTTCTGGGTCTGCGCGGTGGCCAATGCGATCGGGCTCTCGGTTGCCATGGGTCTTCTGGAGACGGAGACGGCTCCGGTCAGCATGAATCTCTTGGAGGCCGCGGCCCTGCCGTGCCAGAGTGACAGCGAATGCCCCGCACTCACGTGCCACAGTACCACGTGCACTACGTCGGGGTTCTGCCTGTACACGCCACTGGAACTGGGCACCAGGTGCCCGGGCGAGAGCTGCTCGAACGGCGGCGCGTGCGACGACGACGCCAATGATTACTGCGACCTCCGTGGCACGTGCATCAGTGGCTTCAAAGGCTCCGAGACGGTGTGTCGTCCAGCCGATGGCGAGTGCGATGCGCCCGAGGTGTGCTCTGGCACGGCCAGCGCGTGTCCCGTCGACGCATTCAAGTCCTCGTCCACGACGTGCACCGGCACCAACAACGGCGGCGCCTGTCGATGACCAAGACTTGTGCGACGGTTTCGGGAACTGCGTCGACAAGTACTTGCCATCGACGACGGTATGCCGTGCGTCCGAGGGCCAGTGTGATGAGGCCGAGATGTGCTCTGGCACGTCCAGCGAATGTCCCGACGATTTGTTCACGCCATCGACCACAACATGCACTGGCGCAAGCAATGGCAACCCATGCGACGACGTCGACTTCTGCGATGGTCTTGGGAACTGTGTCGACATGTACTTGCCGTCAACGTCCGTGTGCCGCGCCTCCAAGGGCCAATGTGACGTGGCAGAATCGTGCACCGGAACGAGTGGCATCTGTCCAGTCGACGCATTCCAGCCAACAACCACAACATGCTCGGGGACATCGAACAATGGGCTCTGCGATGATGTTGACAAATGCGACGGTCAGGGCAACTGCGTCGACAGGTTCTTGCCATCAACGTCCGTGTGCCGCGCCTCCAAGGGTCAGTGCGACGCCAACTACCACAACATGCACGGGAACGTGCAACGGCAACCCATGCGACGGTGTCGATAAATGCGACGGTAAGGGGAACTGCGTCGACATCTTTCTGCCGTCGACGACGGTGTGCAAGCCCTCCGCCGTGTACGCGCTTTCAACGTTCTGCAGCGGCAAGAGCGGGTTTTGCCCTGTCACCGCGTCGTTGTTGGAAGGCAACCTTCGCGAGATGATGACCGACGACCAGGCGCCGGTGCAGTCGATGCTCATGGCCGTGTCGCCGTCGTCGCCCATGGTGCTTCTCGGCCTCGTCTGTGTCGTCGCTGCTGCCGTTGCCATGGTCACGATGCGTCAACGCCGCGACGACCTCGCGCTGGAAGACGCCACGTACAAGCTGCTAGCGACGCACGAAGACGCGTCGATCGCCTTGTAACTTTGCCGTATGAACTCGCCTTCCTTGCATACTAGTATGGTGATTGATTCGCAACAATAATAAATGTACTTTTCGTTCTGTAATGCTATGGTTCGCATCTTTCTGCTGTACGCCAACGCAACTGTTCAGTACACTTGTGGCCCGCCGAGATCGCACAGAGCAGAAGAGAGTTCCACCCCATGACCATCTTGCTCGTCTTCGCGTGCTCGAACTTGTGCTCACACTGTCAATGGACTTGTCGCTCTTCGGGTAGAACCTTGGAAGCATGGCCTTGAAGAGCTCGTTCTCGACGCCATCGATGGCAAAGGTAGGTAGCTCGTGAAGACGCGTGCGACGCGCGAGCCATTTTCCACTGGCTCACATCTTGATCTTAGCCGCTCTTGCAACAAAACCTGGAGTCTCGAGCAGGTACTTGATCGAGCTTGGCTGTAGCGTTCGCGCCCATTTTGCGGATGTAGGCCTCGAAGGCGAGCCCCGTCTCTGATGTGCGCAGCGGTCGCGCAAGACCGAACAGCTCCTTCTCCAGCGACGGTGTCTCTCGACCAATGAGGCTCGACGGTAGAGGCCCAAAAAACACAAAGGTACCGCAAAGCCAAGCTCAGTACTGAGCGAGATGCTGTTGGTAACGAGCGCGAGGTCGACGCTGCAAACAAAAACCTCGCGCTCGGCTCTTGTGCATGTTCCAGCGGCTGATGCCATCCAAGAGGAGGATGCGAAGCAGCTCGTAGGACCCGTACCAGCCGTGGAAGCAAGCTTGGAGTAACTTGTGCAAGGACTCCAGCTGCGAAGACGACGGGAACATCACACAGTGGGATCTCCTTCGGCTGACGTTGGCATGCATGATTTCGTTGGGCGGGTCCGTCCGCTTGCCTTTCTCGAGCTGCTTGAGAATGACCAGGTGCAACTTCTCAAAGCCACTCTTGAACAAGTCTCTACCTCGGTACTGTTGCACAGCAGCCTCGAGTCGTGTCGCTATCGCAGCACGTGCATCGTCGGGCACATAGGTGCGCACAGAGCGGTGCGACCGGAAGAACGCCGGCGTAAGCTTGTCGACGTCAACGCCCTTGTCATGGAATTTTTGCTTAGAGGGCGTCGACGTCGTCTTGGTCGAGCGAGAAGAACGCGTTGGCGACCGTCGTGAACAATGAGCGAAGCGGCATGCACTCACGCCTGCAGACCGTGGAAGAGGTCGCGCCTGACAGCAACCTCTGGGACTTTTTCCACGAGGAAAGCCTCGTCCGAGTCGGGGTTACCGATCCAAATACCATCGATGTCGCCGAGCCGCGCCTTAAGCATCTCGATCTCCTTCTTGATCCCCTCTGAAGCTCTTCGACCGCGTAACCCAGAACCCGACTACCTCGTTGAGCTGGTTCATCATGGTGAAGACCGCTGTAAAGCCTTGCTTGCCGTCAGCGTCCCGCCCGTGCTTCGCAATGAAAAACGTGTGGCCGCTTACTGCAGGGCAGCGCCTCCAAACGTCGCATTTCGCTGCAGTGGACGTCGCGCACAAGGCCTGGACCAATGAGCGGGAAGCGCAAGCAGTGGCCAAACGAAGGAAACGCGACGATCGGGTTGGAGCTGGGAAAAATCGCGTAGACCTGAGCCACTGGTAGTGCAGCAGGTACCAGAGCTGCGCGTGCGCATAATGCTCGACCAAAGTTACCTTCTGCTGCGATGCGATTTGGCCGAAGCTGGCGCCACCCACCTTTGTTTCGTGCACTTGGCGTGCAAACGCCGTCGAGATGACCGTCTTCTGACGTCCTATAATATCTGGAACGGATACAGGCGCTCGCGGACCATGGGCGGCAGCAATAAGCCGCGGGTTGAGGGCCGAGAAGGACGTGTGCTTTCACCCATGAGCAGCACCAGACGAAAAATTGCGGTGGATGTAGCGACGTGCCACAAGCATGTTACAATCGAGATCCACAACCGGTTGAAAGCTCTCGCTCCATCCGTGCACCGAGACGCGGTTGCTGCCACATGTCGGGCACTGGATCGGGTGTGCGGCCAAATACGCCGCCGCAAAGGTCATCGGGCAAACTACGACGATCAAGCTCCATACAAACAAAACCGGCAGGCGATGCGTTCGAGATCATGGGCATGGATGGAAACGGAAATACATTACACGATGCTGCTGGCCTGTTGCTACGGTGCGCTGCAAGCGAGGCAACTTCGCCTTGATGTTGGCCCAGAATGCGTTCAACGCAGCAAAGCCATGAGCACGGTCTTGTCGGGCGCAAAGAGGTCGATGCTTGGTCTTCTTGATCGCCTCGACGCGGCCGTCGAGGTCGGCTTGCGCTTCTCGCCGAAGACAGCGCGCTCCGCCTCTTCGTGCAGCCGCTCGCCGCGCCGGACCTTGCCGATGTTCGCGCGCATCCACACCACGTCTTGTGCTTGTGGATCCAGCTCGTTTCGATCTGGAATGGATCACTTGGCTCCATCCTTAATTCTTTCTAGCCAATCACAAGACTTGGTTCACGACGACGTCTTAAATAGTGTGAGCACCATGCAGCACAACGACGAGTAGCAGTCCACAGACGCGCCAGCGCCACGCAGCAACCGGGTATACCTCTCCACACACTTCTTGAATGACGTGAATGCCGTTTCCGACGATGTACGTAGCGCAATCACGCGCGAATCGATTTTCCATTTTTTGAGGTGGTAGCAGAATTGCCCAAATACTTCACGTGACATCGCGGGGTTCCAAAGCTCCAAGGACCGTAAAACTGACTGCAACAGTTGGCGATGGATCTTGACCCGGTGTGCGACCAGTTTGTTGGGCGCCGTCGTTGCTTGGGCACTCACACCAAACTCGAACTGCCGAGCGTCGGTTTTCAGGAAATGAGACATGCAATTTCGGTTGAAAATGCGTCGATATCGCGGAAACCGAGGACGCCGTCTCTTTTTGTTCATGCTAAAGAGCGTGTTGCATGTGGCCGAGGGAGGCAAAAGTGCGCGCGATACCGGTGTGTGATGAGGCCTTGTATCTTGCACAGTATATCAGTATAGCGAAGAAGCACACTATATCCAAAAATGTTTGCCACTGTTATGTGTTCTCGCTACAGAGCTCGCATGGCGACGCCGCGTAGCATTTTGGACTCCCCAGAGTGTGGTCTAGCACTCTAGCAAGTATGGGTGATTTCAGTTTCAAACTTCATTATGGTCCATCCTCCGCGCGCGGCGGGCCTGTGTTCACCAAAATATGGTAATTATGGTTGTAAATGGCAAACGCCAATGATAATGATGGCGAGGCCAGAAAGACGACGCCGAGGCTCCTCGGGCACCACTGCACTGCTGCATTGTGCTCGAGGAAACTTTATCAGCAGCCTCTACGCACACGCCATCATGAGGTGTCGCTCGGTCGCAATGCAGCGTTCCTCGTCGGTCTCTCCCATTTTTGTCAACGCCAGGAGAAAGCATTTCAGCCAATCAGAGCGACAATAATTTTGATTTGTGGCCGATCAGAGCGGCAAGGGTTTCGCTTTCGAGCCAATCGGCAGTGTTCGAGGTACTAACGAATCGTTACCGTATACCTCATAACAACTCACCACTCAAAATCACCCACTCGACCGATTTTCCTCACAATAACTCACCAAGGCCGATTTCGGCGCCCACAATAGCTCACCATCGGAAACCAATTATGCATAATTTTGACTTGAATAAACTATACTACTTTTGGTTGCGACTTGGGTATGCAACAAAAATAGTATAGTTTAATCAAGTCAACTTTATTCTGGTCGGGTGTGAGTAACACGCTAAGAAAGAAATTAGACACAATAACCCACCTTCTGGAAAATTCCAACTCACATACCAAGGGCGTTTTTGGCCGATTTTGGTGGTGAGTTGTTATGAGGTATACGGTAGTACCTCGATCGTTAGTAACGATCGCTACGAAGACACACTCATGAGTATGCAACTTTACTGTTTGAGCTGCATTCACACGCTTCGTGCGCGTGCACCGTCAGCGTCCGCCTTGTAGGCAAAGCACAGCTTTCGGTCCAACGCGACGTATGGTAGCGCGCAGAACCAGTCTTGCGCAAGCCAGAGCGCCACTGCAAAATAGACCAAAATGCGCTCCGGACCAAACTCGGAACAGCTGCATATATTTTGTGGTGCTTTGTCGGTGCGCGCAGTGGCTTTGCTCAGGCGTTGCTTTCCCAGCCGTGCTTGCTTTCTCCTCGGCGTCAGCAGCCTTCAACTTGTGGTTCGTGGGACAGCGCGTCGAGCGCCGGAGCTGGAGGTCTATCGGGCACTTGAGCGATCGCAAGGTAGTCCGTGTCATTGTCCATAGAGCAAGTACGGCTAACCTGACAGACTACCATGCTTGCGCACCGGGGCGTATATTCTGAGGTGGTTAGACTGCTCGAGGGTGCCTCGAAGGCGGCCATACAGTCAGTCTCTCTATCGCGGTTCCAAGATCTCGCTATAGGAGCCTAGGACCGGCATCCTTCCGGATGTGATCCTGTTGTGAAGGATGCTGCTCAAATCTACGTAACGCTACGAGCTCGTGTGTTGATGTCCTAGCTACGAACATCATGCCCCTCGAGCAAAGTGAAGAACCGCCCAAGATCGACATTGTCGGATTGACCGAAATATCGAAATCTACTGCGAGAACAAGGTGACTGACTCATGGGAGCGCGCGATACCAACGCACGCAAGACTTCGCATTGTCCAGTAAGATACCTTCATATTGCATGGTAGGCAAAACCTTGCATTGTAGCAACCAAAAGTACGTTGTATTGTTGCGTGTCAATCATCATATGCAAAAAGGCGAGTTCAAAAGGCGGCCGACGCGTCTTCGTGGGTCGCTAGCAACTTGTACGTGGCGTCGTCCAGTGCGAGCTCGTCGCGGCGTTGACGCATCGTGACCATGGCAACGGCAGCAGCGACGACACAGACGAGGCCGAGTAGCACCATGGGCGACGACGACGACATGGCCACGAGCATCGACTGCACTGGCGCCTGGTCGTCGGCCGTCATCTCGCGAAGGTTGCCTTCCAAAATGACTTGAGAACAGGGCACGACCCGCTCTTGCCACTGCAGTACGTCGGACGCTCGTACCCGACGGGTTTCTTGCATACGGCCTTGGGACCCAAGAAGCGATCGGCGCAGTTGCCACTGCCGTCGCAGTAGTCCTGCGCGTCACAAGCACCACCTTGGCTCGCGCCAGTGCACTGGACCGACGTGTCGGCATAGTCGTCGGGCGGGCAAAACCCCATATCACCCGTACATGTAGCAGCGATCGAGCACGGACCTGCCGCCGTGTCACCGCAAACGGTACCCGACGGCAGGTACTTGTCGACGCACTTGCCGTTGCCGTCGCAGAAATCTTGTCCGTCGCAGGGGTTGTCGTTGCACGTTCCCGTGCACTTGGTCGTCGTCGGCGCAAACTTGTCGACGGGACATTGACTACCGGTACCGGTGCACGTCTCGGGAGCATCGCAGTCGCTCGCCGACGGACGGCACACCGTCGTCGACGGTAGATACGGCGCCAAGACGGTGCCTTTCGTGATGGCTTGGTTAATGAGCGGCAGCTCGGACGCAGTCGCCAATCGACACTTGTGATGGGGAAAGCAACTGTGTCGATCGCTTCTTGGGCGCCAAAATGGTGTGCCAGAAACCCACCGGCTACTCGCGTCCGAACCATTGCACACGTCACCGCGTCGTTGTTGGAAAGCAACCTTCGTGAGATGACGGCCGACGACGACCAGGTGCCGGTGCAGTCGATGCTCGTGGCCGTGTCGCCGTCGCCGCCCACGGTGCTTCTCGGCCTCGTTTGTGTCGTCGCTGCTGCCGTCGCCATGGGCACGATGCGTCAGCGCCGCGACGAGCTCGCGCTGGACGACGCGACGTACAAGTTGCTGGCGACGCACGAAGACGCGTCGATCGCCTTCTGAACTCGCGGTGACTACCTTGTATGCTGTCTATGAGAAGCAGCAATACAATTTGTACGTTTGGTTGCTGCAAGAAGAGGTTTTACCTCTAATGGAGAGATATTACCGGTATGATTGTTGGAATCGCTGCCAAGGAAGGAGTGGGTTATTTTATGTCGTCCCCTGTGGGAAGCTATGGAAGGTCTACTCATTCAATGAAGATACCGGACAGGTAAGTTGGAGATATGGTTATGGCTTGAATCGCGAGTTGGGAGACTGACGCATCTTCACCGAGGCGCTAAACAGACTCGACCCGCGGCGTCATCGCACCGTCGTTGGTAGCTCGGTCTGATCTTCTGGCATCGGACTGGAAATCCCCGTTCTCGGGCCTCGAGCTCGCAGCACGCAAAGACAGCACCTTCCGTCGTGGCGTCGACTTCGTGGGTGTGTATCTTGTTCAATTTCAACCAATCACAGCCCGCGGCAGAAAGCAGCAGCAAATCAGATGCCATCATTTCGAAAAAGGCAAAATGGCGCTGGCGTCGCTTTCGGACCAGCTGAAGGTCTACCTGACGCTCTTGGTCGGGCCCGACGACCTCCTCTCGCTCGCTGCCACGTGCAAGGGTACGCGCATCTCCTTTTGCCTCTCATGACTGATGCGCTTGTCCTAGTCTGGTACATCTTCGCCAACGAAGAGGTATGGCTTATCGCCCAATATGCGTCGGTCTCACACGGTCGTAGCCACTCTGGGAGACGCAGGTGCTGCGCACGCACCACGGCGACTTTGCGTACAAAGGCTCGTGGAAGACAACATACTTTTACCCGCGTGAGCCACCGACGGCGCCTCGGCCGCCGCCGCCCGCGATCGCGATCCTGCCCGAGAGTCTCTCGTCGGACTTTCTGCAGCGCCGGTACTACCGCCGACACATGCACTTGGTAGACTTCGTGCCGCAGTCGCCGCGCACGATTCCTCGCATGGCCATGGACGCGATCGCTCCGAGCGCTTTCAGCGAGCGCTATGGCCGGCGCCCGGTCATGCTCACTGACGGCTGCACCGACTGGCCCGCGCTGCCGTCCACTGGTACGCGCCTTTGTCCTGCATGTTTCGGCACAACCACGTGCTGTCTACAGGCGAGCGCAAGCCCGCGGCGTGGACCCTCGAGACGCTCGTGTACCGCTTTGGCGACGTGGCCTGCCGCGTCACGCACAACCTCGACGTCGACGTCGACGTCCGCATCACGCTGGCCGACTACGAGGCGTACGTCGCGGGCCAGCACGACGAGACGCCGTTGTACATCTTCGACCCGCTCTTTGGCGAGAAGATGCCGTCGCTCCTCGACGACTACGCCCTGCCGCCCATGTTTCGCGACGACCTCCTCGACGTCCTCGGCACCGACCGTCCCGAGTTTCGGTGGCTCGTCGCCGGTCCCGCCCGGTGCGTCGTGATCAAAAATGGCATCTCGACTGATATCGACATCTATATTCTAGGTCGGGCGCGCCGTGGCATCTCGACCCGGTCAAGACGTCGGCATGGAACGCGCTGCTCGTGGGCCGGAAGCGCTGGGCCATGTACCCGCCCGACCACCCGCCGCCAGGTGTCGAGCTCCTCGTGCGTCTCCATGATTGACACCGCTGTCTCTTGATCGTTGGCGACTAGAACAACGAGGCGGCGGTGCACATGACGTCGCTCGAGTGGTACTTGAACGTCTACCCGACGCTGGCGCCCGAAGACCGCCCGTACGAGGTACTTGACACCATGGAAGTACGTCGACACTGTGTAATACCATTATGTGCAGGTCGTGCAAGAGCCCGGCGAGACCATCTACGTGCCCAGTGGGTGGTGGCACCTCGTGCTCAACCTCGACTTTTCGGTTGCCGTGACCCAAAACTTTGTGGGTACGCTCGGTCGATACTCGAGCGCGCAGCCGTCAACGAAACGTAGACGCGTCGAACCTCGGGCCGTTCCTTTCCGACGTTACGCGCACCGGCGACCTCGACACGCTAAGCCGCCTCGAGTCGGCGATCGCCACGTACACCTCTCGACACTTGGCCCATCGTTGCACGTCAAACTAGGACGCGCCCGGGTCTCTCGCCGTTCTTGCGGCTCTACCACCTGCCCGTCCAGCGCGGCTACGTCAACGAGAGTGCCATGGTGCGGTCGTTCACGGACACGAGCGTGTGGGCGCCGAGCGTGCGGCACATTTTATCCCGACACGACCTGCTGCAGTCGTGCATGGACGCGGCGCTCACGTCGATCGCGTCGGCGCCACTTCGAGCCCTCACGGCGGCCGTGAACCCCGTCTTTGTCGTACACGACCACGTCGTTCTCAAGTGGTTTAGCTCGCTCAACCGCCAGTGGGCCGACTGCGACCTCCCGACCGCGCTCACGCCGCACGTGCGTGGCGTCGACGGCGTCGACGTCATCACGTTCCTCGAAGCCGCGTTCGTCAACGAGTGCCTTGTCTACGATGCGATCGCTGCGCACGGCTCGCCACTGCTGCAAGCAGCGACGCCGACGCTCTTGGCGCGTGGCACACTGCACCCTGAGATTGACGACGACGACGTCGTGTGGCGCTGGCCGTACCTTGTGCTCTCGTACAACGCCGACGACGTCTCGGTCGCAACGATGCTGGCGCGCGGTGACCCGCTCTCGCCGGCGTCGTGGTCCAGCTTGGTCGATTGGCTCGGCGACGCGTGGTTCCCGGCCTTCCACGCCCTTCCGGTACCATACGAACGAACGAACGAACGATACGGCAAACGCTCATGCACCATTCTCTCAGGTGCCGTCGATGCCCAGCGCCGTGGGCCCGACGCCCCGCAACAGTATGCAATGGTACACCGAGTACCTCGGCCGTCTGCGCGCCAAGTGCGTCGGAGGTACCGCTGCACCCGCGTACGAACGCCATGTATATGCTACTGTAGTGCACTTGGACAATGGCGTGCTGCCCGACCACTTGATGGATCAGATGGACGCGTTCGTACCAAGCTGCGCCGCGTCCTTGGTCCTCGATGTGTCATCGTCGCCCGTGTTGTTGCATGGCGACTTGACGGCCGAGAACGTACTCGGGCGGCCGCCGTGGACCGACGCGCTGCGGGCGGCGCTGCCACCGGCCGTCGCGTCGCCGCTCGAGGCGTTTGCGGCCGCGCACCAGATCACGTCGCTCGCGCAGCTCGCGCTCGAGGCGCCCGAACTCGACGGGCTGACGTGGCCGCTGCGCCGCCGCCTCCTCGCGGTGGCCCACGTACGTACACGATGTACGATGTACGCGCGCCCGATACATTGTGCGTAGCGGGCCAAGGTGCACGCCGCCAGCTTTCTCTTCGCTGACGAGGAGGAGGAGACCTCGGGCGAGAAGGAGCCAGTGTTTGTGGGCGGCGCGTCGTGGGCGCCGACGACGGTGCTGGACTTTGCCGACATGAAGACGGGCGACGCCATCTGGGACCTCGTGCCCGTCATCTTTTCTCTCCTCGTATATAGTACCTATCGAGGGATGTGGTCTCAGAGTATGCGCTAGCATGGCGACGTGGCCCTCGTACGCCAGCTTCTTCGCACGGCGCACTGGGCCAAGATCGTGGGCCCGCACCGCGCCGAGCTGCCGCTGCTGCTCATGCGCCTCACCTTACTGCACCCGAGTCAGAGCGTCACGGTCATGCTCGAGCGCTACCCTGCCGTCGCCTCGGCGGCGACGTGGACCGACGCGGCGAACCTCGTGTTTGGCCCGATGCTTGCGTAGAAGAAGCATGCAGATAAATCACATTCGAGTTGATGCGAAAAGACAACGCGTCGGCTAGAGCGTCGATGGCGGCGCGCTGGACGTGTATCGGTCGACGTCGTCTTGCGCCATGTCGGGAAACAGGACGTGCATGGTCATGGCGTCGGCGGCCTTGTGGTCGGTTTGGCGCCAATGGCGATCGACGTCGTCGCCAACGAGGATCGGGATGCTCTGTAGGCCGCTGCTGGCGGTGCTGGCCGAGCTGCTATAGTGCGACGGCGACCGTGTCAAGAGTGTCGCGGGCATGTCGTCGCCGAGCTTGGCGATACTAGGCCCGCAGCACGTCACGAACGCTTTGCGCCACTGCTCAAAGGACCCTGAATCGTACGTTGCGAGGTAGTAGGACTTGGGCTTCTTGGCGCCGGCAACAACGATGTGGAAGGTGAGCGCAGACGACGCGACGCGGCGCACGGAGAGCAGTCGGCGCGTCTGCTTGAAGCCACCGGCGAACGTGTCTTCCGAGTCGTATTCGTACAGCGAGGTGTCCTTGAGGACGAAGAAGCGGCGTCGCCAGAGGCTCATGAGCCCCGAGACGCTCTTGAGGCGCAGCCAACCGCTGATCGTGGGCATTTTCTGGGGCGGTTGTACGGTACGGATGTGCGAATGAGCAACTGCACTGACCACATGCGCCGATGGTGTCACACCCCTTGTGCCTCTCGTGCTGCCACGTACGGTTCGCGTCCGTTGTTTGAAGCACACATCACGTACAGTACGTACATTCCGTACATGAGGTCAATGGACGATGTACGCTCGCGGGCTGTTCCAAGTACAACGTCCATCATGGCGCCGGACAGGCCGTCGCGACAGGCGACTCAGAAAGATCGCGATGCGGGCAGTAACAGCGCCTTGGTAAAGAGCCGCGACGCGAGAAGAACGCATTACGGCCAGACGTCCATGCACCACGCGGGCGTACAGTCCAATGCACCGGTATAAATCTTACCAAGGGCGCGTCCGGCGGAGTATCCGCCTTTCGGTCTGGGAGGGTTGATTAAATCCCCCGGCTCGAGCCGATATTATCCCATCCATCCATGGGTACTCGATCCATCATCCTGATGATGAGTACGCTCGTACGTGGGCGTCGTGACCGTGCATCCCACCGTGCCATCGCAACATCGGTCTGATCCGCCACGTGGTGGTGGGCGTAGAAAGGGCGCATCGATGGTTGACATGTATACTGGAGTGGAATAAATATTAGCGACATCACGGCAAGATAGCGGCCTACGACTGCTGCATGGCGTCGCGGTTGACCATGCGCACATGCTGCATGCAGAGGCCGCCGACGCGAGCAAAGTCGTTGCAGTTGGCGACGCGGCAGCGCGACCCGCCGCCGTGGAGCCGGCAAAAGCCGCGGGTTTGGGCCGCAGTCTCGCAGCCGTCGATCTTGCAGCGCCGGCCGCCGCCGTGCCGCGTGCAAAAGCCGCCGTGCCGCGCAAACGCCGTGCAGCTGGTCGCTTGGCACTTGCGGTGGCGGTTCGTACGCGTCGGCTTGGCGGCTTCGGAGCCCGTTTCGCTGGCCGACTTGGTCGAGGTCGGCGAAGCGACGTGGAGTGTGCGCGCGTGGATCAAGCAGAGGTCGTTGAGCTTGGCGTAGCGGTAGCAGTTGTGGTGGTAGCTGCACGGCGCGGGCGCTTCGGGGTGGAGACCTTGGAAGTTCATTGTGGCTAGACGGCGCAAATGAAACACTGGGAACACCGACGTCGAGGACAAACAGACGCATGACTGCCAGTGACATCCATCGTTGAAGGTATGGGTGGGACTCCACATAGCAAAGTGGCCATCAACACCAAGTACGCCTGTCCGCCGCAGGTTCCAGCTGCTTTCCAAGCACACGAGCCAGTCCACACGCATCAACCTAGGGCCGTGTCCACATACTGCATCGTGTTGTTGCGGCTCTGCAAAATAAACGAGCGACGACACGGAGCCACACGGCAAGCACCGATACCTTGGAACGCCTCTTGCGCTCACCACCACGCGCCCCCACCTTCGTACGAACATGCTGCCACCATCCCTCGTCTACGGTAGTCGAGTTGGTCACATGCCCGTGACCCTCTCGAAAGAATGTGTAATGCAAGTCAAATGTGCCCAGTCATGGCAAATGTCAAATGGCCTTTCTTGAATGACCCGTGGTCAAGTACTTCAGCTTTCCCCGTCAACGACTGCGCTCGGTACGCGACCTGGTCCTGAACGTAGTACTACACCGGTCGTCGTCTTTGTCGTGCGTGCGATGGCACAAGGGACGACCGAGAAAATGCACCCAAGAGTCTCTTCGATCTCGGCATCATGGTGGACAATGACTCGCGCGCTCGTTATGCGTGTCGCATGGGCTCGCGCGGCGGATACGAGTAGGGTTCGTCGAGCCGAGTACCTCGATCAAGACGAGATGGTATCTGCATCGGTCGGGACGCTGGAATGTTGTTTGTGTCGTCGTCTCGTGGCGCGGGGAGACGACCAGCGCGGCAGACTTGCGTCCTAGCATCCAGCTTAGTCCCGGTCCTGTCTAAGGACACATAAACTTGAAGCTGCGGGAAAAACACGCGGCCACCCAGTGGGTGCGACACCGTTCACGTGAACAGCCATCGGTCTGAGAAGGTCAATTCGTTTTTTGTACACTCCACTTCTTAAGGCCGCTACTGGGACGCTGCCGGCGCCGATCTCGTCGCACTCGTATCCAGCTGGCTACGACGGCTCAACGGATGAATGCCTTCGCCAGTGGACGCTCGATGAAGGTGTTCCGATGTCGTCGAGGGCACTTGTCCTACCTTGCCGAATGCGTTGCGATCATCCGGTGCCCACATGCAGCGCCTTCAGTGCCAACACATATGGTCCAAGTGGATTTAACACGCTTTCACGCACGTGAAAATTACATCACTACTTGATCCTTGTATGGATGGTGATGTGCGAAATATTTCCCACGCAATGGTGTGGTGGCCGCCATGAACCACGCGCGATGGAATGGGTTGACTTCAACGCGACGTGTGGCTTGCGCTGTCGCCGTCGGAGAAGCACCACCGTGACGGTCATCAAGCTAAGAGCACTCGGAAAAGGCGTCGAGTGGCTGTAAACAGACTGTCGGTAACCGTAGACGTCGGGCGTTCACTCGGGCCCGTGCATCCCAGTTACTCGCGGCTTCGATCTTGCACACTCGTTCGGCCGTCGTGTGCAATTGTATCGAGTTTACATCATTGTGAGGCCACTGGGTGATGGCGACTCGTTACTTCGCTCTGAGTTTCGGCCCGCATAGCCGTCGTCGTCGTCGTGCTATAGGTATCACGCTGACGAGGTATGCGCGTCGCATGCTGAGTGGCCCTTCTCTGCGCAACGAGTCCGTACGATGCTGCATCAACACTGTGTTGGAAGAGTTGTTCTCGTTGGGTTTTCGGGTGTATTAGCTTTGGAGACTCCGTCGTTTCGAGAACGACGACGATGCACCACCACCACGACTCTCGGGCTGGAGAAGGACCCGACGCAATCAGTGCACAGACGCACGGTTCGTGTCTTTCGAGCCGTAGACAAGGCGGTGATGCGCTATCGATTCTACGTATACAGCCCCGTGGCCACGTATGCGGGCGGTCGCTTTCGATAGCATTCTTTTTTGCTGCACACGCGAGACGGGTTGGGTGGGGGGAAGGTTTTGGGACATTCCTCTTATTAGTTCAACGCACGGTATACCCAGACTCACGTCGAGAGGGACAAGCACCAAACTGGTAGAGCTGCCGGTTGCAGTAGTTGGTGTGTCGCGCTGTTGTGCCATCTCTTGACGCGTCGCTGGCCACTCTCCGCGACGACCATTGGTGTGCACGCTACCTGGCCCCTCGCACAATAATCTCGCTCACGACCACTAACGCTCCTCGCTGACGCACCGGCCACGCCTCACGAGCGCATTAGGAAGTCCACCATGTCTTTCTAATTGCATGTAATATAACTCAGTTCAACAACTACTGGCGATTGCAGTACAATTTTTTTCGAAAATTGATTTGGCGCGCCACTGAATTGTATACTAGTACCATAAATGAACGTGTTTCGCGTTATCGTCGTTGTTACAAAGGGATCGCATACGTAGAGACTAGCAATATCTTTCCTCTTCATTCGCTTGCCGGGCCGTGGCTGCGGCGCGGGGGCTCGTCTGGCTCTTCTGTAGTCGCCCAAGGGCCCAAGGGTGCTTGTGGCCGCGGGTGAGGCCCATGACGACACGCAGTGTAAAGGCTTTCCAGGCTTTGCCGTCGGTGGTAAAGCTATGCAGTTTGTTGAGGTCCTCTGGAGACGCCAGCGACCGAGGCAGCGTCAACGACTAGAGGTCGCGGTGCAGCACGATCGGCAACGCGATCTTGGTGCGGCCTAAAAACGGGGCGCCTTGGGCGCGGCAAAGAAGCGGGCGGCGGCAATGTTGGCAGGGGTGTCTTCATTCAGGCGCTGCACGTGCCCCAGCAGACGCTAGCGCTGGCGGGCAACGATCTCGCTCAGCGGGACGCTGTCGCAGCGGTCGTAGAGAGCGACATTGCCGAGCGGGCTCGGGTGAAAGATACCTAGAAGGCGGCGCAGCTGCCGGCGATGGAAGCTACCTAGGCCCGCCAGCCTCGTTGGCGTCAGGGCCCACGTGCCACTGTCGCACAAAAGGACCGGGAGCACGCACCCCGCTGCTATGCATACTTCTTAATATATGTGGTATCGAATGGGTTCATCTGTACTAACTGGCCCTCCTTCTGTGGCACCAGTGTCGGACGAGATTTTCGGCGCGGCTAAGGTTCGGAAAATGACGTGGCAGCACGCAATGCGTTTTTGGTGGCGCCGGTTTCAGCAACCTGGTCCGAAACGACGGAAAGGTCAACGCGACGCCAAGTGCATCTCTGCACCGATGGCCGACTATGCTACAATCGCCGATAACTTTGTGTGCACGACCATGAGCAGCGGGCACCGACGACTGCACACGGGCTGGCTGCACATGAAGCAGCGCTCGTTCCTCTCGGGCTGGAAGCGGCGCTTCTGCGTCCTCAAGCGGGACCGCGACGGCGCGTACGTGTACCTCCACGTGTACAAGGGCAGCAACACGGTCAACGAGCCGCTCCTCGAGTCGATTGCGATCCGCCAAGTCAAGACACACGTCCTGCACGCCAGCTCCAAGACGCCGTTCGTGCTCGAGGTGCTGCCGTACGTCTCGGCCACAGCGCTCTTTGCCTGCAGCGACGAGCGCGTCTTTCGAGGCTGGGAGACCCAGTGTGACGCGGCTGGCATCGACATGGTGGCGCGCGTGACGAGCTCCGCGTCCGTGTCAACGTCCAGCAACGACACGGACGCGACCGAGAAGGAGCCAGGGTTGTTTGAACGCCTCGGGAAGGCGTACATGAAGACGTTCCTCATGGACGCCGCGACGGCCAATGACATTGCCGTGTCCAAGCGCCTTCCGTCGCGCCACAATAACTCCATCGAACGCAAGATCGAGAGTCGGCTGCAGCAGTGGTTTGTCGGCGGCGCCGACTGCGGCAAATGCTCGGTCAACGGCATGGACGTCGCGGGACCCGCCGCGTTGCCGCAGCAAGTGACACTGCACATGGTGTCCCCCGGTGGCTGGAAGTGGTGCGTGACCGAGGTCTACACAACACTGCCGCGCACGACGTTTCGGTGGCGCCAAGTGGGCTATTTCCACGGCACCTTCCAAGGCGTACCCGGCAACGGCGACATGATCGAGCTCGAGGGCTTTTGCCACATGGACTTTGACGCGGCGTCCAGAAAGCCCACGCACCTGCAGCTCTTCTACACTGTCGACGGCCTCCTCGCCGCACTGCAGGCGTACGTGCGCGAGAAGAACCTCGCGACTGCCGTGTGACCACTGATAAGCGTCGCGTAGCCGACCGTTGTTTACATGTCGTTTCCATCGTAGCTCTTGCAAGCGCCCAAGAAGGTGCTTCGGTCGACCAGTTGGGCGGAACGTTGGTGTTGAAGCAAACACGCGCCAGAATAAACTGCGTGCACGATCCCAACCACCTATCTTTCTGTGTACCCTTATCAGCGTTCGCATCATCGCCGCGGGCGTTCGGACTCGCTCCAGTGGCTCTCGCGGCTGTACAATATTGTACCCGTTTTGCTTGACGCTCCAGCTCCTGCCACCAAGGGACCCTGGACGGACTTGCGCGCAGAGGCGCTTGCCACGATATTACTTCGAGCCCGAGATCGAAGTTCGAAGAAATGATTTTGATTGGTCCTTCTTCGTAGGACTTGCATTATTTGCGATGGCAACGGCCGAGGTCGAGAAGTACGCGACGTTCGTGGAGGAGACGCTGCGGCCGCAGCTGACGGCCGCGCTCGCGCAGCGCGACGCGCTCGACGCCGACGTGGCCGAGTACGACAACCTCGTCGAGATGCTTTCGGGCAAGGCGGCGGCGGACGCGCAGAACAAGGCGTGGAAGCTGCAGTGCGACCTCGGGAAGCAGTGCTATGCCAAGGTCAAGGTCGCGCCCCATACGCCCGTGGTCGTGCACGTGGGCCTGCAGGTGTACGTTGAGATGGCAGCCTCGGACGTGCCGGCCTTTGTCGCTGGCCGCAAGCAGTTTTTGGCCACGAAGCGCGAGCGCCACCAAGCCAAGGCGCGTGAGATCGCCAGCCACATCCAACAAGTGCTGGACGCCGTCGAGGCGCTTGCCAAGCTCCAGTCTGCAGCACCCAAATAATAATATACCGTCCAATGTGCCATCTACCAGATCTTATAGAGCGACGCGATGGCGTGGGATAAAGATTATATATACGTGGTTACGACAAGAGACGACTACTGGTACAAAAGCAAACGCGGTGGGTTGGCCTCACAAGTAGATCTAAACAGTGAGGTAAGAATCAACCGCATCATGGACATAAGCTTCGTACCATGCCGTATTGGTGGTTGGCGTCCTTGTCGACGACCTGTTGCTGCGCGGCCATGCGTGTCGGCTCCTTGCGCGCCGCCGGCGCCGTGTTGTGCCGCACGAGCAGCTGCCGGCACGCGGTCGGGAGCAGGTCGCGCTCCACGAGGTGCTTCATGAGCGTGTTGCACTCGGCCTCGGTGATGGACACGGCGGCGAGGTGGTCGTCGCCCTGGCGCGAGAGCCGGCGCACGAGGAAGCTGGTCATGGACATGGGTCTTGGGTGGCTGGAGCGGCGAAGATTCGAAAATGACCTACAGCGGCCGCCGACCGCGTCGTTTCATTGGCCAAAACTACGCATAAAAACGGTCCCACGACGATCGACCTGTCCCAAAACATTGGCATACAAATCCCAAGATGTTGGACCGACACGGTGTAAAAAGCAATTCTCACGGTGGGAAACCACGCGCATCTTTGGCGCCAGCTTCAAGGTCCCCCTTTAGAAAGTCGCCATGCGGGATGTTGCACGGCGTGCTTGGGTGCTGCCGCTCAGCTGCAATTTGCTCCTCGCATCACCCTGCGCCCAGACAACGACACTACGCAGTGGTACGCTGACATGCGATCCAAGCAATTCGACGGTGTTTTTGTATTGCTTTCCAAAGGTATGAATGGTACCGGTACTGGATATACCGGTACTTCTCTTGCCCGGCGGTGTGAAAAACGACGGGTTGGACGGTCAGCGTCCTCGGTGAACTGTGATTTTCACCGTGGCACTACCGGTATCTAGAATTTCCTTTGCGAACGGACCCATTAATTCACGAACGCAGGAGCGAATGCGCCTGTCTGGGAGTCCTGGATCCTTTTCGTTTGTCGAGCGACGACGTCGCAGACGTCCATGTCCATGCTTCTGCGCCATTGCCGCGGGCCTTGTATGCTTGGATGATGGAAGGATGGATGGCTGACGTTGCCCACATGTCCGCGTGAGAAATTGGACATGTGGGAAAGGCGGTGGGAAATACCACCATTTCCCACGTAGTGCCATGTTGAAGTTGCCAGTTCTTCTGCCTCGTGATCTTGGTTCAAGCTCGTGAAGGGGCGCGACTCTATCTGCCTGCCGCTGTCCGACCGTTCCGTGCGGTAACTCCGCCGGCAGCAAACTGCCAACGTGTTATGCATTCCTTTAAATACCATGAGGAGTTATCGCCTGGCAGCGATTGCGTGGGGCCACCGGGCGACGCATGGGGGTTACGACATGGCGAGAACATTGAGTAGCTTCACGTGCGTGCGAGGCTTGTCGGTACGGTACCGGGTATTACAAGAACTTTTTTTAATCCTAAAGGCGCGCTTCGTCGGCGCACGAATGTGGGCCGCCAAACGCCGACATTCGGGTGATATCTTGAATCGGAATGAGGGCTCCATGGGCGCTTTGGACGTTTTTATCTCATGCGACTCACAGTCAATTCGACGGCGTCAAGCTAAGAGCGAGTCTTCAGGAAGGTCGTGGAACGATGGGGCAGGTGCAACGGAATCGGCAGCCGCCCGTGGGCGATGACAACCGTTTTGGGTCCACGACTTCAGTATTTCTTAAAAGTTACGGTATTTAGGAGGTCAGAAGGAGAAGATAACGGGGTTCTCCATCCAAGCGTCAAGATGCGGATGGTCAGGTGTGCAATATAGCCCCTGGATCGACCTGGTCGACGCAGGGGCTTTAGCTCAAGAAAATACGTTTCCTGGTTTACGTGATGCAAGTGGCTGGGCAAAAGGCAGAGAGCATATAATGTGGACAAAGATGGACAAGACAGGGGTATCTGTGAAGAGGGTTGTCGGGGTCCTCCCGTAGGGAGGTCAGAAATTAGTGAAGCCGCATTGTTTGTAAGACGTCCACGGTAATCTTTAGTAAAAGGCGAAAGATTAGTGCGAGTAAACGCTTTACTGCGGGATATTTTCCGATGTAGGATGATTTGGGCTATAGCTGCAAACCAAACAAAATCAAAACCCATTCGTTTGTTCCTTACGTACAAAAGGAGGATTCCACGGGAAACGGCCAGTTGTAGCCGACTCGAGATCGGATCCTTGAACAGTGCACCGACGGACACAAGGTGGTCGACTCGACCACCTTGTGTCCCGTCGGTGCATTGTTCCTGCTGCATGCGCAGTTCAAGCCCATACGTGGTGTCCCTTCTTTCTCTTTCCCAGTGACTTGTGCATCGCAACCACCAAGTCAGTTCTTTCTCCACCGAGGAGTTCACTGAGGACTTACGCAACCGTTGGTGGCAGGAGGTTGGGCGGCCAGGAGACCGAGGCGATTGCTTCGCGCTGCATATACCATTCGTCCGTGCCCACGGGCAGCAACGTGAGGTCTTGCGCCTGCGCTGGTGATTTGATTCGATGACGTGGCGCCGTGGGCACAAAGCTTGCCAAACATACTGGGAAAAACACCCTATTTTGTCACGAGACCTGAAGTTGGCCAGCGTTAAAGAGGACGGTACCTCTTTTTGGCATTTTAGATGTGCCCATACAAACGCCAAGCTATTTGTATTCGGATGTTTAATGTAATTAAAAAGACTGCAATTTGCCAAGAAAGATATCGTGGGGGCGACGACGATGGCGTTCCGCTCGACCCGGTCGACCCGCGCGAAGGAGCGGTCGGTGCTCCAGCGCGGTCTGCATGCGCTCGGAAGCTTCTGCGGCGCGCGTCCATGGACCGTCATGGCCATGGCCATCGGCGCCAGCATCCTCGGCTCACTCGGCGTGCTGCACATGACCATCCAGAACGAGCCGCAAAAGCTGTGGGTGCCACCGACGTCGACGTCGGCGATGCAGCAGCGCTTCTTTGACGAGCACTTTGGGCCATTCTTCCGCATCGAGCAGCTCATCTTCCACTTGCCCAACGGCAGCGACAACGACGTCATTTACAAGGCCTTTCTCGCCGAGGTCGGCGAGCTCCAGCAGCACATCATGACGACGAACGCGACGCTCGGCAACGAAACCATTGGCCTCGACGACCTCTGCTTTCGGCCCATTCCGGGCAAAGGCTGCCTCGTCGAGAGCCCGATGCAGTACTGGCGCGGCGACGTCGCGCTCGTCGCGTCCGACCCCGACATTAAGCTCACGATTGCCTGCCAAACGACCCATCCCAACGTACGAACGCGCCCATGCACGCGCGTCTGAAGCGTATCTTCTTACTATGCACGCATGTAGCTCACGTCCTTCTCTCCCTGCATGGACCAAAACGGCGTCCCCGTCATGCGCGACGTCGTCTTTGGAGGGCTCTCGACCGACAGTTGCCACAAGAACCCGGATCCTTGCGGCGACCCCACGCCCCGCGCGACGGCGCTCATAGTCACCTTCCTCCTCGTACGCTGCCTCCTCCATCTATATCTGCATGCAGCAACGATTTGCTAGACCAACGACATGGAGCCGGCGGCGCAGGCCCGCGCCAAGGCGTGGGAAGAGCAAGTGTTTCTGCATCTTGCAGCAACGTACGTCTCCAAGGTCGGGCTCGTCGTCGAGTCGATGGCCCAGCGCTCGGTGGAAGACGCGCTGACGGTCGAGACGCAGCGAAACGCGTTCATCGTCGTCTTGAGCTACCTCCTCATGTTCGTCTACGTGGCCATGGCGCTCGGCAAGCCGCTGGATCCGGTCAAGTCGCGCTACGTGCTCGGGCTCTGGGGCATCTCGATCGTGATTGCGTCCATGGGCATCGCTTTTGGTACATGGACGATGCATTTTCTTGTATCAAGGTATCAAATGATGTGCCATATATATAGGTATCGCGGTCACGGTGCTGCACATGGACATTACCATGATCACGCTCGAGGTCGTGCCCTTCCTCATCCTCGCGATCGGCGTCGACAACATGTTTATTCTCACCAACGAACTCGACCGCGTCCTCCGCGCGCAGACGCACATTCCCCGCGGTAGCAGCACGCTCGTTTGATTTCATACTGGACGTAAGATGCGTAGAGTTTACCTCGCTGCCGCAGCTCCTTGGCGATGCAATGGCCAACGTCGGCCCATCCATCACAGTGTGTTTGAAGGAAGACGCATGCGACGAGCTGTATGACACGTACTAGGTGGCCGCGGTGTCCGAGTCGCTCGCCTTCCTTGTCGGCGCGTACACCAAGATCCCGGCGCTCGAGTCGTTTTGCATTGTGGCCGCGCTGGCCGTCGTCGCCGACTATGTGCTGCAGATGACGTGGTTTGCCGCGGCCTTGGCCATTGACGCGCGGCGTGTGCGCGTGCGTCCTCCTCATGTATACGTCGTATGTAGTATGCGTGACGTAGGCGCGTCGGTACGACTTGATGCCGTGGATGAAGAAGCCGTATGTGCTCAGCCCCGACAAGAACCGGCAGATCCGAGCCTACTCGGAGGACTTTGAAGATGGCGAGACGGCGTCCGTCGTGCAGTCCTTTCTGGACACGCGCTGGATCCCGACCTTGTTTTCGGCCCGTGTCAAGACTCTTGTGGTGGGTGATGCGAGCCAGTACTTCATTTGGAGCACGACATGTGATGGAGAGTTGTGTAGCTCGGACTCTGGCTCGGGTGGCTCGCCTGGAGCGCCTATGCGTTCACACAGATACCCATGGGCCTCGAGCAGACGCTGGCGATTCCGACCGACTACTACCTCCACGACTACTTTGAGGCGCAGACCAAGTACGGCGACGCAGGCCCGCCGGCGTACATTGTACGGCATCCCGTGCAGCCTGCTTGTTGACGTTGAGTAGGTGCTGCGCGATGTCAACTTTACGGACGGCCACGTGCAAACCAGCACGCTGCAGTTGCTCGACAACCTCTCGCTTCTGCAGCCGTACCTCGGGTCGACGATCTCGTCGTGGCTCAACACGTTCAACCAGTGGCGGCAGCTGCGCCAGTTCCTTGCCGAAAGCACGAAGAAGGTGCATCCAAGGTTCTGCGACGAGCGAGATGGCATATCGGAGATGTGTAGAGCTCAGCGACTGTCCCGAGCAGCCGCTGGACCCGTTTCCGTTCGAGACGTCCGACCCGAGCGCCCGCACGACGCCTCTCGAGCTCTACTACCCGCTCGTCCAAACGTTTACGCGCATCCCGATCGAGTCGCAGTGTTGTCAGAGCTACGGTCTCTGCGGCGCGCAGTTTGCAATGGACATTGATTTCACGCTGCCTGTGTACGACGACGACGCTCTCCATCTCAAACACGAACATGGAGATTCAGGTTCAGCGTAGGGCCGACGGCAACGCGACGGCGATTGCTGCATCGCGCATGCGGTTCCAAGTCGCGCCGATGACCAACCAGTCGATGTTTATCAACTCGTTCTACTACCTCACGACGCTCACGGCCGAGTGGAGCCAGCCGCTGTACGCCTCTTGCACGCATCTCGGATCGGATCGATTAGTATTTCGGTAGGTCCGCCATGCCCGACGCGGCCTTCCCCTACAGCCTCTACTTTGTCTACTACGACCAGTACTTGACCATCCAAGGCATTGCTCTGCAAAGCGTCTTGCTCGCTCTCGGTACGCCGATGTACACGATCCTGCTCAAATTTGGTTGGTTGTAGGCGTCGTCTATGTCTGCCTGGCACTCTTGCTGCCGCACCAGCTGCGGACGTGCCTGGTCGTGACAGTGGGCGTGGCCTCGATGGCCATGTCGCTCATCGGCGTCGTGCACCTCTGGAACCTCTGCTCGACGCTGCACACGTCCATCAACGCGGTACGCTGGACACGTGTTGGCTATCTAACTCTTGAGGGGTAGGTCTCGGTCGTCAACTTGGTTGCGTGCGTCGGCCTCGGTGTCGAGTTCAACATTCATGTCGCGTCGACCTTTGCGGCGCTCCAGAGCTCGAAGCTCGAGCGGGCCAAAGTCGCGCTCTCGGTCGTCGGGCCGTCGATCGTGAGCGGCATCACGCTCACCAAGGTCGTCGGCGTCGGCGTCCTCGCGTTCGCCCACTCGCAGCTCTTCCAGGTGTACTTCTTCCGCATGTACGCCTCGATCGTCGTCCTCGGTGCGCTCCACGGCCTCGCACTCGTGCCGCTCTTGCTGAGTCTGTTGGGGTCGACGGCCCCGCGCCACCGCCTTCTCGACGGTCCCGCGTCGGACTTTACACGCGGCCTCCTCAGCGACGACTCGGACACGGACGACTAGTCTTCCCCGTTCTAAACATATCACAACACTTGTGATGGATTCGCTACATGGTTTCTCGTGTTGGCGCTTCAACACCAGCAACCACGGCAGACTTGCAGGTGGATCGATCGTGGCTCAAGGTCGGCGACGGACTTGCATTTCTCAAGTAAAGTTGGCATTTATGGCGATATACTGCGGGTGCTACGAACGGTTTAGAGATGGTGAGGGCTGGTCCTTCACGCAGCGCTGGTTGTTAAGAAGGAGCGGTCTTTTGATTACTGAAAGATCGTCATGTAAATGGCTTCTTTTTCAGGGAACAACTTGGCCCAAGGGTCTGTGCTGTGCACATGGGGCCAGTACGACGACGACGACTGCCTTGCAAGCTCATAATCGAACGTGGTGGAGTACCTGCACGTGGAAGGAGCGCTGCAGAAAAGTGCAAGTCGCGGCATGCATGAGCGTCCCGAGTGGTTCGCATGGCCGGTGCAGCGTGGGATCGTCGTGCTAAGGAGGCGTGACGTCGCCCACATACAACCTTATACCCAGCTCCACTTCCCACGGCCACCTCAACGAGAGAGTGTCTTCCTGCTCATCCGGTGCCGTTCGATTTGTATCGACGACCGACGCTCGCCACCTCTTCGCGATTCGCCGTGCGCCCTTGCGACCGCGAGGAGGATGCGTCCAAAGACTTTAGCTCCAGCGCTCCGACAGGCCACGACATCATCATTGGCTTGTCGGTCGTGACGCGCGGCCCTGAGACGAGCAGCAAAGAACCAGCCTTTTGTCGCCGACGCCAGCTAATAGTACCGAGGGGCCCAAGAGCTGGCATCACGACGCGTCGTGGCTCGCGACCATATCTATACTACTGTGCCTTGCAGCATTACGGTACGTCCGGCGGCTGCGCCTCCTCGGTGGTCAGCCAAAGGGCAAACTCGGCGCCTCTGGTCCGCGCTTCCTGATTGGCTACACGAGTGGTCTCAGGTTCAACATTTCTAGGTCAACCGCCCCGCCTTTCTAGCGCTACACTTGGTGTTTGTATGGAAGCGCGCGGGGCCTTGGTATGACAGCCCGCCGCCGAACCTCCTCCTCCTTGTTGCCGTTGCCGACGAAGGCAGAAGCAGCAGCATTCCACATCATCGTGTCACCCAAGCATGGCCTCGGCTGCGGCGCCGACGCCGATGCTGCCGCCGATCCGGCGCTACGTGCGCGCGAACAGCGACCTCGCCCAGCGCATGTACTTTGTCCGGCGCAAGCACGTCCAGTTCTCGACCGTCACCACGTTCGAGTTCAAAGTCGACTATGGCGGCAGCGCCGTGCCGACCGAGACGGGCCCGCCGATAGGCCTCGCGCGGCGCCACTGGCGCGCGAAGACGACCGCCGTCGCCAACGCCACGGGCGTCGTGCGCAAGTTTGACCACTTTGAACGCATCCAGCTGCTCAAGCAGGCCAAGTACGACGTCAAGGACATTGCTGCGTTTTGCCTCGACGCCGTCGCCGCGCGCGCCGCCCGCATGGAGACGCGCGCCGAGCTGCTTCAAGAACGATCGCGGAAGCGGCCAATCGACCGAATCATGCTTGGCAACGACGACGAGGAAGAGGACATGAAGCCGCCGCAACGACTGCGACCCAACAACGAGCCCCTTCTCATCTAACTTCTTAACTTATTCTTCTTGACGCGCGTTGACTTGCGGTTGCCGTAAAGTGCATGTTCTTTCCACGCGACTGTCTCTGTCGTCGGACATGCGACCGCCTTACAGAGACAAACGAGTAGTTATTAATCCCATGCGATGGCTTTCCATGGTCGAGGTATGACAGCCACGACACACCCACCTGCCATGGACGATATTGTTGGAGGACCCTCCTTTGCGAGTGGCACAAACGGTATGCAGCACGTAGAGCTCTAATAGCACCGTGCTAGCAGCTCGTCCTTGGGTCTCTAGCGATTCTCTGAGAGAAGCGTCTTCCTCTGCTCCTATCCACGTCGATTCCTATAGCGAGGCCGTGCGATATCAGTTCTTGGTTTGTGCGAGCGCCACGTCATGCCCACAGAAGCGTTTTGGATCGAGCTCGTTTCAAACTTGGAACGGTCGTCGACGATGGCGACGGGCCCGCGGAAGGACAAGCCGAGCCGGCCCATTAGCTCGATCGGGCAGAGCAGCTTCCAGCTGCACGCGACGCATGAGTCGTCGTCATCAGCTGACGACGCGTTCGACATCAAGCAGTTTCTTCTCGGTACCTGGCTTCGAGTGGGTCCTCTTATACTACATTCGACTAGAAAAGAAGAGCGGGCAGCCGCCGTACGCAGCGTCCGGGCTCTTCCGCACCAACGCGCGCGACTTTGCCGAGGCCGTCGACGCGCCGCTCTCGTTCACTCGCGTCCTCAAGAAGAAGCAGCTCCCGCGCATGACACGGTCGACGCCAAATCTATCCAAGCCCGGACACACCACAGCTGTGAACCAATCGTCCGAGGCCGACCAAAGCGTGGTCGGGTACCGCATCTACTCGATTGAAAACATGATGGATGCGTCGTTGCATGCGATTCGATCGCAGAACATGACGTGGCAGACCCTCCGGACGAGCGGTACATCGCTTGTGTTGCTACATATTGGACCATGCGATCGACCGCGTAGACCTGCGTCTCGAGTGTCCGTCCAAGCGCAGCGACGTTGTCGACCTTGAACACTGCTTTGACGCGGCCATGAGCTATGCCAGCGGGCCCATCAACTGGGACGGCGACCGCCAAACCGCGCTCATTGACCGCGACTACATGTCGGTGCGTCGTCGTCTTCTTGTCCACTCACCAAGACATGCAAATATAACAATAACCCGTGCGAGTAGGTGCAGAGCCACGTGTCGGCCAAGTACATGGCGTCCGTCTCGGAGGCCGAAGTCCGCCAACTGACGACCATGGTTTTTGAGCAAAAGTGGGCGGACATTACGATCGGCGAGCTCGAAGCGATGCTCATGGTGTCCTTCCTCGAGCAAGGCACGCTGCTGCGCAAGGTGCGCATCCAGTACGCCATGACGTATGCGAACCTCGAGACGCTTCTCGGCGAGAGCCTCGTAGGCCTGGCGACGCGATCTTGGACCTTCATTCTTTACGCAATGTAGGTCGTCAAAGCGCGCGCGGTGCAAGCTGAGGCCGACATGCGCGCCAAGCTCGAGAGCTTGGGCCACGAGCACGCGGCGGCCATCGCAGCTCTGCGCCTCGACGATGAGCAAGCGCTGCAAGTGCTGCGCGCCGAGGTGCGCGCACCTCACGTGCGAGAAGAGGATCACACGATGGGGCCGGCTAGATGGAGCACGAGCGTGGGGAGGCGGACCGCAAGATCCAAGACGCGCGCGACCAAGTGGCCAAAATGAGCGAGACCATGAAGACGCTCAACGGCATCTTCAAGCAGATGCGCGAAGACTCGGACAAGGTCCGCGCCATGGAGCTCAAGGAAGCCAACCAAAAGGTAGCTTGCCTCGGACGCTGTGCATTGACGAGTCGTTTAGCTCGAGAAGCGATGCGATACGCTCAAAGATGAAGTCGACCGCCTCCGAAGCCTCATTCCTCGCATCAAGGTCTTGGAAGCGACGACCGAGACACAGACGTCCGAGGTACGAGGCTGCACGTACGCGAGTGCTTACACTGTCCAAGATACAACGTCTCGAGCGCGACGTGGCCGATGCCCACTCTGTCATTGCAGAGAAGGAGGCCATCATCGAAGATCTACTCCATGTATATTCAATGGATGACTCTTCGGTATGAATGCTGCTTGTAGCGCCAAGAGCAGCTGCTCGCTCGCCTCGAGATCCAAGCCACCAAGGGCAAGCCCGACCCCGACGCGTCGCCTGGTACCGACGACGGCGCTGGGCTCTGCCGTCACTGTCGTGGGGTGCGTCGATAATCCCTTTCAACGGTCTCGACTCCTGATGCGCTTCTATGAAAGGCACTGGACGACGACGGGGCACCACCGATGGCGACCGCATCGGCAGCCGCCGACGGGAATGTAGTGGGTAGCGGCTACGTACCGACGTTGGCCAAGCCCCGGGAGCAAGGCAAACGCGTGCACTGCCAGTCGTTTCGCATCCTACTGCCCAACCTCCAGGGACGTCGCCCGACGCGCGAGGCGAGCTGGACCCTTGGCTGCATCCGGTCGCTGCTGGCCGCCAAGATGGAAGACGACGGCATCTGCTTCCTCGGGAACGTTCCAGGGCGACTGCGCATGACCGAGTTCGTCTACACGTGGTTCAGTCCGCTCGAAACAGAGCTCTGCTTGCTCTCGCCCGACCAGCGCGACCACGCCTACGCCCGCGTACGCTGCCTCACTTTGCATTTTGAGGTTGACGATGGACGTAGGCCGACGAAGCGCGCTGGTGCTTGTACTACGGCGCCAAAGTGCTTTCCAAAGACTGCGTCGAGGCCAAGCTCTTTCTCTCGTTCCTGGATGAAAAGCACGGCGACGACGAGGTACCGCTACGCTCGACCGAGATGATATCATAGCACGCACTATGCTAGCTTGTCTTTGCCCTCTACTGCCTTCGGGCGCTCGATGCGCTCGAGCGCGGTGAGCTTCGCTGGAGCCCGCTGCGACGTGCGCCGCACTACGAAGCGTTTGCCTCCGAGTGGTCGGCGCATGCGAGCATTACGGGCGAGATCGTCCAAGTGCCCCGCATCGTCTGGATCCCGCTGACGCTCGCGTCGCAGGCAACGGCCATCGTCCTCGCCAAGGTCCATTGCATTATCCATAGCATGGTCCAAGGTGCTGACGATGGCGCAGGCGACAGCCGACGAGCGGTTCGATTTTGACCTGAAACTCAAGGCGCTTTCGGTGCCGACGCTGCCGGACGGCGAGGCCTGCGCCAGCCGCAACGAGACGCCGCCGTTCGTGGATGCGCACCATTGGCTCCAGCTCATGCTGCAGGTGTTCTTGCCACCACGTCGCACGCTGTCTTGACGGAAACGTAGGAGTACCGGGAAGAGCAAGCCCACCGCCGCGCCGCGATCCGGCTCATGTTTCAGACGGCGTCGTCCAACCAGGCGCCGGCGACCGATGCAAACGACGCCCTCTCGCACTCGAGCAACGCCGAGATGGACATGGAGCAGTTCCGGGCCATGATGCTCACGCTGCAAGCCGACGTGAGCTGCGCGACAATCGTCGCCTTCTTCCGCCTCTCGTACGACCGCGGCGGCGGCCACGTGACTTTTGACGCGTTCATGGACACGGCCGAGGAGCGCCAGTTTTTTGCGCAGTGCATGTGCTTGGCGTCGCCCGGCGTGCTGGCGGCGCCGCGCATCAACTCGCCCCACGCGCACCTCGGGTCGCTCGTCGCCAAGCACTACACGCTGTACGAGAACGACTTGTATGCACTCGTGAGCACCCTCCCGCCGTACACCCAGGCGCTGGCCCGTCGCGCGTTGGCCGAGGTAACAAGGTCGCGTTCATAATGTCGATTGTTGTCACTCTCGGTGTAGACGTCGGGGTATCTGCGCGAAGGACGGGGCGCGGCCATTGACGGCTTCCGCGCCCTCGCGGCGTACCACCGCGCGGCCACGTTCCACCTCTGGCACTGGCTCACGCGCACCGAACTTGGCGGCGTGTCTGCATTGCCGCCGACCGCGCTGCGGCGGCTCGACAAGCTCCTCGGCGGCGACCTCGACGCGACGCGCGATGGCCCGCCACATGCGACCCACCACGCGTACGATGCCTAGTACGATTTTGCATGATGCCTGACTGGCCATAGCGGCGAGCGCTTGCTGAGCATGGTGCGGAAGAAGATCGCGATCCATCGGCTCCAGCGAGCGTTCCGCGCGCGGCTCAAGCGCGACCAAGGCGTGCCCCTCAACATGCGGGAGCTCATGCACGACGGGTACGGCAGCGGCAAGACGAGCTACCGCAGCCGGCGCGTCGTGCGCTCGACCAAGTGGCTTCTCTGTGTCATCTCCGATCTTATCCGCGCGCGCGCCGAAGTCGACGCGTCGGCCGAGCAACAACCGTTCATCGAGTTTGTCTACGACTACTTTCTGGCGCGCTTTGGGTCCCGGTGGGTTTCGATATTGGACGATGCTTGTCCAATATGTATATGGCGCATTAGGTGGGAGGCCGAGAAGATCATTCACGACGTGTTTGTCAATACGCGGACGATGGTGCTGTCCCACGCGCGCATTCTGCTCTTCTCGCAGCTCTGCGGCATGGGCGCGAGCGGCGAAGATGTCTACTACCGGTCCCCCCAAGCCTTCAACTTTATCAACATGGTGCTCCACGCCGGGTACCACACGTTTCCGCTTCTCCACGTACTACGATTTGGATATGGTATTTTGTCTTTCAATATGGTTCCGACGTAGCCGGACGCGGGCGCCGCGTACGAGTACGTCAAGCACGAAGATGCCGTGTGCCTCATTCAAGCCTTCTTTGGCTCGGTAAAATCCATACGGAACAAGCCAATACTTGTCCATATCGAAATGCATCCATAGGTCGACGTCGAGAACCACGATCGGATGCTCGGTCGACTACGCGAGCTCGAGCACATGAGTTTGCAGCCCAAGACGTCGGACGCCGACGGGTACGCTCAAGTTTCAATGTTTCAAGGTGGCGAGAACTCGATTTTGTAGACTGCTGCTCTTTCTGTTGGAAGAGTGGCGACGTCATGTCTTGGACCGCATGGGCCAAGTCCGCGTCATGTGCATTGCCGACAAGGACTTGCTCGCGAACGACGAGTATCTCTCGCTCGACCAGCTCCTCGTCGTCTTCCGGCGCAGCGGCTTGAGCGTCTCCGAGGTCGAAGGCGCGCAGGTGCTGCGCAAGGTGCTGCAGGGGGCAGCCACCGCGGCCATTGCGTCGACACCGCACGTCTCGTTGCTGGATCGCATCGTGGCGCACGTCTTTCCGATCGCTTGCCAAGGTATGGTAGATTGCAAGTCGGCTCGATCCCATGGACACAAATGCGTAGAAATCACGATTTCGGAGCTGCAGCCGCTGCCGCCGCCCAACTTTGGCCAGCTCACGTACCTCCTCGTACTATCTACCTCCTATCCATAGCCCTCGATCGATTGGAGACGGGGTGTAGATGTCGTTTTGGGCACCGTACGAAGCGTCGGGAAAGATGCTCCTCGAAGAGCTCAAGGCCATTGGTGTCAAGAACGATATCGAGCACGCGATGAAGACCGTTGACGCGCCCGACGCGTCGACGCTCGAGCAAAACCGGCGCCGGAGCCGCCTCTCGGTGCTCGTGAAAGCCGACCACTTTGCCGCCAACGACGCACTGGACCTCGAAGACAAGTTTAAAGCGGTGCAGCACAAGATGCAGCGGCTCCTCGTGCTCCAAAACGGCCAGAGTACACGACCGAATATCTGGTCACAGGCACGACTGATGCACATGTAGGCGACGCGTCGATCGGCCTCTCGCATGTGACAGACGCCACCGTCGCGTTTCGGCAATACCTCTCGGAAGCAACGCGCCTCCGCGCCGTGGCCAAGCTCGGCATGGGGCCGCTGCCCGACGCCACGCCCGACGCCACGCCCGACGCCACGCCCGACGACGGGACCCACGACGGGACCGACGACGCGACCGAAACGTAGATTCTCCATGTTCAAATCACTCTTTTGTACTCTACAACGACGTCTTGCGTATCTGGTCGGACGGTCCGGCGTCTCCAGACAAGCGCACCACCGGACCAGACGCGAACGATCCGCTCGACCGACCACCCACGCGTGTGTTACTTGCGTGTACTTTTGTACTGTCCATGCTGTGTACTTCCCCTTGGCGCTGGACTCGGGCGCAATACGGCCCACCTCCATGTTGGGGCTAGGTGAGGGCTAGGGCTCACCGCAACGCAGGCTCCACACTTTCAACGAATGCTAACAGAAGAGATAGTATAGACTGCATTAAATACCAAGACACAGACAAAAACACCGACGAGATGCACGACACAACGAGACGCCTACGTCTTGAGGCCGGCGTTCAACGCGGCCGCGATGCCGGCGGCGAGGCCCATCGACACGGGCAGTGTGAGCACCCACGAAAGCCCGATCAGCGCCATTTTCCTGCCTTCAAAATGCTCGCGGCCATAGTGCGCCAGACTCACCGACACGACAGAGCTCACCGCGCAGTACGTCGACGAGACGGGCAGATGCAGCACGTTCGCCAAAGCAAGCGTCACGATCGTGCCAATCTCCATGCAAAAGCCGCGGTGGACGTTGACGATCGTGAGCCCGCGCGCGAGTGTGTCGAGGACGCGGCCGCCAAAGAGGTTGATGCCGAGGAAGCCGCCGAGGCCCGCGACGAGGTAGAGCCAGTACGGACCATTCCACGACGTGTACTGACGTGGCACGAGCGTGCCGTTCGGTAGCGTCGAGTACGCGTCGTGGGAGATGGTCCAAATGACTTGCATTGGGATCGTCGAGTTGCCAATGTCCGAGGCGCCGTGGAGGAACGAGCCAAGGATCGAGGCAAAGAGGAGCGCGTACTTCATGGCGAAGTGCGCGTCAATCTGTTCGTCTGTGAGGCAGTACGCGTCCGCAATGAGCTCCATCGACGTCCGGCCCACCGCGTTGATTTGGTCGTCGCCGAGTGCGTAAACATAGTCGTCGCCGCCCTTGAGATGCAAGAGGTTGGCGAATTGGAGCGAGTTGAGCGCCGTGTACTCGCGAACTCCGAGTTCCGTGCACGGCGCGAAGGGTGAGACCGTCGGGAGCTTGGCGTCGGTTTGCATCTCGGCCGCCTTGGCGAACGACGGGCAGAGGTTGCGGACGTGCGGCACGAGGAAGATGCTCACGACGACAGCGACGAGCGCACCGAGGACGGCACCGGCGCCGACCGAGATGTACGTCAAGTTGTCTTGGTACGCCGGCGCCTTGGAGAGGTCGGCGAGGAGCCGGGACTTGGAAAAGATGATGACCGCGACCGAGAAGACTCCGAGGGCGTAGAACCACGGGAGGAAGAGAAGGGCGCGGTAGCGCGGCGACGACGAGTTGAGGATGAAGCGGGTCGTGAACGAGTACGCAATGACGGACATGACGCCGGCGAAGAGCGGGCCGAGCACCCACGAGAGCACGATACTAAAGATGCCGTTCTGTACGCTCAGGTTGAAGCAGTCGCCACCGACGTTGAGGAGCGTCATGCCAATGACACCGCAAATGACAGCGTGCGTCGTCGAGACAGGCATCTTGAAGGCCGTCGCGGCGAGGACAAAGGCTGCGCCCGAGAAAAGCGCAGCAAACATGCCGTTGGCGTACTCGTACTGGAGCGAGTTGGTGTAGCCGTTGGCCCAGCACTGGCCGTTCGCCGACTCGGTAAAGAGATTGCCGACTTTGACAGAAATCGAGTCTTTGAAGCTGTATCCGAGCGAAATGGCACCGAGAAAGTCCGCGAGACCGCCGATGAGGAGCGCTTGGTGCACGGGTAGCACCTTGCAACCGACGAGGTTGCCCATGGTATTGGCCACGTCGTTGGCGCCGGTCGCAAATGCCATGAGGAACATGCCGATGCCGCCGACAATGACCTCCCACGTCGGCGTCTGGAGACTGTTCCGGACGTAGTCGGTGGCGCAACTCGTCGCATTGGCGCTATAGGCGCAGAGGATGAGCCCAGTAGGTCCGCTCATCGCAGCAGAAATCGTGATGTGCGAGCGTTGGGACGAACTCCGGTAGGGATAGACAAGGTGCATGGCGGCGACATCCGTAGTAGGCACGGAATCCAACCGTGGGACTGGCCACTTGCGAGATTCAAAACAGGTCAATTTCCAAGACCACCTGTGGACCAGGTCGTGGGGCCGCCATGTGGTAGATTGCGGGGATGGGTATCCCATACGTTTGAAGAGATGTTTGGAAGCAACCGAATCTAGTCGACGGCAATCAAGGAGCTGCACATTTCGTAAAGTATCTGGCGCGCTTGCTACTCGCACAATGGCAACCTCGACGCGGTACATCAGATACATTTGCTGGTTTGACGCTCTCGTTTCTGCTCAATGTGCTGACCTGCTGCAGCTGTACCGGTTCATCAATGCGAGCCAGGCAAGTCCGGCGTCATCCGTGTTGGCATCAGCTGTGCTCAAGCAGGTGTATGCAGGCAGGTCATCCGAGCTGAACGGATTTGTATAGCGACCGACCTTTCAAGCTGACGACGGCATAGACCACGCAGGTCGATCTCGCAGGTCGTCGTGTCCATCCATCCTCCATCGTCGTTGTCAGTCGCTATCGTGGTACTGTACTCTTCACGTGGTCGCTCCTGGCGTGGAAAGACCCGCGGTAACATAGCCGCACCCAAGATCGCCGTGATGTATCTATATCGTCCATGAAGGGATGCGATTCTTCATTACCACCCACGACAAGTGCAATCTGGGCGCTGACCACTTTGCATTTGGTTGCTGCCCACCGCCCGTTTTGCCACACTTGGTGCCACATTGCCAATCCGTCTGAGCATCACCAATCCAATGAGTTTGTGGCAGAGGAGCATTCTGCTGTAGGGGACCAACTCCCTCCAATGTAACGGATCCCTGCACCTACCTAGCTGTATTTTTTTGCTTCTTGGCCATGTCTGACCACCATGAGCACACCTTCTCTTCCTGCCCGCACGGATGTGATGATTCGTGCTTCCTGTAGCGTTCGATGGTGCTGACCAGCGTCTGTCCACGGCAGGATACATGCTGTAACTTGCATTCACACGCCGTCCAATCTACTGCAGAATTATGTACATGGTGTCGTCTTCTGCAGAAAGCCTCATGCACTACAGGACAAACGTGTTTTCTTCTTTCACATCAAGATGCAGATACGAATCCATCAATCTCGGGTACGAGCTGCTTTGTCCAACTTCCTCAAATCCCGGGCAGACCAATGTCATGTCGTCCCCAACGAATCTCAGAAAGACGGCTACTCCCACAACATGACACTAGCGTAGGCGTATAAATACTGATGTACATGAGGCAAGTTTATACGTGCGACTCTACTTTTGGAGCGCGCTGTTCATGGCGGCAGCGAGGCCGGCCGAGAGACCCATCGTGACGGGCAGCGTGAGGATCCACGTCATGACGACAAGGAGCAGACGCTTCTTCTCGAGGTGCTGCGTTCCATAGTGCGCGAGACTGACGCAGACAACCGAACTCACGGCGCAGTACGTCGACGAGACGGGGAGACGGAGCACGTTCGCTAGGGCGAGCGTCACGATCGTGCCCATTTCCATGCAGAAACCGCGGTGGACGTTGACGATCGAGAGGCCGCGGGCCATCGTGTCCATGGTGGGCCGGCCAAAGAGGTTGATACCAACGAGACCACCGATGCCGGCCACGACAAACATCCAGTAGGGTGCGTCCCACTCCGAGTAGCTCGCGGGCACTTGGACACCAGCGTCGTTAGCTCTGTACGCCTCCTTGGAGATCGTGTAGATGATCTGCATCGGGATCGTCGAGTTACCGACGTCGGTCGCTCCGTGGAGGAACGAGCCGAGGATCGAGGCAAAGAGGAGCGCGTACTTCATAGCAAAGTGCGCGTCAATCTGCTCGTCTGTGAGGCAGTACGCGTCCGCAATGAGCTCCATGGACGTCCGGCCGACTGCGTTGATCTGGTCGTCGCCGAGCGTGCACACATAGTCGTCGCGGATGTGCATGAGGTTGGAGAACTGGAGCGACGTCAGCGCCGTGTACTCGCGCACACCGAGCTCCGTGCACGGCGCGAACGGCGAGACGGTCGGGAGCTTGGCCTCGGTTTGCATCTCGGCCGCCTTGGCGAACGACGGGCAGAGGTTGCGGACATGCGGCACGAGGAAGATGCTCACGACGGCGGCGACGATGAGCGCGAAGCCGGCGCCGACTCCGATCGCGATACCGAGGAGGTTGTCCTGGATCGTCGGCGAGTCGGAGATGTCGACGAGGATGCGCGACTTGGAGAAGATGATGACGGCGACCGAGAAGACGCCAAGGGCGTAGAAGAGCGGGAGGAACATGAGCGAGCGCTGGCGCGGCGACGACGAGTTGATGATCGCGCGGTTGGTCACATGGTACGCGAGCACCGAGATGATGCCGGCGAAGAGCGGGCCGAGCACCCACGAGAGCACGATACTGAAGATACCGTTGAGCACCGAGAGGTTGAAGCAGTCGCTGCCGACGTTGAGGAGCGTCATGCCAATGACACCGCAAATGACCGAGTGCGTCGCCGACACAGGCATCTTGAAGGCCGTCGCAATCAACACGAACGTCGCGCCAGAGAAGAGCGCGGCAAACATACCGTTGGCGTACTCGTACTGGAGCGAGTTGGTGTAGCCTTGCTGCCAGCACGACCCGTCGGGGCTGCCGTTGCTCTCGAGGAGAGAGCCGACCTTGGTCGCAATCGCGTCTTTAAAGCTGTAACCGAGCGAAATCGCACCGAGAAAGTCCGCGAGACCGCCGATGATGAGCGCTTGGCGCAGCGGCAGCACCTTGCAACCGACGAGGTTGCCCATGGTGTTACCAATGTTGTTGGCACCGGTCGCAAACGCCATCAAGAACATGCCGATCGCTCCGACAATGACCTCCCACGACGGCGTCTGGACGAGGAGCGACGTGTAGTCGGCCGCGCAGCCCGGCACGTTGTTGTAGGCGCAGAGCACAGTTGCATTCGCCGACATGGTGAGAATACGTCTACTAGAGTTTAGTTGATGCGCTGGGAGAGGAAGCAAGCGCGTACCAGTCAACTCTTGCCTACGGCGACGGACGTGGAATGAGGAAAAGTCGTTTGTTCCAAGTCGTCGCAGAAACCACAGGCGTCGGGCTGTTGCGCTCCTACCGTACTCGGCCAGCTGTGACCCTTCGCCGACCCGCCGCCGTCGCTGATTGGCCCGCTGTCATGTTTCGCGTGTCATTCGATTGCTTCGAACTTCGCTTTAAAGAATAACGCATTGGGATTAGCTACAAAACGAACCTCGAAGGCAACCAGAGTGGAAGGTGTAATGCCTCTGAGCGCGGCCGATGCTGCAAGAGATGGGCACGACCCAGTGGCACGACCGCCGTGTCGCCAAGACGCCGCGAGTCGTGTCTCGTACCTCGCCGAGCGAGCGACGGCCGTTCGCAGAGCTTCGATTTTCGAGGTTTCAAAGGTCGCCTCGGCGCGAACATTAGCGCAACGGTCATCGCGATGCCATTGTAGCAGGCCGCACACCATTCGTTCTGCATCGAACGATGCCATCTGCACGAGACGACCTGATAGACGCCACGCCATATCACACGCTGCTGGACCATATGCGTTGCTTTTACGCATCCACGTTGGCGCGCCAAACAGCAATTTGAGACTTCAGCGACGCCGTCGGCGAGCCTTTACGCCACAAGTGGGGTGTGAAACTGACCCAGCTGGACGATCCCAGAACTGCATGTGCCGCTTCAATGGCCACGGACCAGAGATGTCGCGTCTTTGCCGCCTCTCGCGGAACAATCGGCGATATGGGATGTTCTTTGGTGCAGAACCAACCTCTTTTTTTTTCGGGCAAGCTATCATCTCTCAGGGATGTGTCCAGGATTCCAATCTCGACTGCATGAAAGGGCGCGTAGAAGCAAGGGTCAATGGATCCTTTGTTGATCAGAGTTGGCCCCATGGCCTCACAGAAACAAACATCCATGGCACGCAATTCCTCGTGGAAACAGTCGTCGCCATGACGCAGGATGGACCGGTTGGGCGGCGAACTGCAAAGGCCAATGGCAGCGACTGGGATCTGCTGACAAGCGTGGGCTTCGCGGCGGCTTCGGATGAAAGATGTCGTCGTCTCATCAAGATTGCGGTAAGAAAAAGCCGCAACCTACTATTACCGGTACATAATAGCTCTGCACTGTTCTTTGAACCGATCTTTTACGAGGTGTGGCTTCGTCATGACACTATTGTACGGGGTAGAGGAGACGACGATGACGCTTGCCGCACGACGGTATGTCCATGCCCACAGCGTGTGTAAAAACGTCCGTCGTCGGACCACCGACGCGACCACCGTTGGTCAATTTACATGGATATACATACATAGATAGTATTCAAGAGTGGTTGGGGCTACGAAGCGCCTTGGCTTGAGCACGTCGTCTCTTCGATCGAAACGCTTTGATAAGTTTTTAGTGCACCATGGTCGTGGACGCGGGCCGGGACCGCATCGCTGCGTTGTAGTGCAGCTGGAGCTGGAGCTTGCCTTCGCCCAGCGTTTGCTCGAGCATGACTTTGGTCTCTTCGATCTTCTCCAGGAGGTCGCGGGCGGTTGCGCCGTACCGCTCGGCCACGGGGCTCGTCAAGTCGGTCCACGTCAATGACCACGTCGAGAAAAACGTTTGGAGCTGGCTCGTGAGGCTCTGCGCTGCTTCGTCGGCGCGGGCCTCGAGCTCCGAGGACTTTTGCTCCAGCGACGTCGGGTCCAGCGGCGCCTCGGCCGCATACAACGTCGCCGTCAAGTCGCGCACGTGCGTCTGCAGCTCCAAGAGCGTGCTGGAGAGGGCGGCCGAGAGCCGCGCGACGGCGTCGGCGACGGACATTATCGGCAGCACCATCTTCCTTCTTGTGATAATAATGGTTCTGGCTCGAAAGGCGTGTGTCGGTAGACAGGCGTAATGGCGTTTTTCTTTCTGGGTGGAGAATGACGGCGTATGGTGCCGCCACGTCAATGTATGACGCGCCTTTCGTGGTCCAATGCGGGACCACGACGAAGGCCCTCGTCGACGCGCTCCAGTCGTGTTGAATACTCAGTACAATGCACGAGCGATGCGGTGGCGATGCTGGCAGTCACCGAAGGTGGACGCCGTAATAGCCCGGATCGCACGCCGTAGCGACACTGAGTTGCAGCTCTTTTCATTCCAACCTCCAGACGCGTTGAGGACTGCGTCGTGGACGGCCCACCTGTACGAACGGTGGCTTGAACGCGAGACGGAACGACTCGCGATGACAGACATGTCCTTGCTAATGAGGGTGCGACTGCAGTCTTTCTCTTGTCCCATTCGTCGAGCGTCCTTGTTCGAAGGCAAATTCTTGCAGGGAAACGAGCGTGGACATAGCATGGATGCTCGCTCTGATGCTTTTTCATGCGACTGGTGCTACGATGGTACAGTACGGAACCTCGACTAGACGAGCGACGGTCGCCCGAAGAGTATGGCAGAGCCTGTGGGCCGAATGCTGCGGTCTCCCAACTCGGCGTGGCGCCATGACTACCCGCCGCCGGGGCGAATCTTGGCAAACTCAGAAATGACCAAAAATCCACAATGGCTTAAACGCCGAAAGGCATAATACCGGTAAGCGTACAATCGATTCGTGAACACTGATTTGAAGAGTTTTTAGCGCAGCTGCGCGGGGTGCACTGCTGTTTTGCTCCAGCGAGTAGAATGGGAGGCATTGCAGCAGCTTCGTACGGATACCAAAGTAGCACACACTTGCCCGAGGTACCGTACGTGCATTGCTTTCGCTTCTCCGATTCAAACCGAGTTGTTGGTTGGAGATGATGTCGACAGACAGGATTGCCTTCAAATGCACGCACGGTGGTTTCGAGCACATGTCTGGCCGCTGCCAAGATCGCGGTGCAAGCTTATCCGGATGACGTGGCACTGCCAGGCTACCGTTTGAATCTGGTTTGGACAGGACATCGGTTGCGCGTTGGCCCATCGACGTGGCGCCGCAAAAGTAGCTGGAGTCGCACCACTGTATACTGGCGTACCCCAGTCATTTGCCTGAGTCACCGTGTCAACCTAGCGCCATATCAGTTGTTCATGCTCAGTTCTCGTATGCCTCACGCCACGGTCGCCACCCCCAACGCCGAGTCCGTCAACCGCCAAGCTCGCGACGTGTGTTGTCCACCTCGAAGCGTCCGCCACCAACAAGCTCGAGACGCCCGTCAAAGCGACAGCCGGCGCGACAGCATTCCGCATCCGCGGCGCAAAAGTCGAGCTCCGAGTCGATGCTCCAAGTCGATAGGAGCTTCTTGCCAAAGTGGACGCAGCCCGCAACACCAAGTCGAGGCTTGAAAGGCGGCCACTGTGGCCGACGCGTTTGCTACCACTTGTCGGATGCGTTAGCTGCCTCGTCGCACGCGCTCGAGGGCAAGATCGCGCTCAACTGGAAACGCCGTGGCGCCGAGAACGTTCTTTGGCGGCGTCGTGGCGCCCTGTCCCGTGACGCCGCCCCTCGACATGCGGCCGTTGGCCCGTTCCTTCTTCTTGTTCACGTCCGCTTCCCAGCTTGGTTGCTTCTCGCGACCGTTGGGCGCAGGAATGTAGCGAGAGACCTCACTTTTGCTTTTGCCTGCCATGTCGGACACGACCAAGACTACGACCAAGACGACGCCGTCGGACGAGCCCCCTCGATGTTTGAGTCGGCGCGTGCCAAGGTGATGGACACGGTGCACGGCGCCGAGGACTCGGTGCAGTCGACCTTCCAATCCGCCAAGACCACGGTCATGGACAAGGTGCACAGCGCCGAGGACTCGGTGCAGTCGACCTTCCACGACGCCAAGACCAAGGCGGTCGACACGGCGTACAGCGCCAAGGACAAGGTGGTCGACACGGCTTACAGCGCCAAGGACAAGGTCGTGGACACGGTCTACGGCGCCAAGGCCTCGACGGAAGACGCGGCTGGAGATGCGGCGGACAAGGCCCGCGAGCTCCAGAGCAAGGCTGCGGACGCGGCGCACGACGCCAAGGACAAGGTCTCGGACAAGGCGAGTGAGCTGCAGACCAAGGCCTGTGACGCCAAGGACGAGCTCGTCGGCAACACGGAGGACGCTAAGGCCGAGGCCGCGGACAAGACTCGCGAGCTCCAGGACAAGGCGTCGAGCGCTGCGGGCGAAGCCAAGGACAAGGCGGGGGACACTGCCGAGAACGTCAAGGCCAAGGCGTCGGACGCTGCGGGCGAGGCTAAAGACAAGACGCGCGAGCTGCAGGACAAGGCGTCGAGCACGGCCGAGCAGGCCAAGGACAAGGCGTCGAGCGCTGCGGGCGAAGCGAAAGCCAAGGCGCAGGACGCGACCAGCGATGACACGCCATAGGTGACCCATCGTGGCGTTGGCGCCAGTGGGAGCAAGTCGCCTCACGGCCTCTTCCAGCTTCATTTTAGGCCAACGTTAATCCACTGCATTGAGCTTTGCATGTTTGCGTTGGCTTGGGTGGCGTTGCACTTCAACCACGGTACAATCTGCTGTGAGCACGGTACAGTGTACATTACCAGCAGCGGTAGATCCTGATGGCGGATCGCAGCAGAACGACAGGCCGTCACCGCCGCCTCTCACCTGCTACGTCTCAATGCATGCCAGGATGATCTTGGTGCTGCAATGTTGGCGTCAACGTTCGCATCCTCGCAACTGCCATGGCGACGTCGGCGCGTCGTTTTGAGCAACTGCGGCATCCGGATAAAATGACGTGGAGCGGCCGAGTGTCGGTGCTATGCACCAGCCCACGAACGGCACCGCGCTAGTCACTTCCCATTTTGATACAAAACCCAGCATGTCGGCGCCGGAACAGCACGAGACGCTCATGGAAGCCTTCCAGCTCTCGGCCGCCCACATCTCGGCCGCCCTCACGGCCACGCTGACCGACTTGCACAGTAGTGTGACCGAGACGACGACCTCGTACGTGGCCAAGGTCCAGGACACGACCGCCAGCGTCGCGTCCAACGTGACGGAGACCAAGGCGAGCCTCCAAGCGGCGCTCAACGAGAAGACGCAAGCGCTCCAGGAGCGCGCGGACGAAGCGACGAAGGAGATCACGCGCATGCTCAACGAGCTCACGGCGCAGGCGCAGCAAAAGTGGACCGACGCCAGCGGCGCGGTCTGCGAGCACTACACGGCCGCGACGCAGGACCTGTACGAGAAGGCCGAGGCGGCCAAGCGCCAGGTGCAGCAGGCTCTCGAGGAAGGCAAGAGCCAGCTGCAGCACCAGTACGAGGCCGCCTTCAAGGCCGCCGAGCCTGCCGCGGCCCCGTAACTCTATATCTTTTAACCTACGCTGCTGCCTCTTTTCTTGGGTACTAGTACGTTGGCTGTCTGGCCATGGATGAGTTTTTCGGCGCCATATTGATATTGGAGGTGCAAGGCGCGCTTGAGCGGATGCATATGCATCTCGTAAGAATATCGGCAATAGATATTGGTCGGCGCGTCGCAGTTGGGACGTCGTCCAATCGTGGGGCAGAAAAGGCTTGGATTTTGGCCAATGAGCATCGGATCATTGCCAGGTTTCGTGGGCGAGGATGAACCGGTCGAGCCGGAAGCTGGTCAAGGCCGCGGCCGCAGGAGCCTTCGCCGACCTCGCGGCGACGGTTCGCACCTCGGACGAGATAAGCGACGTGGACGAGAGCTCCGACTTTGAGGTGTCAAGCGTGCTCGAGCGCCGGGCGCCGCCGAGCCGTTCGACGCGCTACAAGCCACCGCGGCCGGTCAAGCCGGACGCTGACGAGACGCGCTGCATCGACGTGGCCATCTGTGGTCGGGCGTGGGGCGAGTGCACGATCGTGCTGCATGAAGACCGGCGCGAACTCGGGGTCCAAGCGGTCGTCCGAAGCCAGTCCCGGCTCGCGATGCCCAAGACGCCCGCCGACCTCAAGACGGAGTACGTGCCCTTTGGCGACATGCGCGCGATCCGGTACGCCTCGCCTTGCCATACTGTGATGAAGCCGTGCGTGCATATCCTAGGGTCCTCGATGCGAAGCTTCTCGTCGTGCTCGACCTGCCCGCCACGTCCCGTCTCTGCATTGGCAACGACGACAACCACATCGTGCTCATGTTTGCAGACGATCTCGGATACCTTCTCGTGCGCGGGTCTCTCGAGCGACAGCTCGGCCGGCAATCCCATCCGATCGCGTACGTCCGATAGCGTCGTCCGTTCATGCGCTGACGATGGATGTGGCAGCGCCGAAGACGTGCCTGGTTACCTCGGCCATTTCCATCGCAAGGGCCCTGCGACGCGCCACGGCAAGCGCAAGTCATGTACGTTCTTTCTGTACGCGCCGGGGGCATCTGCATGTGGCTAGTGTTTGATCCTGCTCCGACGGAGCGAGCGACGCGACCGGCGCCGGCGCTGGACTTTCTCGACAACAAGGATGCGTTGTCGAGCTTTGGTACGAACGCGACGATCGAGATCCACGAGCCCGGGTCGCCGGCGGGCCGCGGCGTCGGGTCACGGACGCGGTCCGAGCTCAAGAAGCGCGACGACGGCAAGACGCAGGCGGCGAAAGACCGGGTCGTCGTGCGGTACCCGCTTCAGTCGCACAGCAAGTCGCGTATTGTGCTCACGGAAGGCGACATTGACCGTCTCCAGCCGGGCGAGTTTCTCAACGACAACCTGATTGACTTTTTCTTCAAGTGTGTATCAACTTGATACTTTTTTTAAAAAATTGGGTGGACCGTAGGTTTTGCCACGCCCAGATGGACAAGGCGGCGAGAGCGACGACGCATTTCTTCTCAACGCACTTTACTCGGAAGTCGCCAAGGTCGAGGACGGGTCGTTTGCCAAAGTCAACCGCTGGACGCGAGCGACGCCGCTCTTTGAGAAACGCTTCCTCTTCGTGCCCATCAACGACAAGTCCGCCTTGCGATGCATGTGCCGTCGTCTTATGCAGTGCTGTCGTAGCTGCCACTGGAGCCTCGCCGTGATCTGCCACCCGTCCGGCCTCATCAAGACAAAACCACAGCCCGTAAACTACGGTCGAGATAGAGAGAGCGAGGGTATTCACGCGCGGTATAGGTTGTATTGGACGTTGACGACGACGACGACGATGAGATTGTGGCCGAGAGTCAGGACCCAGAGACGGCGGCAGCACCCGCCAAAATGGATGTAGGACAAGCTGTGCCGTCCGAGCCCAGCAACGTGCCCTGCATTCTGTACTTTGACTCGCTCAAGTGCCACAACAAGACCAAGATCACCGCCAACCTTCGCCGGTACCGCCGACCTTTTGCCAACGAATCGTCGGCTTGCACGTCTTTCCGTAGGTTTCTCGAGAGCGAGTACGCGTCGCGCTTTCCCAACGACCCCAACACGGTCTTTGATGCGTCCGACGCCGTCTTTGTCGAGCCAGAGGTACTACTACTATCCTCTTGTGTGTATGTTTGTCGAATCACACTATTGTACTAGGTGCCACGGCAGAGCAACAGCTGCGACTGCGGCGTATACCTCTTGCTGTACGCGCTCCAAGTGCTGCAGCAGTTTCCGGACGGCATCTTCCTCAAGCACGTGGCCGCGGCGTGCGACCCGCAGTTGACGCCGACCATGTTTGACACGGACGCCGTCACGGAGCATCGGGACTACATGCACCAGGTTCTGCTGTCGCTCTCCGCCTTCCAGCACCGCCGGTACGATCCTCATCATCGTCGTCGTCGTCGTTCTCTAGCGTTTCATCCTGTAGCATCCACGACTCGTCGGCGCAGCTGGCGCGGGAAGGCCTCACGCTATTTACCGACCCCACGCCCCAAAAGAAACACAACGAGTATGTCGTGTAGTTAGCGGACTGCTAACACGACCACCAACATGGAGTACGACTACCTCGGCAGCACGAGCAAGAGGCGGCGCAGACCAGCGACGAGCATATCGCGCTGCGTTTCTGTCGGCAGTTCCAGGTCCAGCGACCGCTTCTCCGTGAGGATCGAAAGACAGACAGCGTTCTTGGAGGCGTCTTTGGCCGCCTTGGGGGCCAGTGCGGGGGACGTCGCGCCCGGTAGAATCGCCGTCACGTCTTTTAGAGGCACGCTGCGCGGGTGGTCTCGTGCGTTAAAGTGTTTTTTGGGGTTTTGCTGCAGCGCCGACGCCGGCGTCCACGACAGCACTTGGGTCGCGACGTCAAAGCGCAAGATGGAGGCGTGCGGGGCCTTGTCCTTCCCGCTCTTGTTGTGCTTGAGGACGTCCATGCCGCGGTAGAGGAGCTCGCGGAGCCCGACGTGCACGCAGTCGTCTCGGCGTTGGTCGTCCTTGGCCGGCAGCTCGAGCGACGCCAGCTACAAAAGACGCTTCAACATGACGCTTCCGATCGATCATATACCCAGGGATGGGCCAAGAGCTCGGTGGCCGTCATGCGCTCGGTCGGGTCGATCGCCAGCAGCCGCAAGAGCACGTCTTGGGCGTCCGGAGACACGCTCTGCCACTGCGGATTCGACGGGTGGAGGCAGCTCATGTCTCGAATGTCGCCGGCCTCGGAGAAGCGCTGCAGCTGCTGGAGCGCCGCCGCCGACGCGACAGTAAAGGGAAACGCGCCAAACAAAAGCACGTACGCGACGACGCCGAGGCTAAAGAGGTCCGACTGCGTGCCTACGCCGCCATGAGATGGTGGAAAGGATAGAATCGGATAGAATTGGATAGGATTGGATACCGTAGGGTCGACCGTACAGGAGCTCGGGCGCCGCGTACTCGGGCGTGCCACAGCCTTTCTGAAACTGCATGCTGGGGTCCAGAATACGCTTGGCAAGGCCAAAGTCGGCGAGCTTGACCGCGTCCTTGTGCAGCAGGATGTTCTCGGGCTTGACGTCGCTAGCGTCAAATGATAGATAATATTGTCTACCAAAGAAGAGACATATTGTCCATCGAGAGTACCGGTGGATGATGTTGAGCGCATGGATGTGCTGGATGGCGGACGCGACTTGGGCGATGATGCGGCGCACGTCGTCTTCGGGGAAGCGCGTCACTTGGATGAGCCGGTCGCAGAGGTCGCCGTCGGCCATGTAGTCCATGACGATGTAAAACATGTCGTCTGTCTTGTAGACACCGTGCAATCCGACAATGTTGGGGTGGGACACCTAATGCATGAGGTACACGCAGGATTGCAGAACGCGTCGTCGTACGAGCTTGAGGATCGCGACTTCTTCGAGCAACGACGGCGTGTGCTTGGAGCACTTGATCGCACACACTTCGGCAGTCATGCGGTCCACGCCCTTGCGCACGACGGAGAAGCTGCCTTCGCCAATCTCGCCCATCATGACGTACTTGTGCAGAAACGTCCGATAGTACGGCGGGTCGGGCGTCGCGCTAAAGAGGAGGTCCTCGGCGTTGTGCGTCGGGATGAGCGACGCCTTGCGGTGCTTGGCCGCGTCGTCGCGCCGCTTGAGCAGCTCGAGCTTGGCGCCAATGTCCATGGTCCACGCGCTCGCTTCGTCGGCGGTCGCGGCCTTGAGCACGACCGGGTCTTCGACCTTGAGCCACGAGTCGTCGCTCTGGACCACGTGGACGTGGCGCAGCACAAACGTCGTTGGGCTCAGCACCTCGAGCAGCGTGAAGAGGCTGAAGAGCACCTCGAGCGAGGCCACGTGGGCGTCCTGCGCAGCGTACCCAAGGAGGCCATGGTCGCGGAGGCGAAAGTACTTGTGCTTGAAGGTCGCGCTCTTGACGAAGCCGAGCCCGACGCGGTGCGTGAGCGAGCCCGCGCGGTACTTCTGCTTGGACGTCGGCGAGAGCAGCTCCTCGGTCGGCAGCAGCATGGCCGGCGCCTCGACGTCGATCACGATGCCATCGGTCGCCATCGTCGCCTTGAAACGGAAAATCTCGGAATCTTGCGGCGCCCGCGTGCTCATTGGTGGAAATTCCGAAAAAACGGACCGACCTTTTACGTCGTGCCTGGTAAAACGCGTAAAACGCGTTAAACGCGCTCCCGTGAGGTTGTGGAGGACTGTCGATGCTGCTGCGTAGGATGCGCGAGCTCAGTGTCTATAGTACGAGGCGACAGCAAAGCATTCGCGCCGTTGCCGTGGCTTTGCCAAGGTACAAGGAATAGCTCAGTGCGTTCAATGTACACGACGTGTAGGTTAAACTGCGCAGGAACGACATGCGTGGGGCAACACATCAACTTCAAGTGGTCGATCGTTGGCACCAGCTGCTGCACGCGACAGGCCGCAACGCACGGCCGCCCTCGCGCCTGCAGTCGCAAGGTTGGTGGACCCCGGGGCGCCACATAATAGCATGCATGTGCGTACATTGTATGGCGGGATCCTTCCCGCACCCAGCAGCGATGGCGGGAACCGCAGCTTACCCGACATTCTGAAAAACCTCTTAAAATGCATACCTCCATTGGCGTTCAACTTGCCAACTTGATATTACCGGTACTCAACCTTGTCATGATACTGCGATAATGAGCATGGTTCGTCGACGTGATGATTAGCCAAGCCGCCAACGCAATGCGACGAGCCAGCTGCATCTTCTTCCACGTTCTATTGGGGCGCTGGAGACGACGACCTTCCACAGGATGAAGCGTGGGTCGATCCTCTCTGCGCAGGACCATTATGAATGCACGATTGTGCGAAAAGACGGCACCGCGCGGTACTAGCACCTTGGATGTAGTTTGGAGTGCCATCGCCTCGATGACCTCCCGATGCCACTGCGGCTCCTCGTTCAAAAAGCGAGTTGCTGTGTCGTACGTTGGCGCCAAGGGAAGAAAACCTTGGCTGGCGTGGTCCTGCTCGAAGCTAGCCATAACGGGTGTCGATATGTTGTGTGCGTCCAGAACACGACGACGACGAGGCGCAGCCAACGCCGTCCCTCGACGCGCGCCTTGAAGCGAGCCGCTCATCGAATACATTGGAAATCGACATGAAGGATGGTGTCGCTGCGTGCCGGCGTCCAAAGCATTCTGAAATCCTTTCATGAAAAGCCCACGCGTAGCCGAGGGGTCTGCGAGGCTGGCGCAGCAATGACCACGGCGATACACCTCTTCTTCAACGCGCACTGCGCTGTCGAGTATTCGTTGTGTGACATTGTGCAGCTCGTGAACGATGTCGACGACAGACCAACCTCATAGACATCCCTTTTCATTTATTATTGGCGCTCGCCATAAATACCCTGAATAGCCACATTTGGGGTGGGCGCTTGTGCGCGGCCCGGAGAAATCGACCAACGACGTTTGAAAATGATATCGCCCATACTCGCCAGAGTACTAGAGACGACTTTGGGTAGTCCAAAAAGCTACGCGGCGTCGCCACGCGAGCTCTGTAGCGAGAGCAAATGACAGCGGCAAACAATATTATGATATAGTGTGATTTTTCGCTATACCGAAATACTGTACGGGATACGAGGCCTCATCACGCAGCTGTACCGCGCGCACGTTGCCTCCCTCGCCCACAAGCAGCACACTCTCGAACATGAACAAATAGAGGCGGCGTCCTCGGTTTCCACGATTTCAATGCATTTTCAACCGAAATTGCATGTCGAATTTCCTGAAAACCGACGCTCGGCAGTTCGAGTTTGGTGTGAGTGCCCAAGCAACGACGGCGGCCAACAAACTGGTCGCACACCGGGTCGAGACCCATCGCCAACTGTGGCAGCCAGTTTTACGGTCCTTGGAGCGTTGGAACCCCGCGATGTCACGTGAAGTATTTGGGCAATTCTGCCACCACCTCGAAAAATGGAAAATCGATTCGCGCGTGAATGCGCTACGTGCAGCGTCGGAAACGACATTTGCATCATTCAAGAAGTGTGTGGAGAGGAATACCCGGTTGCTACGTGGCGCTGGCGCGTCTGTGAGCCGAGAAACAAGGTTTTGGTCGCATGCTATGTACACTATTGTCTGTCATGGTCTGTCTCATGGGGTTGTAAATACTGTGATACTGGTGTTGCCCGAGCTCGATACATTGAAAGTTGCAAGCTTGCTACTCGTATCTTGCCTGTACGTCCAAACAAACATCTCGGGCTGCACCGTTGTGCATGTGGGGCGCTTGGGGGCGGAGGGTATGTACTAATAGTACTGGGGCCGTGGAGCAAGCAGCGCGTCGCTTTCGCAGCGGACTTGTGTACCGGGTGACATCAAGTCCACAGAAATGATGACTGTGATCTTTGTCAACCTCGTGCGGCACCTGTCGCGGTAGGCGACGGCGCGCATAGAGTGCAGACGAACAAAAATGACGCCCTCTCAAGATCGCACGATGACCCATCTCGATCAGAGGCGCGTCAAACTTGAAGAGTCTGAGGGTCTCGGGCATTTGGACGGACACGAGTCGTCGTCTTGCTCACGTAAACTACTAGTAGGTGCACGATGGAATGACAGGATTCTGCGCCTTTTGCGATGCGTGGCCTCTGGGTCGTGGCGCGAAGCGGCCTTGAACCTCTTGAGTACACTTGGGTGCACAGACGATGCAATTGTTGATGCTCTCTACATGCAGTCGGGCTTTGGCGGGAAGACGTTAGCTGGAGGACGGTTGCTCCTGGGCTCATGTCTTTCGTGCACGCCTACCATGCGCCGCATCGCATGCCTCATCGTAACCTTGAAATGTTCGTAAATGCAACGTATATTCTTCGATATGCTCGTCCATCGCTCCTTAGACTTCCGAGTCGATGAGGATCCACTTGATGCGGCGAAAGCACTTGCGGACGATTTCCTCGAGCACGCCGTACCGACCGCTGTACATGAGCAGGTTGTGCATGAGCCGGAGCTTGTCGCCGACATGCCACATGCGCTTCTTGATCGCGTTGAGCTGCGCGGTCTGGAGACCCGGCGGGATCACGTTGTCGACGACCGTGCGCCAGACGTAGCCGTCAAGCGGCGCATCCAGCGCAACGGGAAGCCGGAGGAGCTCACAGCCCGACGCCGTCACCTTGGCATCGAGCTGCGCCAAGAGCGTCGTCACCTTGGCCCACACATCCTCTTGGCCGGCGAGGCACTCGAGGATACCGCCGTGCGCGTACTCGGGGTGGTACGGCTCGCGGCCAATCACGCGCAGGAGCATGTTGAAGAGGGCCATTTGGTGGCCAATGTTATCACCTGGCACGCGGCCAAACTCCGTCAGCATGACTTCGAGCAGCGTATAGATGCCCATGGCTTCCGCGCAGTCGTGGCGGCACTCCCACATGAGCCGGGCAATCGACGAGTCGACGAGCAGTTGACCTACACCATCATCATCATCATGAGCAACCACCCCACGGTCATATAGAGTCGCCGCATCCATGGCGTACCGGTCGGCGAGACAAGGCCAAGCACGTGCATGTACTGCATCGACTTGGCGAGGTAGTTGTCTTCGGGCTTGCCCTGGATAAACTCGGGCAGCGCATGTGTCGACATGCGCGTGAGGAGGTCGTCCGTCATAAACTCCGAGAGCGCCTTCTGGAGGTACATGGTCGGGTACAAGCTAAACGGGTTGCCAACGACGTTGGGCAAAAGGCCGCGCATAAGCTGCTGCATGCGCGGCCAGGCAAGACCCGCAAACACAATGTTACCCTGGCGATCGAGCCCACGACGACCGGCACGACCGGCCATCTGCTGCGCCATGAGCGAGCTCAGTTCCGGGTCGTCCTCGCAAAAACAACACGTGCGGAACGGCATGTTGACACCGTAGGCGAGCGAGTCGTCCGAGAAGACGACTGCGAGGCGACCGACCTGCGCGAGCGACTGCACGATGCGCAGGTACGCCGCCGGGAGGTTCTCGTTGTAGATGCCAATGCCACGGCGCAGCGACCGAACGAGCGGGTGCCCGTCGTCCGAATCTTCCGAGAGCTCGCGACGGAGCTGCCACTTAATCTCGCGAAATTCGGCAGCCGAGAGGCGGTGGCCGGGCGGCGTGAGCACAAAGTCCGGGTGCGGCGCGTGAATGTCCGGCGCGTTGGTCTCCTGGAACTCTTGCGCCTCGCTACAATTGACAGAGATGAGTTCCATGGTCGACATCCATCGTGCAAAAGATTCACGAAAATTCACGAAAATTTGCAAAAATTTGCAAAAACGCACAACACATGCAGGACACAAGACGTACCGGGCCTGGTCTTCCTGGAGCGCCTTGGACTTGGCCTGGGCCTTCTTCGCGATGAGCTGCGACTTTTCCCACTCTTCGTACTCGGCCTCGACCTTGGCGCGGTAGCCCGGGTACTTGGCGTCCTGCGCGGCCTCGACACCGGCGAGGAGCTTGTCAAAGAGCTGGCGGCAGCGCACGCTGTCGAGCTGGAAGCAAATCGCGGGAATGAGCTGCTTGGCGCACAAGTCGAAAATGAGCGACGTAATGTCCATCTCCGTGTTTTCGAGGTGCGCGGGCGGCGTGTAGCTGAGCTTGTCGAGCACCTGCTGCGTCTCGGCCGGGTACTCGACCGCGAGCTTTTGGAGGCGGCTCTTGACCTCTTCTTCGTACTGCTTGGACTCGAGGAGCGTAATGCGGTGGCACATCGGGTTCAAAAAGTCATCGCCGTCGTCGTCGTCGTCGTCGTCGCCCTTCTTGGACTTCTTCTTCTTGTCGTCCTTCTTGTCGTCCTTCTTCTTCGACTCCTTCTTCTTCGCCTCCTTGGCCTTGGGGACCATCGATTCGGCAAAGTACTTTTCGGGCTTGAGGTCCGCAATCGCCTCCTTCGGGTAGGCCTTGCGCATCTCCTTGTAGAGCGCGTACGTATCCCGGGGTGTAAAGGCCAAGTCGCCTGCGTCAAAGCCCTTCTCCTTGAGGTAGTCAAGCGTCACAGCCGCGCACGGGTGCAGCGGCACGACCGTCTTGCCTTCGAGCACGAGGCGCTGGAGATTGATAAAGCGGCCGCGGTACTCGAGCAGATGGATCGGGTGCGGGTGGTGGCGCTTCCACCACTCGGCGAGCACCGTCGCGTTGCCAATGGTCGCCGAGAGCGCAAGGAACGGGCATGTGATGCCCTTGACAATGCGCTCGAGCGCATCGCCTTCCGGGCCGTTGAGGTCGTGGACTTCATCAAACACGCAGTAATCAAAGTCGTAGCCAATGTTGAGCAGCGCGGTCTCGACCGCGGCCGGCGTACCCACCGCGACGCGGAAGCCTTCGGGCAAGAACACCGTGCCGTTGGTGATGATACCGACTGCGCCCTTGACGAGCGACTGGAAGAGGGCCGCGACCTGCCACGCGAGCGGCTCGGTCGGCGCAATGAAGAGCACCTTGCCACCGACGACCGTCACGTATGACGAGAGCACCTAGAGAGATGTCCATGAGACGACGGGTTCCATGGCGGGAGAGGGAGGAGAAAGCGTACCGTCTTGCCGCTACTCGTGGGCGCGCAGACAATGACCGAGTGCTTCATGTCAATGTGCGTCAACACCTCCTTCTGCCACGCGTCGAGGATAAACTTGTTCATGTGGTGCAAGTTGAGCGGCGGGAGGCGGTCGCTCATCTCTGTGAGCTGGAACGGAATGAGCGGCGTGTCCTTGAGGTGGTCCATGGCCTTCTTGGCGTACTTCTTGTACTTCTTGTGGACCGCGAGGTCCTCGTCGTGGGTGATGCGACCCATGTGCTGGATCTCCCAGAGCGTGTCGATCGCGTCAATGTAGTTCTTCTCCGAGAGGAACTTCTTCTTGATCTCGTAGAGCTGCTTGAGGCGGCCGGCCGGCGTCGCCATCTTCATCGTCATGAGGTTGACCGACTTGGCGTTCCCGAGCTTCTCTTCGTCCTGCTTGGCCTTCTTCTCCTCGAGGTCCTTGGCGATCTGCATGCGGATGAGATCGGCCTTCTTGACGACCGGCGCCTTCTTGTCCTTCTTCGCTTCCTTTTTGGCGTCCTTGGCCGGCGTCGCCGGCGCCGCCGCATCCGCCGGCTCCTCGATGGGCCAGAGCGCCGTCGGGTTGAAGGCGTTCGTCGGCGCGAGGTCGCGCAAGATCACGGGAATGCGCTTGGGGAAGATCTTGTGCCAGTTCACATCATGCATGCCACCGCCATCCTTGCTCATGGTCCTGGAACGAGGGGAAAACGGAAAGTGCTCTCATTGCGAGAGGTCGAAATCCTGTACATCGGGCCAATCAAAACACGCAAAAGCAAAGATTTACACCAATCCCAAGCGAGTAGCCTCACGTTCCCAGAGGCTACAAACACGCCACTACACAATGTCACGGACGCACTCGCCCTCTAATTTTGACATGAAAGCAATGAACGATAGCGCATAGGCCTATGCAAGGCCATTATGTGAAGCTAGGACCCTATATACATCCCAATGCAAGCGCAAGATGACAGGACGCTCGTTTGGTGATGAATACAAATGTCAAGTGTAATGCAACGACCGACCGTAAAAGTTGCGTGATATTAACCGGTCATATCCCGTCTTGGCCCGGGCACCAATCGTTTTGGTTTAAATTGCCCCAGAATGGTCGCGCATCCGGATGGCGGGCGCTTGACCAGCGCTGAGCTGCCGACTACGCCTACGGCGTCCATGTAGGCTTGACGAGACCGTGCTTGGTCGCACACTCGTCGTGCGTGCATGCTGCTGACTTGGACCGACGACGTCGCCAGAAGATACGATCGTTCTCTGCAGCTGACTCTGTTCCAATGGCGTCAATGAAGTAGCCGCGTACGATGGTATGGAGACGATGGTGCACACGGATTCGTGGTCGGAACCCACTTGCCGTCAAGTGCAGTCGAGAGACTTTCACTTCCGGCAATAGCGAGGACGGGCGGTCCACTCGATAAAGCTAGCCCTACCACGGATGTAGCGTGGCTGTGCAAGAAGCGATTAGCCAGCGACGTGTCTACTACAACAAATCCTAGCGAGGGCTTCTAAATCCTTTAGGATCCTTGATGATAGTGGTTGGCTCGACTTGGCGACGCCATGCGATGCCTCTAGCATGGTGCTCTTATGACAAGGCCGCCTTGTGCTGACGTACCGAGCAAGACGCATAGACCTTCTTCCTTCTCTACAGCACCAAGGAATGCTAGTACAATGATGGTTGATTGACGTGGCCACGATCTTGCCGTGTGGCAGAGTCGTGCGTGATTGGCTCCTTTTCAGCGAATCCACGTTATCTCGGGCTCGGATTGGTTGAAAAGAAAGGGTAGTGGATGTAGCTGGCCAATTTCGACAGAGCAGGCAGCAGGATGGCGACGAGCTACGAGGACAACGTGTGGTTCGCCGCCAAGATGGGCCGTCTCGACGAGCTCATGCGGCTTATCGAGGTCGACGGCCACGCCTTTGACGCGCAGGACGACCAGCTCAAGACGCCCTTCTACTACGCCTGCACCTTCAACCAGCCCGAGGTGCTCCGGTACCTCCATGGCCTCTACGCCCGCCGAAACGTCGTCATGCCAGAAGAGCAGCGCGCGTGGTGCATCGTCAGCTGCCTCAATAAGGACGTGCGTCTCTTTCTCGAAGGCAAGACGACGATCGAAGCTGTGATTGCGGACCGCGCCAAGAATGCGCACAACGAGACATTGTCGCCGATCGCGGCCGCGGCCCAAGGCAACATGGCACGGCTCCGCTACTTTATCAAGTCCGAGCCACTGCTCCTCTGGACTGCGGACGCTGCGTCGGGCAAAACGCCGGTCGAGGTCGCTTGCGACGCCGGCCACGCACCCGCAACGGCGACGCTCTTGAGTGCGGCGAAGAAGGACCTGTCGGCTGCGGCGTACGACGACCTCGTCGCACGCTGTGCGGCAGCAACGACGCCCGGTAGCTTTATGCACCGCGTCGTCCGAGGCGAGGTGCCCATGAAGGAGATCATGGCCGCGCACAAGCAGGCCACACCTGCTCCCGGGCCGCAGACGTAGCTAGCCTCGTTGCAGTGTATCCAGTAATGTATCGGCTTGCGTCGGAAGCATTCAGGGAAGCATCGGGCAGGGTGCAACACTGCATCGGGTCGTCAGCGGTTCCATGTGGCTACTCGGTCTTGCCACTGCTGGACGCATGCGATTTCGGCTTCGATGGGACCGGTGGCGCCAGGATCTCGGGTCAGGCTTCGAAGGCGAGACGGCGGCAGCATGGCCTGAGGCCTGAGGCGGCGGCAGAAGCGACTGCTGTACCAGCATGGCCTGCGACGTCGCCGGGCGCGGCCAGGTGGCGTGGGGTCTTTACGCAGGCGGTGCGCCACGCAATCATGCCACGTACTCGTACAGTACAGCTCGCGCAAGCCATGGTGGCATCCATGCTTTAATGCTGTCGTGGTCGTCCCCCTTGGCGCATGGCACACTTTAGTTAGTCGATCGGGCTGACGACGACGACGACTACTTGGCTTGAAACCGCACCGGCTTTTCGTCGCCCGTTGGCAGGATGTATGTGGTCGTAATAGAATGACAGGCCGCGCAATAGACTTGGTGTTTGTATGGCTTGGTCCGATCTTTGGCGTTTCGCATATTAATTTGATTGCATTTTAAGTCAACTCGTTATTTGTATGGCGTAAAAATGAATCCTGTTTCGGGTTGTGGCCTCGCTTGAGTATTGTATACAAACCGCGAGATAGTTTGCGACCGGTGCCACTGGGCAACCGGTACCGTCGTCACTCTTCCTTCTCGCGATCCACGACCCATAGCCGACGAGATGGCCGCGCTGCCTGAGCTCAAGGGTACCTCGCCATGCATGCGCGCCTGGCCTCATGCGCATGACGGCCATGTAGGCTACCTCCTCAAGAAGAGCCGGCAAGGCCGCTTCCAGAAGCGCTGGTTCGAGGCCACGAGCCACTACTTGACGTACTACAAGGTACGGCGACCATGGCGCAAGCAGCGTGGCATGCGACCGCCGCCTGCATGATAGAACGCCGAGAGCGAGAAGTTGCTTGCGTGCATTGATCTGTGGCGAAGCGGCAACATTCAGATGGGCGTCCCGGAAGGCTACGCGTCGTCGGACGTGACGACCGCCGACTTTTCGCTCAAGATTGGCGACCAAGACTACTTTCTTCGTGTACGCACGACCAAGCAACGTGCCATGGCTTACGCCCATGGATGTAGGCCGCCGACCAGCAAGAAGCGACGAAATGGGTCACGGTACGCACCTTCTGCAAGGCACGGAGCTCATGGCGGACGGGACAGGGCTTGAAGGCGCGGCAGATCAAGCCCGATGGCGCCATCTCGGACACGTTTAGCCACCACGAAGAGGTCTACAACGATACATCGAGCGAGGTCTCGAGCGCGTACAACGACGACGGCCGGAGCCTCGGGCCCAACAGTCGCCCGGCGTTTCTGGAGGACCGCCTGAGCCTCGGCCCGAGCGCACGGTACGTCATGGACCGTGACGAAGCGTCGGCGCAAGAGCTCGTGGGCTCGAGCGTGCGCAAGACAATACCGGTCATCGTGCAGCCGATCCCGCCGGCGACGACCAAGAAGCAGACGTCGCTCCGGTCCATTACGACGCCGACCACCAATAACGTCCACCCGATGCTGCCAGCCAAAGACAAGGAAGACAAGGTCTCGCTGTGCTGCGGCAAGTGCGACTTCATGTAATCCCGTATCAATTTAAGATGCATCCATGGCATCCCTACATTACGTGGCCTCGTCGTCGTCGTCGTTGTCGTCATTCCCGTCGTCGTCGTACTGGTCGGGCGACTGCGTCATGGCCAAGATCAGCTTCTTGTGCAGCATGTCCTGCGTCGGGTACAATGGCAGCACGAGCACGCAGGCATCGGAGGCCGACCGCTCCACGCGTGGGTACCCGCCCCCATGGGCGTCGCCCGGCGACAGCGTCAGCTGCAACGTCCCGTACGGGCTCCAGTGCGGCCCCACAATGAACCGTTCGAGGAGGTGCATCTCATCCAGTGACAGCGCATGCAAGATGCGCCAGAAGAACGCGACGACCGTTGACGTCCGGCGCAACGCACCCGCGTACTGTGTGCGCGCCTACGGAATGGATGCGATAGGTGTTGTTGCGAGAGAGCTCTATCATTCGTGGTGACCTGCAGGGCGAGGAGCTTGGCGGCCGGACAGAGGTGGGCGGCGAGCGTTGCGGCCGAGAAGAGACCGAGGCAGGTCGGCGGAACGACGCTCATGAGCCCGCGCTGCAAGGCCTCAAGGTATGGCTTGTACGGAGTGCGCAGCGATTCGAGGAGCCCTGCAATGTAGCGGGGCGCCGTCGCTTGCCTAGAGGGTGTTGAGACTAGGGTTTTTACGAGTCTACAGCGTACGTGACAATATCGTTCTCGAACGCGACCGCATGCGACGCAAAGTCGTCGGTCGACCAGTTGGGCATGTCCAGAGCCAGAGCAACGTCGGTCGGGTCGTCGACGACCGGTGCCCAGTCGTGAAGCGTCACCGGCTCGCGCACCTACACCATGTGCGATAGTTTACGAGCGATATTGCACGATATGGACCCACCAGCAACTTCCACAGCAGCGGGCTAAAGTACCACGGCAGGTGCACGCCACTGCGCCACGCAATCCCAGCGAGCTGCCCGAGCGCAAAACAGTCGGTCGGACGCAAGAACGGCAAGTTGAACCAGAGCGTTGACGACCGCGTCGGCGCCAAGAGAGGGTACGTCGGCGACTGCACGACGCGAGCAGCTTCGTTGAGCACATGGGCGTACGCCGCCGCGGGCTCGAGCGGCAGCGTCGCATCAGGCGCCTCCCAGTGCACCCGGAAGGTGCGAGTTACGATCGGTGCCGTTCCATCGGCGTACGGCGGTGGTGGCGGCGCGTACTGCCGGCGCAGTTCCCGGGTGCCGGCCGACGCGAAAAAGGCAGCGAGCTACGCGCCGTGTTGCTGGTGGACCGACGAGCAAGTGGTGTCTCGTACCTGGCAAAAGACGTTCGAGTCCGTCTCGTCGTCGCCGTCGTCGGTGCCGGTGTCGACGCCACTCGTCTCCCAAAACGATGTACACGGCCTAGCACATGAACGACGACGCTCTCAACCTATGTAGTACTGGGCAACGACGACGATATGCACCTCGGTGCTCGGATGTTGCACTTGATGAGGTCGGGCGGGTCGTCGTCGAGCTCGTCGGCGGCGGTTGCCGGCAACGTCGTTGCGGTCGCGGTCTTTTTGAGAAGCTCGCGTGCGTACCGCAGTGGTAACTGACGAAAGAGGCGTCGGCGAAGACATTGCATCGACGCGTCGGTGAGCGATATGCACGGCAACACGACGTGCGCTTGCAGGTTGAGGTAGCGAAGCCAGGCGAGCCGGGCTGCGCATTGGATCGGCGTCAAGGCCAGCGGGACCGGCTCCAAGTCATTCGCGTGGACGTCAAAGACACTCGAGTACCTAGACACAACACAGGTATGCTCCACCCACGCGCCGACCGTTCACGTCGATACCGCTGAAAGTGCAATGTCGTATAGACATGCTCGAGAAGCGCTTCATCCAGCGCTAGAGTCCACGGGCGTTGCGCCTCGAGGAATTCGTCGTGGCTCAGACGAAGTGGCGCCAAGGGGTACGGCGCGTCATGGCGGCGCGTCACGGGAAACTCACTCGGCCGCCCCACCATGTCCCGGCACACGTGCACCTTCCAGCGGCCGATCGCATCGGGCGACCCGGTCGGCGCGTGGGCCTCGATCGAGTAGTAGAGTTCGTGCTTGGCGACACCGAGGATCGTACACATGCCTACGATACGATACTGTCAACACACGAAACGACAATCTGTCCACAATAGAAACCTTTGGAAGTAAAGATGACGTCGCCGGGAAAAAGGCCAAACGGACGGCACGCGTCCGGGGTCGTCGTCACGAGCAGCCACGTGCCGTCGTCGAGCATTACGACCGCCTCTTCTCGGGCGATCCATTTGCACCAATGGTCGTAGGCCTCGGCTGTCGACGCAAGCGACAGCGACCGCATCTCGAGCAGCTTGTGATGCGAAGCGAGGGCAAGGAGGACGGTCGACGACGCGCCGGCGACCGACGACCGCACCGGTGCGTCCGACGACGACGACGGCAAGAGCGTCACTTGATCGTCCTTGTTGTACATGGAAATTGCCGGGTAGTAGGCCGGTGCAACGACCGACGGATGCGTCCCGTGGAGGTTCTCCACCGCGACGCCAAAAGACTCGCCGTTGCGTGCAAACGAGAGCGTTCCGACGTCGAGGTCGAGGACGACCGAGACAACGTCTCCTTGCTTGAAGATGTCGCCGTACGTTTGCAGTTTGGTCTTATTGTGCCACACGGCCTTGTTGGCCAAGAAGCCCCACCCACTATACGCGTAGACAGTTTAGAAAAAGAGGCTAGGAATTGCGACGGTGCGTACTAGGCGTCGCTGCCGACGTAGTTGTCGAGGCAAGCGTCGGATGTGCAGACGCCGACAAAGATGTTTTTCGAGACGCACTTGTCGATACGGACGTCCCACGCATGAACACCGGACGTAAAGCCGACGGACGCGCGGACCGCGTGCCATTTCTTGTTGACGCGGTTGCGCGCCGTCATGTTGTGGTGCAAAAGCTCGAGGTTGCCGCCAACCGCACCGGCGTCCAGCTCGAGCACCGATTCGGGCAGCGTTTCCACCACCGTCGACGGCGACCGCGTCTCGCCAACGATGCTTCGGACGTGGTAGACAGTCTCAGGCTGCAGGTGCGAGAGTGTGTACGGCAGCTACGCTTGAGTATGAGAAAACGACCGCAGTCGCATCTAAGGACGCACGTGACGGTGCAAGTCCACCGGGTCCACGAGCTCGACAAAGTCCGAGAGACCGACGTGCCCGTTGCTGTGCACGGTCTCCATCGCCAGTTCGAGCGCCGTCGCACCGTCGACGGGACAGGACAAGACGACCGTCGACGACGTCACGTGCTCGACAAGCAGCACTGTGTCGGTCGCGTGAGATCCTCCTTTTGAGTAGCGAATCTCTACCTGGTAAGGCGGGTGGGGGTGCTGCCACAAGAGATGTGGTCTTAGGGTTGACGTATCGGTAGAGACAACTGGTGAGCTGGAAGATCGCCTACCAAGAATCGGTATCAGGAAGGCACGACGACAGCAACGACGACGCACCTGCGTGTACGCCGACGCGAGGACGCGGGCTTGTCTCGTCTTGCGGAGCTTCTCGCCGAGCCACTCGATCAAATGCTTCACGCGCAACTGCAGCTGCAACACCTCGATCGTCGTCGACGGCAGCTCGTCGAGGAGCGTCGCAAGGACCGACACGATGGCGTGGCGCACTGTCGCGTTTGGTGTCGCGCCCAGTGCGGACCAGAGCTCTTGCCAGATGCCTGGTGCGTACAGGCTATCGATGCGCGCCGGGTGGGTCGTTGCGAGACGGCGCACGACTGCCGCCAACCACCGTGCCCACTCCAAGTTGGGTCCAGCACTCGCACCCGCATGCCCTACATGACATCATGACGTGGACCAGAAATCCACTTTACCTGGTGCAAGCGGTGTGGACGCCATGTCTTTGGCAGTCGCCCGGCGGACGTGGCAAAGCAGATCGCGGACGAGGAGCTCAAAGAAGGCCGGCGACGCGTCGCAGAGCTGCTGCAAAAGCACTTCGTACGGACCGCCATTGTCATTGGCGGTCGCGTCGTCGACGAGTCGGCGCTGGAGGTACTGCAAAAAGAGTGATGCGTGCTGGGCCAGTCTCTCGTCGCACGCGAGACTGCCGCTGCGAAGCAGCTCGTGGGTCGCGTCCTGCGCCGACCAGACGCAAAGGACGGTCTCCGCAATCACATACAACGGCAAGATCTCGTCGTCGCGACAGTGGTCCGCGAGGCTCAAGATGAAGCCGACGGACCGCTTCTCGCTCGTACTTGGCAGCTTGGCGTCATGGACGACGAGTCCTTCGTCCGCATACACCTCCTACGACCGCATGAGACCTCGGTCGCGGTCGTGGATGGTCCGCACCTCGCACGTCTCGTCGACCAGGAGGACATTGCAGTGCTCGGACGACACGTCGGTATGGGTGACCACGGCTTCCCACTGCGGACGGTCCACCGTCAGCGCCGGTTTCTCGATGTGCCCGCAAAAGCCATCCAGTTGCTGAAGGTGGTGCATGCGGTACTGGCTTGCGTGGGATGGCCGCGCCGCCAGCGCGTCGGCCTCCATCTGCTCCATGATCCACGCAATGGCCGCGCTCTCGTTGATGTCAAGGGATGTCTCGCGCGCGCACCGGAGCGCCCTACATAGCAATATCTGTCAACGTGGTTTGGGCGTGAAAGCGGTACCATTCTGGCGAAAAGCCGAGACCGATAAGACCGTCAATGAGGTCGGTGCGTCGTCGATCGATCGCCGCTTCGTGGTCGGTCTCGACACTGAGCCGGCCTTTGCTCGGACTGTGCTCGCAGACGCCGCCCACGATAGCATTCGCGACGGGCTGCAGCTTGGCGTTCTCGAGAGTTGGGCAGTACAAGAACTGGTTCTTCGCAAAGTGAAGCTGGACCGCTTGGTCGACGTTGAGCGACATGGCCGGAAAGAGGGCGTGGGTCAGATGTAGCCCCTCGAACGCGACGCCGAGGCTGCGGCCGTTGAGAAAGTACGTCATTTCGAACCGGTCCGTGTCGAGGAGGACGCCGACGACGTCGCCGACGTGCCACCGGTCGCCGTATTCGAGCGCGCCGACGTTCCATTTTTGCGCCGAAACCCTGGTCGCATTGGATCAAACATGTCAATGTATCCAGGTGTACCGTCGTAGGCCCAGCTGTTGGTGTGGTCGCCGACGCCTTGGCCTTGAATCGCGTTGGCTTCAAATGCCATGTCCACCCACCCAATCTATACGACGATGTTTGCAGAAAGCGAGGTGCCGCACTCTCGCGCTACCTGCATGAGGCCGTCCGTAAGCAACACAACTTCGTAAAACCACATGCCGGTCCCCGCCGTGATCGAGACACCTACGTCGTTCGTCATTCGATGCTCCGCTCATAGAGCGAGGTACCGGTGAGCTTGATGGTGGGAAAATGTTGCAGACCCTACCCCCGGCTTGGTTGTGCGCCTGGTTGCAACGCAATGGAACCGTACCTTGACGCGGTACTCTTCCATTTCCACATCGCCGCCGAGCACTTGGAGTTTTTGCGTTGCGTTGACGAGCCACCACGGCGCCACATCGCGCGGGTTGACGTACGGAAGCCGCTCGAAAAGCACCGTCGAGAGCATTTCTAGCGCCAATTTGCGCTTCAGACCGCCGTCCGTTGGCGTCTCGGCGTCATCAAGGATCCACTCGAGCAGCGCTTGCACCGTGTCGAGCTTGCTGATGATATCAAAGTCGGACCCAAAAACCGTCGCGACGGCCTCGGCCAACGGCTGAATCGCCAGTTGGAGGAGCCCAATCAACCCCGGTTTCAACAGCGCGTCTACACGACAATATTCTTCACAACGATGTCATACCAGGGTGTCCGTACCGGCGGCGGCCGTCTGCGGTGCCTGGAGGCGGCAAAGCCGCAGCAGCGCCGACCGCAAGTGCATGTGCTGTGCCAGTTGAATGTCTTCGCGCATCTCCGCCGCCGACGACACCGGTGTCGCGACGGTGGGCGCTTCGTGGCCGGCCATGCTCACGGACGACGTAAGGCTCCACGCTACAAGCGTCGGCATGGTCGCGGGCAGTGGGTGACCACCGGGCGTCGATGCCACGACGTTCACAGCGAGTACGACCGTGGCCATGTTTGCCGTATCAGCGAGACTGCCGCGCTGGCCCGTCCACGTCGCGGCACTCTTGACCCACGCCTCCAAGGACGCCAGTAGCGTCGGTTGCCACAACGGCGACTGCAGCAGGTGCGCGAGCAGCGTCACCACGCCGGTCGCCAGCCGCGCCCGCGACGCCCGCAGCAGCGGCAACGACTTGGCCTTCACAGGTTGCTCAAACAAAAGCCACGTCGCGACGCCGTCGGGCGCGAGCTGCCGGGCGTTGAGCAAATGCAGCAACACCGAGTCTTTGCGGGTCGAGAGCGCCGCCGAGAGGCCCGGCGGCCCGTACGTCTCGTGGGCCGACCCAAACCATGCGGCGCTAAAGCACTGAACCAAAAACGATAGCACCGACTCGCGTAGCGCACTCGCGGGGGATAGCGCCGGCAGTAGATTCGTCAGCAGCGAAAACAGCTTGTCATGGCTACGTGGTGGCGCGACGGGAAACAGGGCCACGACGAGGCTGACGACGTCGTCGACGGGTGGGAGTGCCCGCGACGGAGCCACGAGCAGCGACAGCAACTGGTCGCAGTAATTGTCCAGCACCTGGCGCTGCTGGATTCGAAAGAGGAGCGAGCCCGCCGACGCCATGATCGTAATGCTCTCCTCCGAGAGCACATGCAAATGGAAAGCGACGTCATCAAGGAGCAGGTGCGGCGGGTGCGGCGGCGGGATGCCCGACGGTGGCACGAAGCCACCCACTGTAAACGTATGATGCGACAAGACCGACTTTGCCGCAACCTCGATGCACTCGCTCTGCGCGTCGAGCATGCCATCGACGAATACTTCGAGGCGCCGCGAGGTCGGGTTAAACCGGCCCACAAGGTGCGTCCAGTGTCCCCATGGCAGGGGCCGCGCCGACACCACCGCGACATCGACCGACGTCCCCTCGATGCGCAGTTGCAGCCCGATGCGGCCGTCCGGGCACAAGCTGAGCGCGAGCTCGTGCGTCGCCACATCGCCGTTGGCCAGCAGTAGCATCGACGCGCCCGGCGTCGCAGCATTGACCTCCTTCTCGTCACGCTCCGAATAGAGAACGAGTGAAATCGCAAAGCCGTCCGTGCTCCAGTCGAACGACGCGCGCTCCTTCACCGATAAAAAGACCGTGTTCGTACTTGAAACTACGTGGGGATCTGCGAGAAGAATGGCTTGGCTGTCGTCAAGGCACAGCACCATACTGTGCGCTAATGCGTTCCACTTGGCGAGCTGGCTCACGACGCGACGCAGCTCGTCGAGAGCGACCGTGTAGGTATGAGCAAGCGACTCGTCGAGCGTCGCCGAGACAAGCTTGGGTGGCAGCGACAGCCGCTTTCGAGGCGACGTGCAGTGCAACGACGGTTTGGCCGACGACGGGCGTGAGAGCGCTTCGGTCGACGCTTCGGTCGACAGCATCAACTGCCGCCCAAGCCAGGCAAAGACGTGCCACGCTGCGTTGTGGAGGCTGCGCGTCGTCGTCGCGCCGGCCACAAGCTTTTCGATCGGGCGAAGCCGTGGCGGCAGACAACTGTGCGCCGGAGCGGCGTGGGGGCTGCTGTAAATGGCGTCGGACGCCGCGTTCATGGCAAATGCCGGTGCGTCGGTCGCCAAAAGATCGCCAAGCACGTGCAAGATGCCCGCTCGGCGAATGAGACTGACGTCGTGAAACTATGTACACATTGTCCTCAATTCTTTATTTGATCCAGATGGAGGAAGAGAGCACGTACGTGGACGGTCCAGAGGGTTAGGGCCCGCTTCTTTAGCAACGGGTCGCTCTCGGCGCTGGCGAGGACCTTGGCCGACCGCACGTACAGGTTCTCGATGGCCTTGGCGAGTTTACCGTGCTCAACATGGCCATGAAACGTGTGCAAATCACGCTCCAGTATCTACAAAGTATTGTCATGTGTACCACCATAGCAGGTAGATTTGAGGTACCTGCAGCGGTGACGCGTCACTGTCACGACGTCGCTTGGATTTGCGCGGTGACGACGACGACGACGCCGATCCAAAGACGACCCGCGGCTCCTGCCACGCGTTGTACACCACCGAGAAGCAACCGGCATCGACGTCGACTTCGAGGCGCTCGTACAAGACGCGGAGAAGCTCGCATTTGGCCGCGCTGCTCGTGAGCTGTCGAAGCAGGTCGTGCAGAATACTGAGCCCGCCAATCTTGAGCGCGATGCGGTCGTCGTCGTTGTCGAGGCGCTCGCTCGGCCAACTCAACGGCGACTGCAAGAGCGAGATAAGGTGCGGCACTGAGAGCGTGCACGCCCGGGGCACGAACAGCGCGCAGCCAGGAAACGAGCAGTGCGACGTGGGCCTATCTCTTTCATTTGAGACTTCCCAAGCATACAAGCGCCTACGTGGTGTCGGTCGTGGCCAGTGTCCAGCTGCAATGACTCGGGTAGTAGGTCAGCAGACGGCGCGCTTGTACCAGAAAGATATCATCGAGCGGGGGGGTCATCGGCTGCATGGACGTCAGGAGCACCCATAGCTGAAGCAGCGCTTCGGGTGGCGTGGTCGGTGCCCCGGGTTCCAACGGCGCCAGGACGTCGATGCTCGAGGCGAACGAGAGCGCAGTGGCCGCGAGGCCCGCGTGCCAGAGCAAAAGCGGTCCAAGACCCGGAGTACTCTCGACCGAGGCGAGGGGGAGGCTCCACGAGTGCTGCATATGATAGCGCATCCACGTATCCAAGTGCTGGAGGGTACCGTGGCCGGCCCACCAGTCGCAGATCGCGACGTGCTCGAGCGTCACATTGGGCAGTGGCATCGTGTCGCCTTGGAGCTCGTTCTCGACCTCGAAGACGCCATTCTCTTCCCAATGGCGAAGGGCACTCGGTGCTGTCGTGCCGTCGACGATATGTCCGTAGCGACACAGCCAACGCAGCCTACACATCGGTGGTTCGTTGGTACCTTTTCCGTCGATGACACAACTACGTCGTCGGGAACGTCGTCGTCGTCGGCGACATCGGTGGCCGCGACGATCCGATGAGCGCACTCGTGTACCGTCCGACAAGCTGCGCCAATGCATTCTCGAGCTACACCCGGTCGTTCGTCATGAGAGTGCGAGCACAAGCCGCGAGACGTACCTCACTGATCCACGTCAGGTCCATGCTCGGCGATTGGTTGCTCGACCGGTGGTCTTGGGTGGCCTTGTAGGCGATCTCGTCCAGTAGCTTGAGCATCGGCAGCAGCGTCGGGAGCAGGCGGAGGCAAAACGCTTCGCTGGATCGGACGCGCGAGACGCAGCAGCACTCGATCGCGAGCGGCGCGAGTGCGTGGAAGAAGGATGGCTGCAGCGTCGAGAGGTCGCTGTCTTTCAGCAGCCCTCTGTGCACCGTCTTGAGCAAGCCGAGACAGCAACTAAAGAGGCTCTCGAGGTACGGCCTAAGGACCGCGCCGACGCAGTCGATGCAGTAGACACGTGGCGCGTGCCAGCACGCAAACAAGTGAGTCTGCAGCACCGAAAGCACCCGTTGTTGCAGTGGCCACGTCGACGTCTACCGTCAGGCATCGATGATTTGATGAGCTACAAGAACAGCACCGTACTTCTGGACGCGTCTCGACACAGCTCGTGATGAGACGCAGCAAGAGCGTCAGAAAATCGGCGACGGTTGGTGTCGAGGCATCCGCGCCGCCAGCGTCGATCGCACACGTGTGGCTACCTAGCTGTCCAAAGAGGCGGCCCATGAGACCCAACACGACGTGATCCTACGCAAGTCCGAGTCTGCGTCCGCCTTCAACACCAACAAATACCTGGCACAGCGGGTCGACGAGAGCATCCAAGAGCACCGAATGCGACGCTTCGGGCACCAGTAAGAGGTCCCAGAACAGCGCATGCTGGGCGGCCGGCGACGCGTAAAAGCACGAAAAACCAATCTACCCGCCGTGTAGAGCAGCTACAAAAGCCAGACGCATGGACATACCTTGAGCGCCGTCGCGGCGGCCACGGCAATCTCTCCATCCATGGTCGTCGCCAGCGTCTGGAGTGCAGTATGCAGCTTCGTGAGCAGCGGCGACGGCAGCGTGACGTGCGCGCAGCTCAAGAACCGCAGCAGATTGGCCTGTATCAGATGCACGCAACCGAGCGTCGTCGACACCTTGGCCTTGTGTACATCCAGGAGCAAGATATCGAGGAGCAGCTCAAAGGTGCTGGCCGAGACGTCGACGGCGTAGGCCAGCGACGGTGGCAACGGTGTCGGGTGCGTGTGCACCTGCCGAAGCTTCTCCACAAGCGCCGCGTTCTCGCGCGGCACGTACGCGTGGGCGAGGCGGTGCAGCTGTTCGAGCATTGTAGTTTGCACGGCCCCGACGGTCCACGCCGTGGTTGCCATCGTATCGGCGTCGTTGTCGGCGGCCACCGGTGCCGGTGTCGCGTCCGCATCAACCACTTGGTTCGATGACTCGATGTCGTCGCCGACGGGTTGGACGAGAACGAGATTGTACTTGTCACCGACAGCAATGGCGACCGGCCGGACGCCTTGCCACGCAAACGCTTCGACGTAGCATGGCGTCTTGCGCGTGACGTTGTCGCCGTGGCCAAGCCGCCCGCTGTCACTGTGTCCCCACGTGTACATCTCCCCTAACCGCCGAACCGTTGGCCCCATCCCGCAAGCCGCCAACACCAAGTACCGGACGCGGTGATCGCGGTCGTATGCTCGCAGCCCGCGCGGACGTCCCGAACCACCTTGCCGCTAAGTCCAAGCACTGGGGTTGGCACATCGCGGTTCTCTTCGTCGCCGTGACCGAGCTTGCCATTCGAGCCCGAGCCCCACGTGAACACACTGCCGTCTTTTGTTATCGCGAGCGAGTGGTCCTAGTCGGGTTTTATAAAATACTAGAAAATATGTGGCGCGACAGCGCGTACCCAGCCACAAGCCACAGCGACACACTGGTCCAAATTTGGAATCTGGGTTGGTTTGGTGCGCCGGTCCGTATCGTTGATGCCAAGGCCCAAGACAGGTGGAAGCCCCGCGCGCCGACTGTCTTTATAGCCGCAACCTAGTACTTTCTAGATGAATACAAGGCAGTACGTTAATGGGACTCGAACCGCAGGCAAACGCCTTGCCGTCGGTTGTGCACATGAGCGTGTGTTCCCAGCCTACAATGACCATCGCACAAGACATGATGTGGTTTCGGTTCAACCTCCGGCGACCGTCGAGACACGCATGTCGGCTTCGTCAAAGTACGAGACATGCGCCGGTCGCAGCTCGTCGTTGGTGTGGCCCACCCCGCACTGGCCCTACGAACCTAAATCTCAATGTCCATGTTCAAAACGAATACAAAATCGACTTGGTTGTTTTTGCCCCACGCAAAGAGGTGGCCGTGCTTGGTCACCGCGAGCGAGTGCGACGCACCGCAAAAGACGGCGCTGACGAGCCACGCGTCACTCTCTTTCTCGACAAGCTCGTCGGGCAGCGCGACCTTGCACGGCTGCATTTGATCGGACGTGTCACCGAGTCCGAGGCGTCCGTTGCCGCCGTTGCCCCAAGCGTACACGTCACCATTCACAAGCAGCACAACGGTATGCCCGAGGCCACAGGCCACATCCTGCACGCGCGGCTAGACATATTGTTTGTATCAAACGAGACCGAGAAGATCGTCGAACCTTGTCTCGAAAGGCATCCACGAGGCGCGGTGCATACTCCTTGGCAGCGTCGCCGTGGCCGAGTCGGTACTTGTCGCCGTTCCCCCACGACATGAGCTCGCCGTTTATGGTGATGGCAACGCTGTGGGTCGAGAGCGAGTCAATTTTGCGAAAGGTGATGTCGCGCGTCGCCTCGACGACCATCGGCGTTGTTTTGTTCTCGGTACAGCGGCCGTCGGCGCACCCTGTGTGCGTGCAGCTGCCGTGGCCGAGCTTGCCGTGGTCGCCTTTTCCAAAACTCATGAGCATACCGGTTGACGTCGCAGTCTCGGCGGTCGCCTACGTCGTCTCCCGTCGTAGCACCGTCGACCGAATTGCACAAGAGCTACCTCGGTGGGCTGCGCGACGGCGGTGACAAGTTCTCGAAGAAAGACACCGACAGTAGATGGCAACGATACCGTTGGATCCATGCCCAAGAGCCGCTTGAGCACGAGAAGGAGGTGCTCGAGCCGGCCCCGCTTGATGCTAAGGCCAACAAGTGCAGAGATGCTGGGTCCGACGTCTGCGAGCTGCGGCAGCGCGACCACAATCGTGCCAAACATCTCCTCAAAGACCGTCGGACTTCTGGTACCTGGCTCTGGCGCCAGTGCCAGCGGCGGCATGTCCAGTAGCATGGCCGGGACTTGCTCGATGAGGCGTCCGAGCGGCGCAAAGTTGCCGCTCGCGGTGCTACGACTGCGCACGGATTGTAGCAGCTTGAAGAAGAGCTTGACGGCCATTTGCGTCGAGAGTGGCAGTGACTCGCACGCGTCGGTCTCGTCCTCGGGCAGTGGCAGCGCAGCAGGCGATCGCTTCTACACACCCACCATGTTCAAATCTGCAGAAAGGACGAGCGACGTCCAAACCGTCGGGACGTCCTTGGCATCGGCGTTCGCCAGTTGATCTAGAAGCAGGTACAGCACCGTCTGCTTCTTCTCGAGTTGCGTCATGGGCCACATGTGCTCGAGGTCGTCGAGCGTCGAGACAAGCGCACCTTGGTCAAGCGCTGCGACGACCGACGGGCTCGGCGACGGCGACAAGAGAGCTTCGTAGCGCTTCGCCGCCGAGATGCCACCGACCAGCGCCGCCTCGGATGCCGGCGCTTGCTCCTTGTCGTCCGGCCGCTTTCGCTTCAGGTCCTTGTACCGGTCCTCGACGTACTTGGCCGATCCCAGGAGCGTGATGTCCATCGGTCGATCCACGATGCGGCCCGTCGAGCTGGTCGCGCGTATCCGGATATGACAAGATCGCGCCTCTCCAAGATTCACTACTTTGGAAAGGTCGTCAACAATATAAGTTGCACGACGACATTGTCTTAAGGTTCGTGGATAGACCTGTGCCAACAGGTCTATGTTGATGTATGGAGTCTTAGTTGAGATGCGCGTTGATGCGCGAAATGCAATATGTCGACACGAGTCGCAACTTGCACCATGTCGTGTCACATACGTGAACAATGGTCGCAACCACAGTAACCGAGACTGCGGATGCCAGAGTCAAGACCGAGATTGACTACGCGGCCGAGGGTGTCGCCGTCGTTGGCGTCGTTGGTCGCTTGGAGACTGGCGGTAGCAGTACATTCGATGACCACGGCGTGACCTTGAAGGTAACATCCGTCGGTGGTCGCAACCGGTATCACCGTGATCGTCGCACTCGACATTGTTGTGTTGGTTGGTACCGGCATGATCACCGTTCGGCTAGTGTCGTCGTTGTGGGCAGCACCGGTGTCAGTGGTGCAGCTGTTGATTTCACTGGCGGGGCTGGGGTCAGCGGTGTAGCGATCATCGTGACGGGCAGGGTCGGCGTCCGTGGTGCACCAGTCGCCGAGCTCGGTGCCTGCGTCGTCGTCACCGTAGGTTCTGCTGTTTGGGCAACTATGGTCGCCGCGATCGCCAGTAGACTGAAAAGCGTTATGACAAGTAGCAGCGCACGGTAATGGATGCTGCTGCTGGTCGTCCACACTTTGCCGATGTGTTGAAGCTTTGCACACGAATGATTGGTCAATCGAACCCGTGCTTTCCTGGGTCATTGCACTCCAGAACAGACTACCGCCGCCCACCGAGAAGGCGTCGCACCGGAAGTAGATGTGCCTTACGACGGTGCGGGACCGGAACGAATGCCATCGGCGCATAAAGTGCAATTTCAATACTTCGACAACTGCTCTAGTAGAATTTTGAACTGAAGTGCCGCTGGCTTGCTTCACGCTTGCACTAGAATGAACAAGCAACACCCCGAGTTTTTTTTAACAGTTACTACTTTTGACCCAATATTTGCAAAAGTTACTACCTTGCGAGCCTATATTGAAAAAGGTTACTACCTCGACGGGATTGGTCGAAATGCTGAATAAAGCCTGCGAATCAAGATGGAGCACACGCAAATAGTGTTAAATGTATATGAAGGCGTGGTCGCTCCAGAATGGCTTCAGCGTATTGCAGGGTACGATCCTCGATGAGAAGTCACGTAATTTTAACATGTCCATGGCTAGCTGCAACCCGTGGAACACTCCCACGACGGTGACAGCGGCCTCGACTGCTCCCGCGACGGTGACACCGGCCTCGACTGCTCCCACGATGGTTACTGCATGGTAAGCAACGACGCTGTTCCCAACGAGCTACATCACGCCGACGATGCCTCTACGAGACGGTATACAAGAGGTCGAAGCCGACTGCTACGACACCGATGCGACGCCGTTGCGGCGCCAACTGCTGCGACGCCGACTGCTTGTACTAGTACGTCGACAGCCGCGACATCGATGAAACGCTGATGCGACGTCGGCAGCCACGGCTCGGGCACCGCGGTCACGACGTCGACACCGACAGTCATGGCACCGTTACTCATGACCACAACGTCGCCAAGGACGACAAACATTACGATGGAGTCGTCGATGCTGTCGCCCTGCGAGCGACCGTGACGGTTGACGTCACGAAGGCTATCAACGACACGCCGTGGTACCGTGACGCGTGTCGTGAGAACGTCGTCACCCGCAAGGAGCCGTCGAACCGACAATGACGAGACAACCAAGTCCTCACGGAACGGTTGCGTCTGATACTCAGCCCCTGGGCCTATGTCTACGGAACGATGACTATGAGGCAGCGCAATGCGCCTCCGTGCATCTACGAAGCTTCCAACTCCCAACGGGATTGGTCGCTATCGTTTACACATCTACATATTCACTCGACGCCTCTGGGCTTGCGCCTATGCGACTCTACTTTCATTGACGAAGCCTCCAAACCCATTTGAGACGGTCGCAATCACTTACTTGACTGTATATCTACTTGACGCCTCTGGCCTTGGACTCATGTGCTCTATGAACTCCTCAATACATTACAGTACCTTCCATGAACATGCATGTGTCTCGTACCGTCGAGCATCCCATGATGAGGAGGGGAGGAACCAGCAAGCGCCCTTGATGCAGCTCAAGCTGATGGCCCCAACACACGATACTCGACCCCATATCCATGACATGCTATCACATCATTGGTGTCTGCTATATGACATATTTAGGTATATGGGTACCAGGTCCGAGACCCATTCGGACCCGGACCTGAATATCTCCGGATAACATACCACCAGGTCCGACAATATCAAGTGGGAGGTCACGATCGTCGGTGGCCGCAATGAAGTACTCGGCGTCGAGGACTTGGCGTCTCTCGTCGAAGCTTCAGACAATCTCAGCATCAAGGTGACATCAATCGAGTTCATCCAGCATGTGCGCCGTTTGATATTTGCAGTGTGACCACCGCATCCCGCTATCGGCACTGAGCACTTAATATATGGATGCATTTTATCCATATCTTGTTTGTATTACACTGCATTCGACAATTCTTACTCGAAGGTACGAATTATCGAAAATCCGCTAGAATTTCACTCAGATTTAGATCCGCTAGAATTTCATCGATAATCCGCTAGAATTTAATATTAACCGGGCGACTTTGTCAGTCGACCAGCAGCAATTTCTCGCGCTAAGAAGCAGATCTTGGAGTCGCAAATGGCAATGGTATGCATCACTCAACACTGTATGGAGCTTTCAACGTGATACGTTAAGGAGATGCAAGCTACGCCTTCCTGCCTTGGCTGCTTCGCTCTTTCGAGGAAGATAATCTCAAATCCCACGTCGAGCTCGAGTTCGACACTGGTGGTCGCTTCTTTCGTGCGTTTGTGTCGTTTGGAGCCTCGATCGACCGCAACGTGCATTCCGCCTTTGGTCACAAGGGTGTGTTACTCGACAACGCGGTCTGGAAGATCCAAGGCGCCACGTCAGCTAACGACTACACGAGCGCCGTCAACGAACTTCACGGATGGTTACCCGGGCCGCTGACTACCTCAGAGCCCTCAAGCCGGTCAAGTGGACCGTACACGGGAACTTGAGCACCGCCGCCCATCCGGACAAGCGCAGCCTTTTCGGTGTGCGCTCGTCAAATTTCGTGGAGTCCGACAATGCGAAAAGTACAGTACATGTACAACTCCATCCACTATCGCAACTTTTCGTAGACATCCACAATGGCGTCTGGTTCAACCTCCCATTTGCTGCCCTCTTTATCATCATGGAGGACACCATGACAACGGTCTCGAAGCGCGTCTCCGAGGTCGAGGATATGGACCAGACACGCAAACTGACGCCGTATGCCGCCAAGGAGTACGCGGACCAGAAGAAGAAAGCGTTACAACATCTCGCGGTCGAGCAGCGGCCTGTATTACGTCAGCTGCATATGCCGTGCCGTCATTTGATCCGCGTGCTCGCATTTCTCGACCTCCGTGATCGCATCATAGATTGCAACACCCCCTGCCTTCGACCATATGTTGAGCAATGCAAACACGAGACAGATAACGTCATCATTCAACGCATCACATAACCTCCGACGCCCTGCCTCTTTGGACAATCGTGGGCTGACCGAGCGAGAACAGACAGACAAGTCTCGAGGGGGGACGGCGCCCCCTTGTGTCTTGTCTGCCTCCCGAGGTCGCCTGTTTGAATCCCGACGCGCCGATTTTTCTATCCGGACTCCCCCCATCCGGACACGAATGTCACTGAAGACGGACACCATTATAAGGCCACTCTCGTTGAGAGTGCCACAGAGAACACATGGAAGATGCAAGATGAAAACGGCATATGCCGGAAAATCGTGCCTACCGGAAATAGGTTGGAGGTAGTACGGCTCTAGAAATAGGACCCTTACCGTAAAATACAGAGAAACCTCAATTTAACAACAAAAGATCAGTCACAAGCATATGCCTATATTTGTCGATGGATATAATCAGAAAGTAGGGCTCTCTCCGGGACTCGAACCAGGACCTACGGGCTGGCTTACCAGTCTAGACTAAAGAAGTCGGCGAGAACAATCCTTCTTGACTGATAAGGTGCAGCTCTACATCAAGTTGGCGGCGACATCAGAAAGTAGGGCTCTCTCCGGGACTCGAACCAGGACCTACGGGCTGGCTTACCAGTCTAGACTAAAGAAGTCGGCGAGAACAATCCTTCTTGACTGATAAGGTGCAGCTCTACATCAAGTTGGCGGCGACAAAGGCCATGGCAACCGACGCCACCGACATGATCGAGATGGACGTGGCAGCCGACGGCGGCGCGGTTGCAGGGGCGTTTTCTTGGTGGCCGTCGGTACCGGTGCGTTGGTCGGGGCATTCGTCGGTGTGTTGGTCACGACGACGGGTTTGGCCGTCGCCGTCACGCTCGGGGTCGTAACCGCTGTCGTCACGATGATGGGCTTGGTCGTCGCCGTCACGTTCGGGGTCGTCACATTCGTTGTCGGTGGGACCACTGTCGTCACGTTCGGGGTCGCAACAACCGTCGTCACGCTCGGGGTCGTGTTGGCAACGACGGTCGTTGTCGTAGGCACCGTCGTCGTGTTGTTGGCCGGCGCCGGCGTCTTGGTCGTCGCACTCGATATCGTCGGCACCGCGGTCGTCGTCGGCTCCACGGTCATCACCGGCTCCTCCGGGGTGCGTAGGGCGCCCACATCGGCGCCGAGGGCTGCGTCGTCTGTGCGGCAACGGCGGCCGCGACAAGGAACAGACTAAGGTACTTCATGGTGTAGTGGCGAGTTGGTCAATTGAACAATGAAATGAACGGCAGATTGTGTTGCAAGGAGCCAGATGCACCAGCTGACTTGAGTGCAACGGCGCCGCGTGGGCTTTGTTTGACACGGAAGCATCCAGTGCACGGCGGAATGGATGCTCACGTAAGAGGACGGCCGCTCCTTGGATATGTCACCAATGTACCTTTTCTCCGCCTTGTCAGCCTTGTCGTTGAAGTGAGTCTACTTCAATATAATTTACCGGTAAGACATTGAACTGAAAGTCAGCCATGTCCTAGTGCAAGTATGGATGGCTACATGTATGGCGCATGCGATCGCAGCACGATTGATTTGCGGGGATCTGAAACGGGCGAAGATCACCAGAATACACCTACCGGTATTATCCCTGGCACACTACACTGATCGACGGTACCATCTCTTGACGCGTCGCTGGCCGCTCTCCGCGACGACCATTGGTGTGCACGCTACCTGGTCCCTCGCACAGTCTTGAATCACGACCACTAATGCTCCTCGCTGACGCACCGGCCACGCCTCACGAGCGCATTAGGAAGTCCACCATATCTTTATAATTGCATGTAATATAACTCAGTTCAACAACAACACTCCACCGATCGATCGCACAGAACATCCATGCACGAGGTCATGCTGGAGGTCACGCAGCCGTGTTCGACAGACATTACGTACGAGTATACTTGTACAGGTCGTATCCGGCATGGTCGATGGGCAGGTCGATGGGGCTTGTTTCTTGCGCTGACAACGTGCAGGACGTTGCAAACGCCCGTCTCTTTGTCGCAGGCACGAGTGCCGAGTGCGCAGCGGCTCCAAGCCAAAACGGAACAACCAGAGAGCAGAGAGCGGGTACTAACATGCACTGCCGAGTCGATCGTGCAGCGATCACAGTACCGGTACGAGCGAGAATCCAGGTTGTCTTACACAATAGCATTCCCACCTTTCAAAGCCAGGGGTAGGTCCCTCCTATCCACGTCGCTCGCTGCTTGAGCGTGGAAAAGCAATCGAATCGGAAATACCTCTCGAAATCGCGCTGAACAGACGTACGAACGGACCAACGAGCCTTGCGAGCGACGCCCCGTCAGCGCACATGGAGACATGCAAAGGACTTTTGTCGAGATGTCATTTTCTCGTCCAGTGCAAACCGGTGGTAGGATCTGGGTGAATTTGACTCAAGAACGCGTCAAACTGCTAATCAGATATTTCTGGATGTGTTGATTGGTACCGAGAGTGCAAACATCCTGTCAAATTATTGCTCTCATTCTGAACACAAATAAAATCTGAGCTGCTAGTGAGTACCCACGTGACGAGTACATATAATCTGACACGTCGACTGCACATACGTTTCTGTTCAATGCACATTCATTTCCGCTCACCGCGCAGTCTTTTGCAGCGACCGCACTAATTCGTACTAGTACGTGATCCGTCCACCAGCTCCGAGACTTGTATGAGACCCAAAGATTCACCGTATTTCGTTCCCTAGGCTATAGACGCCAGTGCATGGGGGAGACGAACGGGGCCACCGCCACCCAAGAAGGGACTGGTGGGTGGGTTAAGAGAGCGTTAAGTAGCAAAGAGGTTTGGAGCTGGACGAGCAGGCTTGATCTTCGACCTCGGCGGTTGCGCCTTGCTGTAATAAGAGAGCTGGTAGAGCTGCCGCCATCTTGGCGGTTTGGCATGGCGGTTAAAGATGGCGCCCTTGCTTGGCACAAAACCCAGCTTCACGCGTACCGCGAGAAACTATCCCCTAGGCAAACTAGGACTAAGACCAAACTCTAGTGGATACCTTGAGGAAGGACCGTAGAGGCGTGGGTTTGCCATGTATAAGGGGGTCATGGTGATAAGACGCGCAGACGGAACAAGGCTCAAGGATGCTTGCTTGATCATCCTTGAGTCTCTCCGGTCACAACCGAAACACCCATAAAGCCTGCGCACCGGTGCGTAGCGGAGGTGGCGCTTGACCGCGCGGACGCTCTGTGCGGAGCATCACTTGGCAGACGAAGTCAGCGTACTTGGGTCATATGACGTCGGGTAGTCGGAGCTCGGCTGCGGCAGCAGGCGCCTCGTAGAAGTCTTCATCGACGCCCAGGTGGCGGGTCGGTAGCTGCAAGCGCGTCCTTGGCGGGGCACGACGTCGGCGGGCTTCGGCGGGCGTCGTCAGGGTCAACGGCTTGGTAATCTTGTGGAGTCGAACCAGCCATGGCGGCTTGGAAGTCGGGCTGGGCACGGGGCCACACGTGAAGGCGTCTACAGTCGTAGCGAACCAGCCGAGCAACTTGTCGTTCGGCGTCACGTGTGGGCCGAGGTCACGGCTGCGGCACTTTGCCGTCACCGCTTGGATGAGGCGTTGAGTTCTTGTCGCGAGCGTCTCCATCGGGGCGGCGGCGAGCATCAAGATGTGGACGTGCTGGGCTTGAGTGATCCCGGTCTTGACCATCGTCCGTGCGCATAGAGTATGCCATCTAGAGGCCGTGCACGACCTCTGGGTCAAGCATCTCCGCATCTCGGTGGCCTTTCACTATGTCAACATCATTTACCGGCGCATACTCCAGCTACAGGAGCCTGCGTACGACCTCGCGCGAGATATCCCTCGGCGAGTGGGGTCCACCACGGGATGGATCTCTCCGTGCGCAGCTTACTGCCAACGACCAAGTGCTGGTGCCAACTCCCACGCATTCAGGCAAACCACTAGATATGCGAACTCTTTGTAAGGAAGATAACGCGGAACTCGTTGATATATAGACTATAGCTCGCCGACGTGAGCACGACTGACCCGAACGAAGTGCGCATGTGTCACCGTGGCCACTCCCTACGCTACATGCAGGCCGCACTCACGACGTCCCCGGTCCCGGCCTGGTCGTCACCAAGCATGGCTGTCGTTGCCAACGCCTGCGCGCCGTGGGCAACTTTGCCGACCTCGCCTTCGCCGACCGCCGCTCCCCCGGCGCCTGCTTACGTCAAAGGCAGTGCCCGACCGGTTCAAGTTCATGCTCAAGTACTGGTTCGAAATTCGCGTGGGGCCGAGGTCGCTTCCGGTGCCGTCGCCGCTGGCCCACGAACAACCGCTTTGGTCCAACCAGTTCTCCCGGTAGAGAGCTGTAGTTACGGACTCGGTCTACATCGTCCACGTCAGGTTGGTCGTGGCAGGTCGACGCCATGGAGCGTCGCGGCTTTGACGATGGTCGGCTGGATCGCAGAGACGACGGCGAGCTCGATTCATACGGTGCGAAGACACCCGTTTATTACTGAGTTGCAACAAGGATACAAACGTCGTAGAGCGGCTTTTCGCCCAGCACCGGTAATTTCCCGGTATCCCATGCACGGTACCGGAATTGCATGAACATGCTCCTCGACCAATTTACTGGTACGAGTGCTTAGCGCATCCGAGCATGAGCAACTTGATCAATTTCGCATCATCCGAACAGCAATGGTCTCTAAAGCATTGCGAGAACTCTCCCATCCACACCACACCTCCATTCAATACAAACATGCTCAAGTGACTAAAAGGGTAGGCAAATTCACTATCTAGTGTTATATAAACTTGCGCGAATTTTGGTGGGTAAATTGCGCGGGGCGTCAAAACGACAGAAAAGGCGCGGAAAATCGCGCGTAGCAACACCGAGCCGACACTCTAGCCCTTGAAATAGCTTTCGCGGGGTCGGGGAAGGGTAATAACGGCCAATTTCCGGGCATTTCTCCACCGTTTTGGCCGTTTTTGGCGCCCCGCAATTTTCCACCATAATCCGCGCATGATTAACATGTAAATCGCACCCAATCGGAAACGCAAGGCGAGTACCCTTTAGGATGTGGGGAGATAGCACTTTGTGCTTTTTAAAATTGAAGAGGAGAGGAAAAAGGAAGAGGGAAGTTCGACGCTTGAAACGCGCGATCAATGGTCCCTTCGTTGTGGCGGGGCTCCTTCGAGCGTTTTGAGCAACTGGTCGTACAGTACGATCCAGGTCTTTCACAATGGCGAGCTTGCTCAGGAGGCAACGGGCGTAATGCCTTCATTACTGCCATGACCTCGGGTGAGGTGAGGCGGGTTGCTTAGTAGGCGTCGAAATCTAGAATGCTAGCTCTACGACAGCCTCGCAAAATACGCCGCTTCGTGAAAAGATCGTTTCGACTTGCGCCAATTTGCTCCGCTTCAATGAATCTACGTGCGCGACGCTATGCATCGAAAATCGACGTTTTCCCGTGCGCGATCGACAGATTTCTTGCTCTCCAATTGCTGCCGACAACTTAGCACAGTCCTATACGCATGGTCACGTTCGCCGTCGCCAACACGGAGCGCAGCCGCTGCAAGGTGGTGCCCCGGGCGCAGCAGCCAGCGACGGCACTTGAAGAATTTTCCAACGAAAGCTGCGGCGACATTGTGCAAGCCACGGTGCTCGAGCCCGTCGTCGCGTCGACGCACGGCTTTGTGCATGGCGTCCTTGAAGCGTACTGCCATCACCACGACCTCGTCCTGCGACCGGACGATCTTTGGCTGGCCATCATGACGCAGTTTGGTTTGTTTGTCAACGCCAACGCCAACGACCTTCGGCAATCGCTGGTGGCCCACGACGGCTCGAAGGAGCTCGTGGTCGAGGCGATCGGCACGCTGTACTCGGTCGACTTTGGCGCGCTCTCGACTCAAATGGTCACGCACATGGAGGCGCACCTCGTCGACCCGAGCCTTAAAGACTGGATCCTCCCGTCCTTCTCGACAACAACCGACGACGACGTCATCGTCGGTAGCGTCGTGCTCATGGCCACGATGAAGTCGTTCTTCTCGTACAAGTACGTGCTCCGGTGTGGCATTCCCAATGTGACGCTTCTCGGTACGACCCGCGACTGGGAGGACGTGCGGCGCCGTCTCGAGAGGCTCGGGTCGTTTGGTCCGCGCTTGGCACGCTGGGCGACCATGCTACGCCGCATCGTTGATCAGTGCGTCGCGGCGGCCCAAGGCGCGCATGACACGGATTTCTGGAACTCCATTTGCACCAAAATCCCTGGCGGGTCGGGACCGACCTATATCACGGGCTGGATCAGCGCGTTCTGTGTGTTTGACCGCGACGGGCAGTGGCAAGCCGACAAGAAACCGGCGCGATCTAGTGACACGTCGCACGACTATCCGTACGTCGACACGGAGGATATTCCACCGGGATACCTTACTGTGGACGCGACGATCGACGACAATGGCGTTCTGCACAAGGCCTTCCTCTTTGCGGGGCACATGGCCTATCGCATTGGCGACGACGAGGCGTCAATCGCACCCGTGCTTTCCTGGGCCATTGCACTCAAGAACGGACCACCGCCGCCCACCAAGACGGCGTCGCGCCGGAAGTAGCTGTGCCCTACGACGGTGCGGGACCGGAACGCGATGCAATCGGCGCATCGTCTTGCATTGGCTTTCTCAACTCGGTCGGAAAGGCGTCAAACGTCGGGTACAGCGACACGCCTAGAAAGGCTAGTACGCTCTCTGGGACACTCTGTCGAGCAGGCATTCTGCGTACGGCACAACATGCTTCGAAAGTCCCCAAAAACCGTTCAGTGTAAAGTGCAATTTCAATACTTCGACAACTGCTCTAGTATAATTTTTGAAGTGAAGTGCCGCTGGCTTGCTTCATGCTTGCACTAGAGTGAACATGAAACATCCCTGTGCCGTCGACCAGATAAATGCTGAGCAATGCAGACCCGAGATGGATGACGTCATCATTCAACGCATCACACAACCTCCCACGCCCTGGCTCTTTGGACAATCGTGGGTTGACCGGAAGGAAGCAGACAGACAAGACACAAGCATATGCATACATTCGTCGATGGATAAGGTGCGACTCTACATCAAGGTGGCGGCGACAAAGGCCATGACAACCGACGCCACCGACATGATCGAGATGGACGTGGCAGCCGACGGCGGCGCGGTTGTAGTGGCGTTCTTCTTCTTGGTGGCCGTCGGGAGCGGCGCATCGGTCGGGGCATCCGTCGGCGCGTCGGTCACAACGACGGGTTCGGTCGTTGCCGTCACGTTCGGGGTCGCGACCGCTGTCGTCACGGGCGCCGTCGTGTTGGCGACGACGGTCGTTGTCTGTGCAACCGTTGTCGTAGGTACCGTTGTCGTCTTGTTGGCCGGCGCCGGTGTCTTAGTCGTGGCGCTCGTTGTCGTTGGCACTGCGCTCGTCACCGGCACCACGGTCGTCACCGGCACCACTGAGGTGTTGGGCGCCCGCGTCGTCACCGAGGGCTGCGTCGTCTGTGCGGCAACGGCGGCCGCGACAAGGAACAGGCTAAGGTACTTCATGGTGTAGTGGCGAGGTGGTCAATTGAACAATGAAATGAACGGCAGAGTGTGTTGCGAAGAGCCAGATGCGCCAGCTGACCCAAGTGCAACGGCAAAGAAGCCGCATGGACTTTGACACGGAAGCATCCAGTGCACATTGGAATGGATGCCAACGCCACTGCCTGGTACCGCTAGCGCGCGAGGAGCCGTGAACGTCCTATTAGCACCATTGATTTTGGTGCCGAGGAAGGACGCGGTGGGTTCGACTCCTGCAGCGGCCCGGGCTTGTTTCATCGCTTCCGCGGGACCGGCCGACCAGGAGGCACCGTGTCACGCAAGAGGATGGCCGCACGCTGGATATGTCGCCAGTCCACTTTCTTGTCCTCCTTGTCGTAGTGTAGGTAGGTATGGCTGCGTGTACATCGCGCATGCGATCGCAGCACCATTCTTTGCAGGGATCTCACTCGAGGACGATCTGCCACCGTTTCAGTACCGGGTAGAAAGGATGGTTGCTTCGATTGGTGACACGCCTTGGTGTGGGTGGAACGGGCCACCAGAATATACCTATTACTCCTGGCACACTCCACCGATCAATCGATCGATCGATCGCTCAGAACATCCATGCACGAGGTCACGCTGGAGGTCACGCAGCCGTGTTTGACAGACATTACGTACTACATGTCGTATCTGGTCAGGCGGTGTATAACCGGTTCCGGAATTACCCTAGGGTTTCGTTTTCTATGTGGTCCAGCGACTAGCTACTTGAATGACCTGCAGCTCGTGAAGCCTTCCCACTAATCCCGCACGGTCAAGCCTCGGCGGAACACGAGTTGGGGAGACCAATTTGTACATGCCGTATCCGGCATGGTCGATAGGGCTTACCTCTTGCGCTGAGAGAAAGATCTGACAACGCGCAGGACGTTGCAAACGCTCGTCTCTTGGTCGCAGGCACGAGTGCCGAGTGCGCAGCGGCTCCAAACCAAAACGGAACAACCAGAGAGCAGAAAGCGGGTACTAATATGCACTGCCGAGTAGTCCATGCAGCGGCCGCAGTAACGTTACCGGTACGAGCGAGAATCCAGGTTACCTTATACAATGACATTCCTACCTTTCAAAGCCAGGGGTAGGTCCCTCCTACATTTATCCACGTCGCTCGTTGCTTGAGCGTGGAAAAGCAATCGAGTCGGAGACGCCTCTCGAAATCGCGCCGAACCGACGTCCGAACGGACCAACGAGCCTTGCGAGCGACGCCCTCAGCACATTGAGGCAAAGGACTTATGTCGAGATGTCATTTTCTCGTCCAGTGCAAGCCGGTGGATTTTGACCCAAAAACGCGTAAAACTGCACTTCGGAACCAAGGTCAAGCTACCGTGTCATCCTTAGCAGTTGGTAAGTCAATGGCGATGCCTTTCAGCAGCGATCGATGATATGGTGCGCGATACGTTGAGCTATGTGTTTGAGTTAAGCCCAACTCGACTTACTGCACTGTACTTAGCGCCAACTTCAACCACACACCACTCATTGTTGGCGCCCAGCACGACGCTCATCCTGTTCCCTTGCGCACTTGGCGGATTATGAGACGGCTGCGCTTCGTCCCGGCCCCATGCACCGACAGCCAGCACCGATAGCCCTCAAAGACACATCGTGCATGTACTGCAATGATGCAGCCAGAGTTGTACCACTCGCAAGGTTGTAAAACCTTACCGGTATACCCTTGGTGCAAGCTTTGACGCGTCGTTGCCTTGGGCTCACTGTGTCGACTCCAGTCGGCGGTGGCAGTGCCCGCTGGCGACGACCTGTCATGACCGCGGGCGCGGCAAAAGGAGGTGGTACCGTACGTTATATGGATATGAGGACTAGCTCTGAACGCGCTCACTGCTAGTTAGTAGGATGCTAGTCGATCGTCAGCGGCCGTGCGTCACTTGAACTTGCCTGGAACTCTGACGTCGGCTTGCTCATTTTTTCTGGCGACCCCGTCCTGCCTTTTCATTGGTCGAATTATGTCCAATCAAACACCCGCCGAAGATTCCGACTTCGTCGAATTGCCAGCTTGCAAATGATCGGGACGTACGCAACGGCTCGATGGCTCGGCGCCGCCGCTCGCCGGTGGCCAACGCATGGCCTTCGGAGCGCACGGGTCATGCCCACGCCTGCGCTCTGCGCGAGCAGCAATGCGCCAACGCGCTGCCCCTTCGGTACCATCCTCGGCGTGTGCGACGACATCAGCGTCTACTCGTGCTACAACGCCGCCTGCCCCAAGAAGGCGCGTGGCCTCGTCCACTTCCACAACGGCGTCTTCACGGGTCTGCAGTGGCAGTGCGTCGAGCTCGCGCGGCGCTACCTCGTCGTGCGCAGCGGCGTCACGTTCTCGTCGATTCGTTTTGCATACGAGATTTTTGCGCCAACGACCGGCTTTGCCACCGTCGCCGACGAGCGCCCGGTCGCCGTCGACCGGTGTCACAACGGAGCACCGACGCGGCCGCGCGCCGGGTCGCTCTTGATCTGGGACCACGGCGGGCACATGAAGGAGACGGGCCACGTCGCCGTCATCACGCGCGTCACCGACGACTACGTGGACATTATTGAGCAAAACCACGACGACGTCGTGTGGCCGTTGGACCAAGACTACTCGCGGCGACTCGCGGCGTCGGTGACGAAGGACGGCTACGCGATTGCGCCGGCGTCGACGAACGAAACGATCCTGGGTTGGATCAACATCCCTGCCTCGTCTCCTTCCCTGAGCTGCCGCAACGCAGCATAAATACAGTACCCCTCTTCATGTATACTCTAGTAATCCATTTCCTTTTCATGTACTGTACTCGCATGTCGAGATCTTGATGGATAGGAGGTGGCATGATGGATTGAATTGGATACAAGCTCGCTTGGATACCCATCCGACTGCAAGCGCCAGAGGTTCTTTCTCGCGTCGCTCGCATTCTAGCATACACGCTAGTTTTCAGGATAGAGCTCTTGGCTTAACGAGTCCTCATGCATGCCAATACGTTCTTAACGATAATGTAGTCTACAGTGTCTTTACCAGGGTACGTACCTATTGTGTTTCCCTGGTCTTTATTCTCCAAGCCGCGTCGATAGTGCCATACCAACAAGACGTCGCCAGCAGACCTTTGCAACCAAACATTCACGATCATCTTGTTGGCGCGTCCGCGCCATCACGAGTCGGCCATTCGCATGGTCGTTGAAAGAGCACACCCAACTTGTCTCCTCCACGACCGCTACCCTATCCCTTGTTGACACGTCCCGAATCCTCAAAACCACACACAACGATCCCCAAACCCGTCATTTTAAGAAATACTACATTTGTCTCAACTCGACGACGACGACGATGGCTTGGTGAGCCCGAGATGCGCGGCCACCGCCTCCAAGTGCGCGACGGATTTCTCGTCCAGTTGGCGGTCGGCGAGCTCGCGGTGCCCCGCCTTTTCGATCGTGACGGTGTTGTCGCCAAAGATTTGAATGTCGACGCGCGGATTCGACGCCATCGAAGCCGCGTACGCGTTAAACTTGGCGCACGGCTGGACGTAGGTGGCTTCAAAGTCCGAAGCCGACCCGTCGCGCAAGAAGGCTTGGATCTCGCTGCACTGGGGGCACGTGCAGGGCACAAACAAGAACGGATTGGCAAAGTTTGGTGCGACCGGCGCCGGCGTCGAGGCCAAGTGCGCCCGCAGTGGTGGGAGGCACATGGTCACGAGCCGCCGGAGCACGTCAATCTCGTCTGGAAAGGACGCATGAACCTGCTTGAAGAGCGTGTACCAAATCAACCGAACCGCCTCGAGGGACGCCGGCGGGCGGTAAAATTGAGCGACGATCGACGCCACCGCGTCGGCCATTGCCGCCGGGCGACGCAAATAGCCAAAGACTGCCATGACCCCGTTGACGATGTAGAACCGATCTTGCACTTCCTGGCTCGACATGGCGTCGATCGTGAGCATGACCGCTGCACACATGGCATCGGCGTCGGCCTCCCGGACCGTTGGCGCCAACGCGAGGTAGTCGGCGAGCGCTGGTGCGAGCACGACGCCATGGCGCTCGTATGCGCCCGTGAGCAGTCGGCCGAGCTTGACTTCACTCGCGGCGCAGCTCAAGATACCAGCGAGCGGCAGCATGTAAATGCGGCGAGGGCTCGTCGCCACGTAGCCGCGCCACGACAGCTGCATGTACGCTCGGAGCGAGAGGGTTGGGGCAATGTCCCGGCGCTGCAAGAGGGCGTGGATCGTCGGTGCGACGAGGTTGACGGGGTGGAAGATGCCGGGCTTGGCGCGCACAACGTCCAGCAGCGACGTGGGGTAG